GTATTCAGAACGCGTATGTATATGTACACAAGACCAGCATTGCACATCAGCACTGTCGCGGGGGTTTGGATTTGGCTCGGCACAGAAAGCTTCGCATCTCGTTGGCTCGGGTTGGCTGAGCTGTTTGTGGATGCGCTCCGTTCTTGACTTTGGCTTCTTGTAACTAACTTAGTTATCGGTTTGTATAGCGCAAGTGAGAGGCCGCTGGCTTATCATTGTACAGTAGCTTACTGGGTAGGCAGGCGGCCGAGATTCGGGAGATTACTTCATATAGCCGGACTGTACAGTAGCTGTCAATATGAGAGCGATTGGGTACAATTCTGGGAGTCTGTATGGATATTATTATATGTAGGCTGGCGGCTCGCGGGTACAGAGAGCGATGAGATCGCTTAAAGGGCACAGACCCTCGTAGGGGAAGTACCAATAGATCGCTCTGGTTGCGGGTGTAAGCATGGCAGCGTTATGAATGAGCCGCATGCATTTCATCTGGATCCTGCCTGGCATTCGTTATACTTGGGTCTCCTCAGCTTCTTCTGGCCGCGGTTCCTCAAGCATCCCCTTCTCCCCCATGTCCATGATAACCTCCAATACCGCTCTTCTCTCCTCCTCCAGCTCCTTCTCTACCAGAACCTGATATAGACCCTTCCGACCCGTTTTTCCGGAGCCCTTTTCCCGATCTGTTCTTTCTATAACCTTTCTACCTATCTTCTGTTCATCTCCGTGTGGTCGTCTTCCGTCCAAATCATGTGAATATCGACATCGACTTCCAAACTGACACCTTCCGGAGCGCATCATGTTCCTGCATGCGTTGCGGGGCCGCTTCTTCTCGTCCGGAGCAGCGTTGGATGACCGGGAGGAGGAATTGATCCGGGTTGGTGGTGGTATGCGATCGAGTGCAGTTCGCTTTGAGGTCAATTCTTCGGGCGCCGAGTCCGAATTTGATTCAGGTTCTGAAATCGAATCTATTGCTGAAGCAGGAGGATGGTTTGGATCCGAGTCAGAGTCTGAACCGGATGAGCTTGTGGCATCATCAGCCTCGGAGCTGTCTGCGTCAACATCCGAAAGTGAGGAATCGGAGGAAGCAGCTAAGATATCGTCTTCGTCCTTCAACAGTGCTACTTTGAGCTCCGATATCTTATTCGAAGGGTCCGCGTTCCGCCCAGGTGTATCAGATGGTAGTATTGCAACGGTCCCGTCATCTGGTAAATTCGACATCAACTTTTCAGAGCGCCCGGCATCTGGTGGCCCAAGTTCTTCGATGGTGACTCTGCCCTGCTGCAGCCGCGCCAGTGCTTCCTCCGCTTTTCGCGCATCCCTTTGAACCTTTTGAAGTTTACGCTTCAGCTTCTCCGTCTTCAGTGCAGCTTTCCTCACCTCGCTCTCCACGTGGTTCGTCGTTGTCAAGTCATGACTGTCCTCCTCATTTTTGGCCTTCTTGGATCCCATAGTCTCCAGAGCTTTCTTTCTCAGTTCCTCTTGCCTGATCTTATCCTTCTCCAACTTTTGCAACCTCTGAGCCTCAGCCCTCTCCTTCTTGCTCTCTTCCCATTTTCTTTTCTTCTGCTCGGCTTCCTTCTTTGCTGCCTCAGCTTTCGCTGCGGTGGGAAAATTCTTCTTCCTCTCTGCTATCCATGCTGCTATATCTGCGGGAGTCTGCAGCGTTGCCGTGCGACCTTTGTATTCAAATTGTAGAACTGCTGAGTTGGATTGTGCTCCTGAAGCCATGTTACTGGACAGCTTAGTCTCTTCGTCCTCATCGGAGCTAGATTCGTGGTCTTGGGAGGCTGGCGTGAGTCCTAATTGATTATGCTTTCGAGGCTTCTTCTTCGGCGTTGATGAGGGTGTCGGTTTGGAAGCTGGTTGAGCAAGTATATCACCGCCAAAGCTCGGTACAGCGGGTGCTGCCTGGGGTCGGAGCAAGGAAGTAGCCGGTTTGTTGAAGGCCGCAGAGTAAGGTCGCTTTTGCCCATAGTTGGAGGTTTGAAAGCTTTGTGGCAGAAACTGAGCATCCTGGCTTGGATTCTGCGGATGCGAAAAGTTCTTTTTATAGCCATTGATATTGTGATCAAAGCTTCCCATGCCATGACTTCCTCCGTATGCTCCGCGAAATCCGGGACCTCTTCCCACATATCCACGGCCCGTTGATGCATCACCACGACCTCTCCCTCTACCAGAATTGTCTCGTCGGCCCCTGCCAGTGCTTCCATGGTATGATGCGTAGTTTGAACCTGCGAGCGTGGAAAGAGGCTGCGAGTCTTTCCGAGATGGAGGCGGGGGAGGTGGGGGAAAGGAGAAAGGCTGGGCCATGCTGTGGTAACGGTCACTATGGACGCATATCGAATACGTGGAGTGATAGCAAGCTATAGAAGCGGTCTCCTGGTTAAGGAGTGTGTCAAGGAGTGTGAAACGTGACACATGTACTCAGTCTCAGTGGTCAAACAGAGGAGATGACTCGAGAAACAAAAAGAATTGGAGATCACGAAGCACATTCAGACTTCTCCAACTTTCCCCCTTCTCCACATGCCTGGAGTCACAGCTCAAAGTGGGAATTTGGGATTTTGCTGGATATAGAAGCCCTTACACCTTTGTCTTGGTGCAATGCATAAAAGAAACTTTATATTCTAGACACACCATAATCTTCTGTGCTCAATCACAAGAAGAAACCTTCTTATGCGTCGAGGATCATAAATTCTGCAATCCAATATGATATTCTTACAAAACATATATACCTCAAACCAGCACAAACTCTTGCTACGGGTTTCGTGATGTTCATTCTCGTACGGGCCATCTTATCGCAAATCACTCCCAGTGGCCTACTGACAAGCTTCCCCAGACTACCATCTCAGATCTTGTCCAGATCCCACCTCATGAGTTCTACAAAGTGAGCCGGGATGAGGTCGAGGACAAAGTCAATGAAAAATACTCCAACAAAGTACACAGATCCATAGCATTGTGTCAGAGTGATCGATCGTATTGACCGCTCCCCCAGGTGGTTCAGAAGATTGGACTATGCATTTGTATGTATGATCTGCTGAAAGTCTCCGATGGACTCATAGGCCACGGTGATGGCTTCGTCAATGTCAACGGTAGGCGTGTTTCTAAGTCCACTGGGATTTTTGGGTGGACTGATGAGGAGATAGTCGAGTTCCGCCTTGTCGTTTTTCGTCCTTTCAAGGGAGAGATCATTACAGGAAGGATTTCTAGCTGTACAGAGCAGGGTATTCGAGGTATGTTCATCCGGTCTAGCAGTCCTTTAGGCAGCATTCTTGTAGCTAAGCTAATGGAGAGCCATGCTCAGTCAGTGTGAATTTCTTCTCCGACATACACGTCCCGACTAGTCTGCTCTTCGAAGGATCCACATTGTAGGTGTTATGTTCTTTTCCCCGTGAGCTCTGATCCTCTATTTCCACCTATGCTTATCTGCGCGCTTTCCCAACCCGACCTTCTCCGAACCTATTTCACCTACCCATATCACCCTCTGCCTTTCCCATCTCCTCACCATGTTTTTCCCATACAACCCCCAGGTTCCTTACTCTATCTCACTCTTCCGCCCGTACCAGCATAGCCGACGAACAAACCTACGCCTGGCGCCCCCCCGATGCTCCTGCAGAGTCAACCTGCTATTTCGACGTGGGCGAACTGGTCCGTCTCCGCGTTGAGTCAGAAGAATGGCACGACCATGCGCCCACTGGACCGACCCAAAGCCAGAAAGCAAAGGAGAGGTTGCAGCAGCAGAGGGATCTGCATAGAAGGAGTGGTGGTGGACAGAATGGTGACGCGGAAATAAATGCTGAGATGGCAGAGGAGGCGGATAGGAGGGCACCTTATGTCATAATCGTGAGCCCGCCCTCATGTCTCTCTCCAGTTCCTTTTGGGTCCGGAACTTTACCATCAGAGAGCTTTGCTAACATCTGTCTTTGGCGAAAAGGGCTCTATGTGTGCTGATGGGTTGGGTGGAGTGTCCTGGTGGTGATGCGTCACGCCTAAGGCTTTGCCAGTGCCTACTGGTACTATTATCTGGCGGCTCAGATAGCTTTCGATACACGAAATATTATGGTGTGCAAAGAGGTAGCGCTAGATCACAGATCGACATGGCATCACAGTTCAGCATGGCATGATACTACATAACCAGCTACTTGACTGTATTGGTATTCAGGGCGGTGGATATGCTCTTGACGAGCGGAAAATGTTTGAAGAATCAACTGCAAACTCTGCCATTTACACCAGGCTAAATCACAACCAGAGAAGTAGAAGCAAAAAAAAGTAGAGCATGTTTACGGCCTCGAAAAGGCCGTTCCTCGATTCATCTGTCGCGCTGATATGTACAATCCTTCCATCCAATATAGACATGTTCTTATTGGATTTCACTCCTTGAATCCAGGTGCAACCTTCTTGCTCCCACCCACCCACGGCATCCAACTCGGAAACCTCCCACCAGTAGTATCGTCATAGACAGTCGTAATCTTCCCTTTCCTCTTGATCCTCTCCGCCCTTTCCTTTTCCACCTTCTCGTTCTCCCGGGCATAATACTCCATCAGCTTGCTGAGGTCTGCGCCCCCTTCGCCTGCTACCACATTCCATGGCGACGATCGATTTAGAGCCCTAGAGATAGAACACATCAGCGAACCCTCTCCTCATAAGCTTTGAAAGATGGGAGAGCTATGGGACCAAAAACACTCACTCAGGATACCTCAGATCGACCCCCGAATGACTCGGCGTCGCAGACGCAAACAATTGTCGGTCAAACGCCGCCTGCTCCGCAGCAGCCTGATGTAGTGCATTCCTCTGACCATCGCGTTCCTCACGGTGCTCCTTGAAAGATGCAATCAGGCGTGTTATCCGGGGTGCGGTTTCCGAGGATGTGGCGAGAGTGTAGCCGACGAGGCCGACAGACATCAGCGAAAGGCTGATGTAGAAGCCTTTCTGTGAAACTGTCAGATTGGATCCGTGAGGTAAGAGGGGATTTGAGCGAGGCTGAGGGAGGGGGTTTGTCGTACACCGAACGATTCAGACCCGGAACCTGCTGGGACATGGTGGGCACTTTCGCCATGGTGGGCGGATTGTGAGGCGAACCGTGGGCTTTGTCGTGTTAGAAGCTGTCTCGAGGACTGAGCCGCAGCTCTACCTCCTCTTGATAGCATTGTGGCCGTAATCTTGGTGGGGGGTGGTCTGGTGTTTGTACTTGGGCTTCCGAGGTTCACCTTATAACGTCCGATGGTTGAATTGCCCTAACTAGTTAGTTAACTAACTTTAGGATTAGTTACAAGCACAGCACTGTAGTAGTTAGTGGCCGGAGCAGCCCATTCATTTGCGGGCCGGTCCAGAGGCACCTGGCTTAAGCCAATAAAGTCAGCTCATGCTTTGCCTCCAAGCGCAGCTTCCTACTAGTATCTGAGCTGATATTTGTTGAAATGCATTCACCGTCGTGGCTTGATGCTGTTGTATCACGAGCATGAATTGATTGCTATTGTCTGTACGGTGTCTGAATGCAGTCCTTTGATCTGGGAACATCTGTTGATACATCGAGACTTGAATATGCAGACAGGCAAGTAGGCCATTGGATTTCCTTACAATTCTCTCACATCGCATACAAGATTCACATACCCTGTCTGATTGCCTCTCCATACATTCGATGCATGATTCAGACTTGCAACAGCGCTTCTCAAGTCGGTACCCATTCCTACTGGTCCACTCCCAACCACATCAATTGTTCCGGCTGTGCACGATGTCGCGAAGGCGTCCAATAGCTCCGCTATTTGAGGATGATGGTTCTCCAGTTGTTTGACGTGGATGAACCGCCCACCAGCACAGAGAATGTCTAGACGCTCACTCACCGAGGATCTCTCCACATTCTTGAAGGTTGTATCTTCACCTATCTCATTGCTGATGTCGCTTGTGACTGGACTTGAAACGCATGAGCCTGTCGCTTTCGGCTCGTTCGTTGATCGTCTTGTGACCAAGATGCTAATCTTCACCCTGTCCGCGTATAAGGCGACTTTCTCTTTATCACAACGAACCCGGTCTTCAATGCTCTTCTTCAATCCCTCAATCTCTGGTAGAAACCACTGAATATCTGCCCTCTTGCGGACAATCCACACGAGCTGTGTTAAGCCCCTTTCCCGGTCGTCGACAGTCTTGGCCAGCAGTTGCAGAACCTGTGGGAAGACGAACGAGATGCCTGTACCTCCTGCGATAGCAAGCATGTTCTTTGCTCTGCTAGTATCTGTAATTTCACTTCCCGCGCCATAGGGCCCTGTCAGCAACACATCCAGCGAGCTCTCACCGCCCCGGCTAATCGCCAGATCTGCCAATCTTCTGGTGATGCCTCTCTTGACTCTCATGACGTACACGTGACGCTGCCATTGTGGATGCTCTGAAGATAGGGATGCCGGTGTGAATGGATGCGCCTCCCACCATGCCAATTCCGGAAACGTCAAGAAGAAGTGTTGCCCAGCACGCCAGGGTCCGTGGTTGTGTTCGAGCTCTAATCGCAGTATCTTCCCACCATCTCCATCTTCAAAGACCTTTAATTTTGCTTCTGCCTTCTTGAATCCCACGCAGTTTTTCGTGCCAAGATAGCCGGTATGGATAAGTAATAACCGCATAAGCCGTATGCCTCGGTCGATGGCAAGTAGAATGATAGCTGCGATTATCCAGCAGGCCAGACCCGTCCAATGGATCCAGCAAGCGGCCAAGTACAAAGCGGCAGTGACGTAATGCGTCAACTTAAAGAACTGATACCCGGTCCGTCGTACAATACGCTTCAAACTCCCAAGGTATAAGACCGTTATTAGCAACATGGCTACAACGCCGAAAATGATGTACAGCTGGCTCATGAATTCGCGATATACGGCCGGTTGAGGCTGGTAGAGACGTGCTTCGATAATGGTCCACCCAAGGGTGTGCAGAAATGATTGGATGAAGATGATGCGACCAGTCCAGACATGGAGGAATAGGAATGAAGTATGTGGTAAGCCTGTCAGAAGGGAAAGAGCCGAGTCTCGAGAGGAAAGGAGAATCGAGAGGGGTGTCAGGGCATAGGCCAGGGCTCCAACTCGGTCGGAAAAGCCACCCAGGCCGGTACGGGTGTTGAACTTGCCGGGTGACTTCTTCACCGGAGTGATCCATGTTCTGTAAGATATACCCACGAGCCTATTGAGAAGAGGCATGTTAGTGAATGTAGTGATTGAACTCTGTATTTGGGTTTGATATGGAACAACAGAAGAAGCGATCGATTCAGGTAAGGATCTAGCTTACGAGAAGATGAGCAAATAAGCCAGCAACCCAGCCAGAAATACTAGCTGCACCCTCGAGATGTGGCCAAAGACACCTGTGAAGCTCTCCGGCAGCATATAATGGTTTATTGTGGCTGTTGTAGCCCTCCAGACTCTCAGTGCATTGGATTGACCATGTTTGCTCTCCGACGCTTCTGCGTCCCGAAAGGTTGCCTTCAAAAGTCCCGTTGACTTTTCACGTGGTCTGAAGATTCGAACAGCTACCCAGAGCGCCAGAACACCACCTATGACGGCCCATAAGATGAAGGTGTACAGCATGGAGAGGTCGTGCATCCGGTAGACGGCATCAAGGTACTCACAAGTTCCCTGATCGTTGACACAGGGGACTACCCGATCGGGGTAGCCCCAGTGAGTCTCCAGACCGGCGGCATTGTCATGGTCCTGGATGTGAGCCCGACGGAGATGAGTGCCCATGATGGCTGGAGAGGTACCAGGAAAATGGAATGGAATGAGAAATCAAATTTGACCGATAGAAATTATGAGATGAACGAACGACAACAGGGAAATAGTAACTTTTCTTGTTATAAGAGATCGATGAGCATATCGGCAGGGCTAGATATGGCCCAAGGGAAGTCCATCCCGTCTGAGTGCAATATTTTCCTGCTCTGGATCGTTTGAGAAGCACTGCAAAAGGGCGGAGAGAGCATTAGTTCTCAACCGCTACGGCGGCACACTGCAAATGCAGAGCAGGTTCGGATTCTGGCCCCTTGGTAGCTCGTAATGTCCTCATGCGTTGAGCAAGGACTGAGTGAGTTCCTCCCCTCCAAGTTCCAGCAGTACCATTAGAGGTCAGATTCTTGAGCAAGTTTATCCCTAGCAGCCGGCCTTGGCGACGCCCTTAGGGAAGGCAGCTTCCAGAAGGAGCTTAGTATGCAGTCCGTTGTATTTTCTACCACGTCCTCTAACTTAGCCAACATAGATTCTGCTTCTTACATCGTGCACCGCACATACCTTGCAAGACTCTGCACCCCCTTGCCACCGTCAACGAATAACGTGCTCGCCATGTTGGTCACAAAATATCCTCATGTCTGAAACACTACACTTTGCACTGGGGAATACTCGTGCCATAAGTCATATATCATACTTATAAATCATCAACCTTTTGAGCATATCATTATCATTAAAACGGTACGGAGTATCCTGCACCGAATCCTGATCGCGCCTTGGCACCCAGTTAAGTTGGCGGTTTTGGCTGTCTGACTCAGGAGTTAGTCACCCAGCTCAACTTCCGCTCAGCCTCTTACTCATCTTCTGTCCTGGTGCTGCTCAGGGAACTTGAGAAAAGCTAGCGTGGTCTACAGATCCATCGTCTACATATATCCCACATATAGTGACATAAATCTCATGACCCACCACTAGCAGAGTCTAGATCAGGAGGTCTAGTCTAGCCCTCATTGCCATCACTGGCAGATGCCTCGTATTACTAAGGGGCTGATGATAAACATTTCATACACAACTTGAACCCCATTACCCCACAAGCAACTGCCCCGTATTACTAAAGGGCTGATGATCAACATTTCATACACAACCCCATTACCCCACAAGCAAATACCTCGTATTAGTAAAGGGCTGATGATGAATATCTCTTACACAACCACGTTACACCACAAGCGAATGCCTCGTATTACTACAGGGCTGATGATAAATATTTCTTACACAACCACGTTACATCAAGGCAGAGGCCGGTTCTTGCAATAGCGATGTCATCCTTGAAGGAGCAGACAATGAGTTGAAAGAGTGGAAGATATCAGGATAGCTGCTACCGCTGTCGCCTATAAAGTTCGACGATTTTCACTTTTACATCAACTTGAATCAGCAACTCATCTCTCTCTCTCTCTCTCTCTCTCATAGCCTTTCGAAACGCATAGAAGCCAGTGTGCCAATTCAGTGCCGTTGCTATTCGCGAAAATGAAAGCCCATAGACTTATCCTTTCTGCTTGCATTGCCGCAGTTGTCGCCAAGGGTAAGCGAGTTGCTTAAGTTTGGGGGTTGTAAGCACCGGTCAGCTAACGTAGGGACTCACTCAGCATACACCTTTGAGAGACTGGACAAGAATAATTCGGGTAAGATAGTATTTACTACGAGTTGCAGCTTGAAGGTAATATACTAACATGAATATTCGCAGTACTTCTTGTCGTCGATCACCAGATTGGGCTGGCCCAACTAGTCAGGGACTTCACGCCGACCGAGTTTTGGAATAATGTCCTTGCTCATGCTGCATTGGGGAATTTGTTCAACTTGCCGACCGTTATGACAACATCAGCAGAGACGGGTAATGCTCTTCCCTAGTGGATAAAAGATACCCTTCTGAACATGTTGGTGGCAGGTCCCAATGGGTATCTACCGCGGGAGATCATCGAGATGCATCCTAATGCGCCTCTCATTCGAAGGAATGGCGAGGTCAACGCTTGGGATAACCCGGAGTTCAGAGCAGCAGTTGAGGCAACAGGAAAGAGGCAGGTCATCCTCGCTGGCATCGTGACTGAGGTTTGTACGTTGAGTTATGGTCATTTCCGGTGTTCTTTTGAGCATTCCACTCACAAGCCATTAGGTACTGCTTTCCTTGCCCTCTCACTAAGAGAAGCTGGCTACTCCGTCTGGGCAAATACCGACGCAAGCGGAACCTTCACTCCCCGCCTGGCGGACGAGGCGAACAGACGTATGGAGCAAGCTGGGGTACACTTAGTAAGTTGAACATTTTCAGAGTCGGTTCAGTTGCTGAGATACCTCCAGATGGGAACGTTTGCTATAGTTGGGGATCTCATGAGAGACTGGAGGAATACGCCTGGGGCGGCTGAAGTTTTTCCTTACTTAGACACGGTAAGCAGCGGGCAAGAAATATCAGAAACACCTCTTCCGATGCTGATTCTCAAAAGTACCTAACGGCATTCTCTATCACGGCACGAGCTCACGGTGGAGCGGTAGAAAACGGAACTATAGTCCCAGGCCAGGCTGGATTGATCTGAAGGTTGTCTGTCGGAACTCTGTCTGAGAAGTAGAGCGAGTAGTAGCCGGAGAGCAGTAAAAGGTTGAACTGTGGATACTGCTAAGAGACCGACAACGGCTTTGTGAAATATTTGTTGATAACAGTCAGATGGCGGAGTGCGATAGGCTCATACCTTCACGCGGTGCTCTCTGTCAGTATCTCATAGAGAGTAGACTCTATGAGAGAAGCTAAGATAAGTCCTCTTGCCTGCGAACAATTACAACGCGTTATAGTAGGTGCCTTCTTAGCAGCCTTACAACTAAAGTGTTGCAAAAGAACTCTATTAAGCAAAAGTCGCAAGCGTATATAAGCTCAGGGTAGAATTCAGTTGATGTTCAAGACTGCTCAGGGTTGCTCAGGACTGCTCAGGCTCGGAGCAGTCTTGCACAGCCACAGCTCAGGGCAGCTTATTTATCGTTCAGGTTGCAGTCACGTGGGCTCAGGTCTTAAAACAGAAATTGAATTTGGAGAGGTTGAGATTCGGGTATGAGTCTTCTGGTATCTGGAACTATCGGATGCATGATAGAAGTCTCATAAGACTCGGCAGATCAATCTTGATGCGCTTTCGACCAGGGGGAGCCGGACAGAGCTTCGAATAACCTCTGGCTACTCTCAACCACAGCAAACCGTAGGATCTTTTACGTCGCCTGGGCTGTTAGAATCGTTGATTAGCACTAGACAACAATGACTGCACAAAGTGAAGATCTTACCCAGGCCACCCACCAAGGGCTTCCCAATTGAAGATGAAAGACCCAATAAGAGCGCCGATAAGGATACAGATGATGATGTATCCGTTGTAGTACATTGCAAGCAACATGATGAAGTATGCGACACCAAACTGTAACATATGAAGTAAAGCTCTGATGAATTGCTGCAACACGTTGGGTTTGAAAGTGCGTCCCTGTCCAATGCCTCGTGTCACTGTCACGGCTCCGTCTTTTGCGCCTCCGGCATGGTGAGTGGCATTGAGGGTCTCGTCCGAAGACTCGGTAGGTGTTCTTTCCGAGGACTGCCGCTCGAATTGGCGGACAAGATATCGATCATACTCCTTGCCCAAGCGGCGGAGGAACTCGAGAGAACACACGAGAAGGATGACACCGATACAAGAACCGGCAAACATTCCGCCGGACGTGATATGCCAAGTGCGAGAGATGAAGCCTGGTAGTTAAATGAGGATCTTTTTGGTTTGCCGAGGTTCGTCTTGCAGAGTTTCACTCACAGGCGTCGACAGTATACCAATTCCACAACATCTTTCCGTTATCAACCTCGTAAATTCGTGGCAGCACGAGCATTACTGACCGAGATTTTGCAGGAGGAGCCGCCGCCCATGCCCATGCCTCCCATACTGCTGCTGGTCGTAGCAGGCGCCCCAGCTGCTGTACCCGTTGCTGATGTCGATGGCGACATGCTCATGCTCATGCTCATGTCCATTCCCGTAGCAGACGTACTCATCGAAGACATATCCATGATTACTGATTAATCTTCAAAGAGGTCTAGCAATTGGCGGAGCTAGCTTGTAGAAAGACAGGAGTTCAAGAAGCTAGAAATTCGTATGCAGAAGGTGTAGACAACGGGTAAGGTATATACACGGGCTCGGGGCGGATTGGTACTATTTAATCGTGGCCGCACATGGTGGGGGACACATGGGCATGGCGGGTCGCCATGCAAATGAGCAAGTTTTTCGCCTGGGACAATGACTGATCCATTTTGAGCAAATATCACAGTAGTGTTGGTAGTGACGTTGCTCAAAATCTGTGATTCAAGTAATCTCTTTCCAATTCACTTGCTCCGATCTGAATTAGGAAAGTTGTTCAGTAACACGCAGGCCGGGCGTCTACTGCCTGCGCAGTCCTTTGGGATCAGGGTTAGCAGAGCACATGCAGTGCAGTGAGCGGTTCAGGCCAGGGGTCCCGTCCCATATAAACAAATGGTGGCGCACTTGGCGCATCAGATATCAACAAAATGAACGAGAAAAACAGCTTACTGTTTGTCATGCTTCTGCGTACCATACAATCCGTCAGCCAAACTTATGGCAAGAGCTACACCAAAACTTTAAAGCCTACATGTGCCTTGGAAGACCTTAAATGACTAGGAGCTTCAGGAGAGTGGTATTTTCAATGTGCTTTCAAAAAACTGCCTATGGGTGGATTGAAGACTTGGTGTCATTGCTAGTTCTCGAAGCGACACCATCAATATGCTCACTTCCTGCCATTAAGAATTGATATTGTATTAGTCCGGGCACAGCCACTCATCCTTTGAGGAGGCAAGGTTACAAGGCGTGGTATACTAGTCTACAACAAAGATACCCTGATGTCTGATGATGTACTGCTAATCTTTACCCTTGAGAAGACCTGGAAACCCATGGGATTGGTGGCTCATCAGCACATGGGAATAGGTCCCATGGGCCGCCGGTTCCAGTGGTATTGTTTTGAGCCAGCGTTGCCCTTTACGGTTAATTTTAGACGGGCCGGTCCTTAACAGAATGCCGATGACGCTGCATCCGACCTGTAACAGCAAATCAGGCCGTACTACGGGGACCCATGAAGTGCTGTTAGTTCAGCGCTAGTATCTTTACTGAAAACGTTCTTTTTACAAAACAGCTAAGCCGATATTAGTTGAAGGGGAAAATTTTAATCCATTGAAATGAACGTGCTTAAATCAGGCTCTGCAGTAACAAATCACTGGACTGTGATAGAGTAGCAAGCACTAGCCGCTACTAGCACCAGCCTAACTATAGTTATGCCTCCCCCCTGTAGTAGTCAGTCACGCCCTCACTTACGTGAATCAGTCGAGTATCAGGCACTATGGATCTTGAACAAACTCGTAGCCTGTGACTAATACCAGTGATCCTGCCGAAGGTTCAAACATCTGTCCGTTCCAAAAAGATGGTACTAACATAAGCAGCTTGGGTCATGCAGGTTCGTCTGCATTTTGTAAATTGCTGCCCAAGCTAGCATGAGGACTCGGAACTTCTGTAGTTGTCGTGCCCAAGCCGCTGGTTAATCTCATGGATCTGGCCAGTTGCAGTGCTCACAGACCCAGTTCGAACTCCTCTGACGTATGCATGTACCACCAATTAACTTCTTTCTGCTCAGGTGCTGTATCACCCCCAGTTTTAAATTTAGACTGGTTGTCGTTTTTCCTGTACTCCGTATAGTTCTCAATTCCCTATTGCTGTCATATTTTTCATTTACCCTAATCTTGAGGCTTCGGACTGAAAGGCCCGCCCCAAAGCCCTTTGATATTGGACCGCGTCACAATTCCATACCACCTTTTCATGTCGTTTGTGTTCCTTCGGATGAACACTTCGTGGCACCATGAAGTCCTCCTTTTCTTCCACCTCGCCTTTCGCGTATCAAATCCCGCCTTCGTCGAAAAGTCATCGATCTGGCGAACACTCAAGAAGCAAACCTTTACCCGAAAGCGGCGATGTATCGGAGCGGATTGTGAAGAAGCCGCCCCGAAGCTCTGATGAGGGAAGATCGAAAGGCAAAAGCTCTCGGTCTCAGTCATCTTCTGCGTCTACTCTTTTTTCGCAACCCAATGTCACACTTGAGGATATACCAATCTCAAACCTACCATCATCATTGTCGACAACAAGGCCGGCTATGGTAACTCCCCGGCCAGCTCCACAATTCGTTGAAAGGTCTGTAGCACAACGAGCCCCGACTCTCCAACCAACGGTGGAAGAAGATGTCCAGAGTGTCACATCAACTCCAAGGATGGCCAAGAAACTTCCACAGAAGTCAATGGACGCTGTGCAGCCACCACCACCGCCGAGCACACCAGAACTTACCACAGCACCATTGCCAGTACAGAAACAAGATTTTCCCAAACCACAGCTAGTACCTGTGGAGCCGACGGTCGGCATTGGTGAGGCTCAACATCCCTCTACATCCCCATCTAGCACGGATGGATCACCTGCGCAAGCCAAATCTAAGCCTAGAAGAAGCCTTGATGACTCCATGACAAGACACTCAGTCGCAGCACCAGGTAATTCAGCAGTAACATCGGCGGCCATAAGAATATCCCCACCTCAGTCTCCCCAACTTCATGTTTACAATCCTCATAACTACCACCAGGGCTATATGTCAGCGGCTCCCCTTCCGGACTCTAAGAGATCCTCCCCTGCGCCCCAGCCGCCTCAGAGTATGCCACCCATCAACTATGGGTATTTGCCAATGATGGGAGGTGGACCGCAACCATCGGTGTATGCTAATCCTTATTACGGAATGCCATTCTCGCCACCTGCAGAACCCAGCTTGCAGAATAACGATTCTCCAAGATCCCCACCTCCAGCTCAGGACGAGCATGAGCAGCTCCTAGAAAAAGTTGCTGGTGTCCTGCCTGATATCAACAGACTGCTGAACAACTATAAAGAAAGACAAGGTCGACTTTCTGCTAGAGAGTTGCTAGAAAAACAAGCGCATCTCTCTCACAGCGAACAGTTGAACAAAGTTGGAATAGAGCTAGAGGCCACAAAAAAGGAGTATGAAAAAGTGATTCAAGAGCTCGTCAGCGAAAGAGGAAAGCTGGAAAGAGAACTTACAGTCCTCCGGCCTCGGGTGACCGAGTTGGAAAGTGCCGAAGCTGAAAAGAAAGCCCTAAAGGCCGAATTGGAAGCCATGAAGGTGAGCAAGAAGGAATTGGCAGAAGCATTGGATGGTACTAGAAGGGCTAAAGAAGAAATGCAAACCACCAAGCTTGCTAATGACACGGAAAATGAAGCCCTCAGGAAAGCTCTTCATGATGAAAGAGAACTGCGCCAGCGTTACGTTGCGGATGTGAAGGTTCAGGCCCAGGATCAGATCGCTTTGAAGCAAAGGGAGTTCTCTAAGATCGTCGATGATCATAAACTCAACTATTCAAAGGCCCAGATGGAATTAACATCTTTAATATCTAAGCATAGTATTCAAAAGGCGGATTTGGACGCTGCTCGAAGCTCAGAAGCAGACCACAAAACCAAACTCAGCCTGAAAAGTAAAGAATTCGATGACGCCCTTCTAAGACACCGGCAAGAGATCGAAACGATAAAGAAAAAGCATGAGCAAGATCGAGGAAAAATGGCGCAAGGAGCTGAGGAACGGGTCGCCCAAATATGCCAAGAACATTCGATCAAGGAGAAAGAATGGAAGCAAGAGTTTCATAGTATTAGCGCTGAGCTCGAATCGCACAAGTTAGAAAGCCAGCGCCTTCGGGCTGAGCTGGAAACGCTTGAAAAAAGCAAAAATGAAGAGAAGTTACACAAAACGGCTGAGCTTGTTGAGAGCCTTGCGCTCTGGAGGACGAAATCCGATGAACTTCAGAAGCAGAATCAGAACCTGGATAGACTCTTGCAGAGTCTTGGGTGTGCCGCTAGGAATTAAGAGCTAAGGGAAATTATTGCTGTGGATGAATGTCTCCTCCGTTCATCACCGGCCCTTAGGGTAATAGGGAGTGATTGACCCTTGCATAGTCGTGAGGTATTTCGCCAACTTGCAGAACAGATCGTTGAGGTTCTCGTGAATGCCTCGTCACAATACTGAGCCACCAGCAAAGCCCCAGATACTCGCGATTCCATGTGAGGTTCCCAATTTCATAGATATGAGTACTGCCACAATGGTCACGGAAGCATGCTATATGCAACGCATGATATCCAGCATATTGCTCGTTCGAACCTTACGTTGAAATCCAACTCTCCCTAACAGACGATGGGACCGAGTAGAAACGTTCCTGCAGCCACTCACATAAAGCACAAACGTGGACGCCCTGAGTCTGCTTGGAGACCAAATACCTGCGAGCTGCATATACATTTTCAAGCCAGAGAAACAACAAATGTAGCGAATGCGATGATTGATCAATCATCGAAAAGGTCGAGAACGTTGCTCACCGTTTTGCAATGGCTAGCCATAAAGCTTGCATTTACGGCCTCGTGGAAATAGCTGTAAGGGTATGGAGATACGCTCAAATTGAGAGAAAGACCGCTAGCCCATTCATGCTCGAGACTGAAGCTGTTGATTTCCAAGGATGCAACCGGCCCGAGCCTGAATGCGACGCAGCCGTTGACGAGGATTTGTCGCATGGCCATGGGACAATGACACTTTGCATACTCAACAAATAACCTGGTGTATCCCCTCCTCTCACCGTCACAAGACCTGTCTCGACAGGCAGAGGCATATAAAGTTGGAAATCAACCTTGGACCTATTTGCAGGGGAAAGCTCTCTTCACCAACTCCTCCATTGGCGTTTGCCACTCGTAGGGAGCTCATAGCAATACCTGAAGTTTGCTGCTAGGCCCGGGAAAAGTCGCAGTTCAGCAATGAAACCAACACATCCCGTAATTCTGTGGGTAAAAGGGATCCCTGCTCACATTCAGCAAGGCTGGACGTGGTGGAGTCCAGCTAGCTAGGCTATTCCTCAAAGCATGTTTCCTTACTCCGTCGTTCTTCATGCTGCTGTCGATGATCTTAATAATCATTGCTAGTCAGGATCTGAAAATCTTCTTAATGGAAGCCCTGCCCAGGCATTCAAGGCTAATCATTCTTGTCAAAATGTGGTTGACCTCAGAACCACTTGCGTAGCTGCGCCACGACCACTGCCAGTATTCTCACCCTCTCGAACCATGACGGAGAATTCTGGCAGTTTTTGACGACACACATGCATCATGCACCGCAAAGACACGTTGGCATCTGAAACAATGTACATGAGATCATCTTAGGCTATCATGCATTTCAACAGCTGCAATGATCGTCCATAATACCCTTCACGCGACTTGGATTCTGCCTTGTGGATGATCAAGCCACATCCATGGATGAGCTATCACCAAGCAGTACTAGCTGGTGTCTAACTACGTAGTACGTTATAGCTAAGCGAGTTAAGCGTTGGGCTGATCCCGTGGCTAAATCTGTTCGGGTTCGAATTCGAGTTCGCGCGTGGGTTTAGCGCCCAGTACGGCCCCCATTTTGCGCAGTCTTCGATGTACGTGATCTCCGCGCTGGACGTACTGCGCATTCCTAGCATACTACTAGACAGCAAAGTCCACCGCCTCAGGCGTTTCCTCAATCAGCCATCGAGTACGCCATATCATCCATACTCGATCATCTGCTTTCGATGTCATCTCCAACCTCACAAGCCCCGTGAATCCCCTGGTCAGTTGCGCCTTGTCGACCTGTTCTTGCACCCCAACGCTCAAGGCCGATTGCTGCACCTCGTTATCCAAAGATTATTCTATTCTTATCGCATGATCCAGTACTCGTTGCTGTGTGTTGATCTGCTTTTTGGGAAGCAGTTGGCAGCACCAATTCTGTCTGTGAACGCAACGACGGTACTCTAAGTGTGCTTACCAGTGGTACAGTTCAGTCCCTCTGTTGCCCCAAAGTGGTCACAAGCTGCCCTTCAGCACGTTTCTTACCTACACAACTCCTAGACGTCTATCTCAGGGCAATCCTTTGAAGCGCGGCCCCTTGCAGTGGCCCAGCTGCAGTCAAGGGCATGTAGGTCAATACCGGTGCGACCAACATACCACCACAGTTAAGCACGACCGATTGCTTTCCCTCCGTACGAAGCTTCTCTGAGGCTACCACGACAGGCCCTACCGGATTGACACACGGCCAAGCTCGGTTATATAATAAATTTATTGGAGCCGCAGGCATGTCAAATGTTGCATCCCAGCCTCGTGCTTCTCGCTCGCCTTCATGCATTAATCGAGACGTAGAGCTGGATTATCCTCAAGAGCCAGATCAATTTGATCGTTTCATTCCTTCAATTCCAGAAGAGTCTTATCCTAACCATAATATTTCCTTGACCCAACCCATGTCTGATGTACTCAAAGGTACGTCACAGTCTTGCCCTACCGTCACAAGCAAACCTCGTATTAATTGCCGCAGATCAGTTTATTGTCGAGACCGAGCAGTATTCTGCTGATCTAGGCACTTACAGCCACGCCTTCTCCCCTCCGACCTTGGACCACAATTTCCAGACGCCTGAGTATTCCTCTGAGAACCAATTCAGTGACCCAAGTGTCCCCCACACTCCCATTTGGGAAGATAATTGGTTTCAATCCGGTGCGCCAGTCGAGTTGGATAAGACCGAACCTCTCACTAAACATGCTTCAAATGACTCTAACCATCTCGCTATAAACGGTGCGCTCTATGATACAATTCAAAGCCGAGAGCTAAAGGTCGTTTCTGCGCTTCTTCCGTCAGAAATCCCGCCACAGTTGATGAGTCCGCAGCTCACAAACACTCCTAGTCCTTCTGGTCAGCATTCTCAGAACGGAACCATGGGCCCAACAAGCGTTCCCGTTGGTGTGACACCACAGAGCAACCCGGAAGAGAACAAGGCTCGGTCTAGGAGTCTACGCGTAAACCCGCACCACACCCCAGCAAACTCTGGGTCTAGCAGTCTTCAAGCAAGTCCATCAGATGCATTCATCCCAGCACCAAGTCCTATATTGATGGTCTCAACTTATAACCGCGGCGACTCACCTGCCAGGTCAGCCATCCCTATGGTAAGAAGTTCCAGTAAGAGGAGTCGAACTAGTCAATCTTCAGCTTTTCTGGCGCCTGCCAATCACTACTCGGATGATGAAGATGATGATGGACTACACCATGGCCCCGGTCAGTCGGCGTCCTCACACGTATCACGGGCCAAGGATGGCTCTTGGCTGCCGGACAGCACGAGCGGACATACAGGATTAGATCCTACAGCGCGAGGCGATCAATTTGTTCCGTCACCCAAAGAGATCGAAGAAAAACGGCAAATCGATGAGAAGAATGCAGAAGTCGCCTCGTGGTTAGAGAAGAGCGAAGCAGGTAGCGAGCTTGGTGAGGAACTTGAAGTGGGTGCACAACCGCGTCCCACGAGGTTGGCAAGACCTAGAGCTCGTGCTCATAGCACTGGAGCTCGGACTGGGACCCCTAGGCTTAGCGCACCGGACGATTCATGTATCCCAGGTCCAGGAGTCGTGCTCGATGAAGACAGTAACGGCGCGTATACTGAAGACTCCGCCTCACGGTCTTCGGCAGATGATGTTCCAGAGTCTCCGCCTGCCGACGTTGACGTTCACCTGTCTGATGATCAAAGCTTATTTCCTGCCATTGAAGAAATTCCTCCGGAGCAGGAAGAGCCGCTTCCACGCCAATTTATCAGAGCTCAGCCATGGCAGGATGTGGTAAGGGGGCCAATTTCATATGACGCAGTGTATCAGCCGAAGACTTCGAACGCTGCCATGTACAAATATGATCTGCTAGCAACAAAGTTTGAGACAGCTTCGCGCGCAGCTACCTGGGGCACTCGGAGACGATTGAGCGAGACTGATGTTCAATCCATATTGTCTGGTCAGAGTGTCAGAAAGCTTTCACTTGCTCAAAAGACCCGCGAACGAGGAAATAGCTTTGTCAAGCAAGCGTCAAGATTTATACCACGCAGGAGCAGCAGCAATGCTAAGAAGAAAGATGCCGAACCCTCACGGGATAACTCAAGTACGGAGTCATTGCAGAAGAAGCGTACAGATACTTTATCAAGCTTTAAATCTCTTCAACGAATTCCCAGTATTGGCAAAGCTCCAAAAACACCTCCAGTGAATACTGGAGGTGCTCTTTTGGCGATGACCGGTCAACTCACAGCGGTAGGACGAAGCACGTCTGCCAACCCGGATACCGGAGGGTTTCTGCAGGGTCCATGGCAGGCTTTGAGCCGTCATAGGAGTAAGAGTGAAATTCCGAGAACGAAATCCTCTGATACACCTGGATTGGCACAGCTCATGACTAATCATGGAGGCCCTCCGATGCCGACTCTTGTCTCACCAATGCAGGAGAAAGCTTCGGTGGAGAAACGTCCTATGGTGCATGCCGATGATGACCAGGAGATCGATGAGGACGAGGATGAGGCAGAGCCCATCACCGAACAGGGAGTAAGAATCGATCTCAAGGTCAAGATGGACAACATTGTGCCCAATTTTGAGGGCTTTCGGACTCACGCAACGCAGCTCAATCCACGATTACAGCCGTTCCTCGCAGAACGTATTGTGCATGAACAAGTTAGAAGATATAAGAACCTTGTGGAGAACAAAGTCAAGCACACGCATGCCGTCAAAAACTTGAAGGAGTGTCCATCCAAGAGCTTCTGCTTCGACCTGGGAGGCGAGGCAAAAGACCTTCCGCCTCGCATGAGCACCAAGGATCCGGAAGCCAGCGGCGCTCAGTTCCAGGTTTCAGGAAACGGGGATTCTGATGGAGAAGCAAATACGTTTGCCGAGGGTGTGGTGACTGCTGCGCTATTTCCAGCCGGCATTCCTCTTCCTCCTGTCAAAAGGCTACCCGCAGAATTCGAGTGTTCCCTGTGTTTCAAAGTCAAGAAATTCCAAAAGCCATCAGATTGGACGAAACATGTTCACGAGGATGTACAGCCGTTTACGTGTACATTCGCGGATTGTTCGGACACGAGGTCCTTCAAACGAAAGGCGGACTGGGTCCGACATGAGAATGAACGACACCGACATCTCGAGTGGTGGAAATGTAACATGCCAGAGTGCAATCATATTTGCTATCGAAAGGATAATTTTGTGCAGCATCTCGTTCGTGAGCATAAGAAGAGAGAGCCAAAGGTGAAAGCACGTGGGTCAGCTAGTAGTAAGGCAAAGCCTGTAGCTGATACAACGGCAGCCTGGCAGACTCGGGTGGAGCAGGAAGAAATCTCGGAGCTATGGGGATTGGTTGAGATGTGCCATGTCGAGACCCAGAAGAAACCGAAAGATGAGGTTTGCAAGTTCTGTGGGAATGTCCTCACTAGTTGGAAGAAATTGACTGTTCATCTGGCCAAACACATGGAGCAGATTGCCATGCCTGTTCTAGAATTGGTTAAAAGTCGCGTGGTCTCCCCAGACACTATCATCAGTCCGATCGAACGGAGCAGTCGGCAGCACCGTGTTCCCAATCCAGCCAGTCCGCAGGGAAACATGAAAGCGGAGCCGAACAGCGTTTCACCCTACCTGATGAATGTTACGCCTCAACACACGGGGTTGCAGGCGACCACTTCTCCCAGTGCCTACAGCCAAGACTCTCACTACACAGCTTCGATGCAGAATTCACCCAATTTCTCACACACACCAACCTCTACCTATGATCCACGAGTCGCAATGCAACCCCAAGATATGACTCAGTTTGCACAGATGCACAATCTGCCGGCCAACATGAGCTACGGCCCTTATCAAAATGCACGACAGCCTCCATCCTTCACACCAATCAACGCGACCGGATCCGCAACAAGCACATATCCTCCACCATTTAATTCCGTGCGCCGTTCGCCACAGCAGATGATTCCAGATGGGCCACAATCTCATCCTGGTTTCGGTCAGATTGATACCATGTACAATAGTCAGCCACCACAACAGGCAGTATTTTCCAGTCCCACAGAAGCAGGACCATACGCTGCACAGTTTGAGGTAAGCATGGGGCAGATGCAACACTATACGACGAGCACGATGGCGTACCATCCGAGCGGTCTGTCGACAGGGACGGTATTGCCGCCCAATCTGATATATGACCCGCAACAGGAGTCGCCCTTCCTGGCGAATCAGTCTAACGATCAGAGCTATCCTTACACGCCGCACTAAGGGCCGGCAATATGGCTAGCGTGTACGAATATTGTGAATTTTGTTGGAACAGGTGGGGGATGGAAAACTTCGGTCTCTCTTTGTATTTTCCTAGTGGACCATGCCGAGTCTCGGACAGGATGACGGCGCGGACATGACAGCCCTTGGGTTTTAGATATGGTCATGAATGAATTAACGAAATGATGGACTTGCTTGACAAGATTTCAATGGGAATGCGTTTTCATAATCAAGCAATCCTAGCAGGCCGGCGCCGTAATCGCAGGACATCTTACTTCTACGTAAGAGTAACTGTTTCCCCCGCCCCCCTTCTTCCCTTTTCTCCCTGCGTCTCCTTGTTTCTCCTTTCTGTTTCCAACGCTTGTCACCAAAGTATAATCATTTAATCCATGCGGATAACTGATCCCTCTTCATCCAGAATTCTATTCTTCTTTCTCTTGCTCTCCCCGATAAATAAAAAGACCAGATGCCTATTGCACCTGCCCAAACATCATTTAGGAAAGGTAGTCAATAATCGAGCTTGTAGTTAGTGGGCCTGAATGGAATGGGTTAGAATTCCGTGAAACCATTCGTCCAGCTCTATCTATCCTATCTGATCATGCTAGGTGTTTTAACTCCGTAGTTTCCCCGAGTCTACCGGGTTCTGTAGCATATTCCCGCGGGATAAGCACTAGTTAGAGCTTGAATTGTGGAATTGGCACACGATTGGGCGATGGGCAATGGGCAATGGGCAATGGGCGATGTCGAAAAGCGTATAGGTGGCCACCAAGGAACCTCTCAGCTAGACGAACTGTGAAAGGTAGAGGTGGGAGCGAACCCTCACACAGATGTGATTAGGAGAGACTATGTGCCAGTATACTCAGGCATTCTCTAAGGCGGCCCGAGGTCGGTCTAGAGACATCTCACTGTCTTTCCTGAGCTCCCACAGCAACGGCTGCGGCCGCAGAAACAAAGGTCTTAAAAGTTTCAAGATGCAGTGTAACAATGTAAATGTATAATATCACCAATCGTACAAAACAGCCCAAGGCGGTGCGGTGGTCTGGTCGGCTGTTGCATAGTCACCTGGTGGCTGAAGGGGCCTGTTTCTTTCTCTTCTCCTCGACGCCGTATTCCGTATCGAGCTCGGTGCGGAGCTTGATCTGCTTCTCAAAGAAGACGAGCAGGAAGGAGGTGCAGGAGATGAGGATGGAGATCTGCCAGACGAGCCTGAGGGAGTCCACGTAGACGCTGATGACCTGCGCGCGGAGGAGAGGGGCGAAAGAGTTGACGAAGTCGGCAGTGGCGTGCTGGTAGGAATAGCCGGCGGAGAGCAGAGTCCAGTCCTGGTGCTGGGGTCGTCGATCCGGAAGGAGAGCTGCTCGGAGGAGCTGGTGAAGATGGCGGCTGGGATGGCGACACCCCCAGATACTGCCCAAAAGTGGAAGCCTCTTTTAGGCGTAGCTCCCCAACTTCTGGCGGCTGATGCCGCAACCGAGCCAGATGTGGATCTAGGCCCTTCGGCCCCAAGTCTAATGCAGGGGTCTCGCCTACTTTACTACGTACCTTTACTTTTACATGCGTATCGGCAACACCTGAGCCCTTGGCTGGTGCTTTCTCTGGATCCAGATCCATCATCGGTCAGTTATTGATAGGAATCAAAGGACGTGAGAAAGGGGTGTGAATGAAAGAAATTGCTGGGTAATATGGACTTTACGACTTTACAACCTCTCCCAACTGGATGTCACCGAGTCTGCTCTCGTGATTCGGAGGACAGGAGACCTGACAAAACAAACAGGAGAGTCTCCGAATTACGTGGTGTCTGCCTCTCTATCTCTCTGTCTCTCTTTCTCTTTCTCTATCTCCATCTTCCTGCTGTCATTCCATGGGGCTTGACGTGTTCTGGATGTTCTGGGTTTTCCAACAGTGATGTAATGACCATCCTGCTGTCCATCCCAGAATTGAGAAAGTCCGTCGTCTGTGCAAGGACGAAAGTTATGGAAATACAGGTGGTCTGCAAATTGACCGGCGGATTTTGCCTTGATTGACTTGGAAATTGAGGGATGCAGCAGGATATAACGTCTCTGCTAGTCTAGACGCCCGGAGAGCTGTTCTTGCAACTCCTTCGGCGGGTCTGGAGCCCATAATGTGTGTACGTAGGATGACGAGGACGTAGCACTCGGTTGTTAGATTAATCTGCTGGAGGGAAAAGAACTTCTTTATCGCAATCGCCCGTGATAGATAATCGTGATTGTTTCTTTTTCGTCTCGGATTATGACACAGAATTTGCAGTTTTTATCAAGGATATTTTCTTCATGGATGTTCTCGTTGAGGATATTTGCGTCATGGAGCTCCAAACGTTTGTGTAATATCTTTCGTAACTTACGATTGAGCGGAAACATCGTCAGGAAAGTACAGCTGATCTTACTTTGCTTTTTTGGCTGGAAATTTAAGGGTGTAATTCTCCTTGAAACCATCTGGTGTGGTTTTTTAGAACACCCCTGATTCCAGTAATAATCGCCCATCAGCCTCCAACCGTATTTCTGATTGAAGTGAAAGGTTTGCTGTTTTGGATCTGTTGCAAAAATTGTGTGATCATGTTGTGGAATTGGAATTTAAGGTCATCGCGAAGTTTTGTGTCATCTTCCCTGCTGCGTTTCCTAATAAACTCTGTCTTCGCCTCGGCGGTGTGACTCGGGTTTAGTATCTTTGCTGTGGACAACTAGATTCAAACAACTCCTGCGACTCCGATAAACAAATGGGAATGATAATTATCAACGGTGTGAGGAAAAGGATATATATCTCCTACTGAGCTGCTGAAGCCTCTAATAAGATCCACATGCTCCTCCAGTCTGCCTTGCATACAGCTTCTCCTAAGGCAACAGTGGTCCTGACATCGAGTCTTGTCTCATAACAGATATTGTGGAAGGCGTTTGCTGGGGGCGCGGGATCTAAGCAAGAGTTAATGTAAGCTAGCCTCTGGATGACACGGGGCGCCAGATCAAGCTTGCGCTGATTCAGCCCCAAATTCAGAGCAAAAGAGATTAGCAGGGTGTAGATCGCTTCCGCTTGATCGGTGAAGAGAAGACACTCGATTTTATACATAACCAGATGCGCTAAACAAGCAAATCCCAAGCCTGTCAGAGGTATTGACGTCGCACAGGGGATCAACCAGGACATTAGCAGGGATTGAGATGAGGTTACGGGAGATGACACATAACCGGCCCTAAGACTTTCAACCCAGTCCTTACATCCACTCACCTGCACTTTGAGAATGTTGTCGGAAAGGGGGAACAGTTGAAGCTCCGTTCTGCGATTTAAAGACTGGCCAGGTGAGGTTGCAGAAAGAGGAACTAGAAGAAAAGTAGCAGCCAAGCTACCTTGCTATCCACGAAATACTGGTCTAAATATAATAGAAGACGTAATTCGATCGATTTATTAAAGCCAGCCACAATAAAACCGTAAAACCCGGATTGTCAGTAAGACCCTCTTTAGAGCCCTCTGTTAGTATCTACCATAAACAGATTGCGTCTTTAGTAAGGTAACTATACAAAGTGACGAGAGGAAGAAGAGCGCGACGGATACTTTGCATAGCTGCTAATTCTCTTGATATTGGGGTTTGCCTGAAGGGTGCCGGTAGATGTATGTAGAGCACCCGCTTTCGCTAGCTGGGAAATTGGATGATGCGGTGTAGTTATTGGGCGGAAAAGAGACGACCGTAGTACTACGGGGGGCCTGAAGTAATGTTAGTCTGGCGTTAAGAGCAACTAGTTCTTATTATGACAACCTAGTGTTATGATTCGCCACCTCAAAGCTTGTTCTGTGTGCATCCATTCTGATGAGTCAAATCATTACATCTAGCTTTTTTCAGGCATAGCTGTTCTGTACAGAGAGGGTTTGCAAGTAAAGATACTAGCGCTGAGCTAACATTACTTCAGGCCCCCCGTAGTAAGGAGAAGCCCTGCACGGCAATAATTGACCTACATTTAGTAACACGAGCCTGAGGACATTCAATATTCGCTAAATTTAGAGGGTCACTAGCACACTCGATCTAAGCTTTAGTGGCGTGTAGAAAATACGCTATAAGGATGAAGCCCCAGAGCTACTGCTATTACCTCCTCATCCCAGAGACACCTAAGGGCCTCTTTAGGTTATTTGACGTAACTTATAGGTCTATATCAGCTAAGCTTCAGCCATTAGCTCCTCTGACCATCTTTACGCCCCTACTGCCTGCTGGAGGCAAGCTAGTACAAGAAAAGCTAGCTTTTATATATCCTAGTTAGCGTATATCAGAGATTTTGGTGGGGTGATCATTACCGTTGGGGGGCCTTGGCGCCTATGGAGCTATTTCCGCCGAACTCTGTACTTTAGATTTGACCTAGCTAGATACACACTACCAATTGATGCTCTGAGTCATTCTGCTCCACCCCCGTATATTTGATTGCTGATATCGTCTTGCAGCGGCCAGATTCTAGGCTCGCTTAACTAGCGGCTTGTTACCTTCCTTTTCCAACCTGACCTGTGGGAAATACAGGTAATCTATGCTATTCCGGGGGTTTGTGGCTCGGAGAGAGCCTTCCGGGCCATCCCCCTGCGTGACTGGCAATCTCGTATTTGATGGCCTGTTGTAACCACAGCGCCAGCACCGTTTCAGTCTCGAGTTTGCTATCCTACGTGCATACTCCACGTGGGTCACCAAGGCCTCAAGCCAATACTCTAATTTGTCTTTCTCCTCACCATTCATCGCGTGCTCAACCAGTCATCTCGGACTCGCACACACCACCTTGCCTGCCTAGAACCGCTGGCGGCTTAAGCCGTGGCCAAAAGGGGTTGATGAGTAGGGCGTCCAAACACTGGGCAGGGCTGCCACCCTGCAAGCAGGTATAAGATGAAGATGACTTCCATAATGGCCGTCCCCAAGCCCTCTCCCGCGTTCTGTTAGGTCCCTGTCGCTGAGTGTGCTTGTGACCCTTTGTCAATTGTTGCCTAAACAGGTGGTTGAGTATCTTGATTGTTTACCTAGTACCGATAACCACCTCAGCAAACAAGCAACATGCCCAGCCATGTGGTGGCCCTTCCACGGTGGTTTTTGGTGCTTCGCATCTTTCAAATACTGGTAGCTGTCGCTATCCTCGGACTGGCTGCCCATGGCATTTACTGGATTCCATACAATGTATGTCACAGCGATTGTGCTTCACCCTGTCCTGTCAGGACCAGCTAACAAGGCCTGTAGTCCTGGATTCTGGCCCTTTTCACGGTAAGCTACTTGAAAACTTGTCAAGTGATGCTGCTCACTCTGCGTTCTCGTGTAGAGCATCGCAACCCTCATTGTCGTCGGCTACTTTCTCATCACTTCTCTGGCCGAAGCGTGCAAGATCGCCTACAACTACTGGGCAGTTCTCGCTCTCGATATATTTGCCATCATCTTTTGGCTCTCTTCAATGGCAAACCTGGCCGCCACACGCAGTGCATTTGTTTATAGTGTCTACAATACCTGCCTGTTCGACTACTACTACTGCTACAAGAAGCGTGATATCGGCTTGGCTGAGCGTGATATCGCCACCACTGGATACCTGGACACGATGAGTGCCGCAGCCGGTCTATCAGGCCTTGAATTGTATATCTCTCTGCACCGGTTGGCCAATGTCTGTTGAAGAACACTAGCTAACCACAACATGTCCGCCAGGCTTCTTTTCATTGCTACCCTTGTCATCTTCTCAGTGCAGATGCACCGACACCGGATTTCTGGCGCTCCTAACGAACCTTCTCCCAGCCAAATGGAGGCGAATTCAATGAGCACAATGCCCGCTGTGGGAAGCCAACAGCAGCAGCAGAATTCGAAGCACACGCAATCGAGCAACCAATACGAGGTATCTCCCGCTTAGAGCCTATATCAGCAATCCCATTGTAGGTGCAATTGCGCATCGAATCTTTTACTTGGTATACAGGCCGATGTGAAAGGCGTTACTGGAGAGTCTTCTATTTTTCAAAGGAAAGCTTGGAATTTTGTTTACGCCTTAAGTGATATCCCTTATTAGTCAATGGACATGGCACATGAGATTGCTCTCCTATTCTATGATATCCTTGTTGCCTGTGAGATTCTCTCGTACTAGGCTCTTTGTATGTCGAGTACGGAGTGCTCAAATGGGAACACCAAACACCTAATTTCAATAATCACAATGCCTCGCTATCTGCTTCGCAACACCCCGAACGGCGAATTCCGGACCACGTGTACCTTCCTTTCCGAAATTATGCCTCCCCAGCCATTCTAAATTCCGTTAAACCTGCGTGAAGCACTATTCTGAGAAGCCTCTAATAGCATCAGATCGCTTGGATGCCCTACTTGCCGCCCACAAGCATAGGATAAAGGTCACACATACTTTATGTTTTGCACCGTTCAAATGTTATGGCCAAAGATGGACATATCATAAGCATAACTGATTGGACCGATTCCGGCCGGTACTCCTGTAAAAGTATCGTCACTTGCCATCTCAACAACCTCCCTTTTATGACAATTCGGGAAGCTTCAACCTCACCTGTGAGGCGTCTAATGTACTCCGCGCATCATCAATGGCAGGAGCATATTTTCCATTAAAGGTCAGTATCTGTCAGCTGCTTGAATGACGGCGATGATGCCAGGTGCACCAGCAAGTCCTTCCATAGCCCCAGGTGAATGTTTATCCGTTGATCTGATAGAAGGTACAAAGAACGAACATAACGTAGCTTAGAAGTGGAGTGATGAGTTTTAAGGTAGAGATGAGGACCACATACGACCGTCATCTTGGTGATAATCGGACATGAAATTTCTTTTCCCCAGTTCCATTCAACTATGGCCTTCATCCTGAGTAGTGGCCACTTTATCAAGCCAAGGCTGAACAACTTGAGATAAAAATAATGATAAATTTATGCGAAATTTTGCTGTAAATCTTATCGGTGCTATAGTTCAGTGGTCAGAACACCTCGTTGTGGCTACTGTTTAATTGTTATGAACTCTTGTGATTCCGAGGAAACGTGTGTTCGATTCACACTAGCGCCATGTTTTTGTTCATCCTCTAATAAGTAGATGTTCTCTCTATATTACAAATGCTCAGTGTTTTAACATTCTTAACATTACTAGCACCTAGTGTAAGGTCTCAGTACTGTAGAGCATCTATCTCTCTAAATTTTGAATAGTTTCTTAGTCGATGTGACTCTCCTAGTAGTTGCAAACTACGTCACACTGGTGTCTTGGAAGATGATTCTGAAACTAAATCGTCCATCGACTTGTAGAAAAGTAAATTGTGTTGAGAGAATGGATAATGGGATCTTGTCTCACAAATAAGGAGTTTAGTGCTCCCGTAGTCTAGCTTGATAATTCTGCTACAGCCTTGACGAAAAGTTTTAAATGTTTCTCTCCTAAGACTGCAGCAAATTTACTTACTTTTTTAGTCCATTCAAGCTCACAGGAACACTAATCTATATTAAGTAGTAATACTGATTCAGTTACGCAGAGAATATTTCTCTGGCGACCGGCTGTAACTAGGTGTGGCACCAAGCTCAACTGCTCTAATTGTCAGTCGCGCCATTTGCGGTGTCGGTGCCGTGGGTCTCTTTGCAAGCTTCTATCGGATCATTGCGGTCTTGCTACTGCTAAAGAAGCGATCTAATACAGCGACCTATGAGAGGCGCTGACGGCGTAGCGAGCATCATTGGACCACTCATTGGCGGTGCCTTAACAAGTAATGTGACACGGCGTTGGTGGTACGACCTGATATCCCAGACGCTCTCGAACAGTACGTTCGCTAACAGCATTGCAGCTTCTACATCAATCTGCCAGCCGGTAGCCTCTCTGTAGCAGTCATTCTGTTTTTTGTGAATCAGCCCCCAGAGATCCGTCTAAGCTGGCAGCAGATGTTGATCGAAATGGAAATCGTCGGTATGGTACTTGTTCTCAGAGGTGTGACCTGCTACATTCTTGCAATGCAATGGGGTGACATCTCGAAAGCCTGAACAGCACGGACGTCCCTGTGGCCCTTGTCGGTTTCGGTGTCCTCATTATTGCCTTCGTTGGCGTCGAATGGTATCAAGGAGAGAACGGTATGATACATAGCCGGATCACGAGCCGATGCACTATCGCTGTTGGCTCCCTCATGGCTTTTTGGTGAGTTTGCTCGCTCATGGATGGAAAGTATCACGGGGTGATTGATGCCATACAGGATCAGCTTTGCATTCCTTCCACGTTCTACTATCTGCCCATATACTTCCGTAAGTCATGATGGCCTTCTGGCCCCTTAGACGTTTGCACACGGAAGACTAACGGCATGAAGAATGGGCGGAGGGTATATCAGCAGCAACAAGCGATATCGGAACTGTACCATACGATCTTCCAATCAATAGGTGCAATGCTCCGCGACATGAATCCTTAGGGCAGCTGCTGACTTTTCAAGCTTTTGGCGTCATCACCGCAGATCAAACCATATTTGCTCTTGGTCATGCTGTGCCATGGATGGTGTTGGGATTGGCGTTCACCGCGGTGGGCTTGGGTCTTATCTATACTTTCAACGTTGGATCACCAGCCAAGGTTTGGATAGGCTATTAGGTGAGAAAGTTCTGGGCTCTTATGCGGCTTGGTATTGACCTTGCGCTTTTTTCAGATTCTGGGGGTGACTGAAGGGGGTGTCCGCTTTCAAATGCCAATCATGATCATGCAGGCAACGACAAGAGAACAGGATGTCCTCCTGGCAACAGCTATCCTCCGGCGTAAGTGCGATAACTGTTGGGTGGTATGAAAGGGGCTATCTGATTTATTCATTCTGGTCTTTAGTCATTCAAACTACCAGTATAGGGGGCGCCTTTGGTTTCTCAGCTCTACAGGCGCACCTTTCACAACTCCCTTTTAAAGCAGCCTCCCATCACAGCCCCTAATATCGACCCAATACCGATCCTCCACCCGGGGACGACGCAGCTCGAAGAGATCGTGCCGGTAGGTTGGTTGGATGGAGCGTTGAAAGCCTACGTGGCCGGTTTTAGGGAGATTCTGGTTATTGCTGTTGCATTTACTGGTGCTACATTTATCAGCGCGTTTGAATTCAGGTTTCTAAGCATCCGACAAACGATGATGGCGGAAGTTCAGAACTCGTAGAAGACATCGTGTCGCGCATATACGGAAGGGAAGACAATTACACTCCAGCAAGCCAGGAAGTCCGTGTTGTACCATCCAGGTACACGAGAAAAAGACAACGAGATTTTGAGTGGGCTCTGTAATAAATTCCTTAAACTCTACATCGAGGCATAATCACTTCCTCCAGTAGTGGTCAGAGAGCGCTTGCAAAGACCTCTGCCAAAGCTATACCGTGCATGTACAATGAGCGGAGATTGGGTGGGATACATAGCGCTTTATCTATGCTTAAGGACTCTACAAAGTGAGTACGAGATGTCTTCTTTCACTCTCACTACACATGCATGCTATGGAGTACGCATATTGCGATCGCGAAGTTATGCAGGCTGGTGACTGAACGAAATATCACCTCTTTCTTGTCAGGAATGATGACCCATCTAGTGTGGTCCGAAACTTGCTGTCCTTTTGGCGAGGTTGTTGATATCCCCTGTTCTCTCCTCGGACCTTGTCAGCTGATAATAATCTAACTTTCGGTATAATCGCGAGGATTTTATGTTATCTATTGTCCAATCGACAAGTCCAGTTATAGCTTGCTACGTCAAAGCTGAGATTGCTGTCAAAAGCAACACTAGGCTAGAGCTACGACTAGGTTTTATCGATAGAGAAAAGTGATAGGCTTCCGCTAGCGCTTTTGGTGTCTTCCTCTTGTTTTCTTGTTTTCTTCTCCCTTGGATTTCTTTCAATCCCCTACTATGTAGATAAAGAACTCTGATTGCTGCCATCAATTCAAGAAAAAGGTCGAATAAGGTACCTCCAGAAGAGATGACGCAGTAAAGAAATTTTGGATTATTTTCAATAGTGAAGAGACTCCTGATAAGCTCTATATCAAGTTCAAGTCTTATTTCTGGTTTAATTTTGAAATGAGTACTTGTACATATCATACCATACTACTATATCATCTATAAACCTATCTTAGAAGGACGAATTAACTTATCTATTGCGGTGTATGACCAAGAATGTCACGTGAGAATAGCTGAACGTGGACAGCACGTGATCCAATGTGCACCATCACTACGCACAAGGCGAACGACGTTGCATTTCAATAGTCGCTGCCTTGCAGGCAAACATCTGCTGCGCCTCACTGGCACGCTGCGATCAATTGGTGAATGAATGAGTGTGCAGGACTGGGTTCCATCATCATGTTGTGATTTGCCAGCCTTTGAGTATCATGCGGCATGTGCAGTCCTTTCGAGTACTTTCACGTCTTCAGGGATTAATATCCGCTCGAATTGCTGGTCTTGGGCGGAAGCCTGTGCAGTGTCACGAGTAAGTCCCAGTAATGGCATACTCGTAAGATTATTGTTGCTAACATGTGGAACATGAGCTCTGCTTACAGCCTGACGGACTAAGTCACGGGGCGTTGAGCAGTCGAAGGCTGCCCTACCTTGACTAACTAGCTAACTGCATTGGCGCACCGGAGTAACAAGCATGATTCTCCATTCGCCATTCTTACTCGCAAGCGCTGCGTCACCTTGACTTCCCTCAGTACTTTTGCACCCGCTCGAATGTTGCAATCCGCCCTGTCAGTACCGACAAAAGGTCGTGCGGCTTCCCACTCGCCCATCATCATTAAGCTTGAGCAAGAGCAAGATTAGGCTCTATGCTATCGCTTTCCTGGTGACCGCTATCCTCTCTGCAGACGTGCTTAAAACACACGTCGCCCACCTTCGCCTTGAATTTGCAGCTTCGACTGCAAAACCAGGCGTCCATGACTGCGGTTACCATGGACGCAGAAAACCACAAACTCGATTCCCCTCGTTAGGTGCGCACGCCTCACTCTTCGGCGACTACTACGAAAGATTTTTATGACAGCTTCTGACTTTTGTATAGCTCTTTTCCACAAGCCATAATGTCTCAAGTACAGGGCATAAGGCTGCCGATCCCAGGTTGTGCAGAGAGAGCCTCGAGTGCTGTAGGCTACTCCGCCACAGTTTGTCAGAGAATATAGTTACGGTGGTTGACACACCCGGTGTAGGCTTCCGTCAGCCTGGACTCCTCAGATGGATCGGCTGCTGCCTCCGCAGCCTTTCGAAACGAACCCCAAGAACTCCTAGGTCTATCTTCTGGACCGCGACCTATGTCTATTACCTCTCCTATACCAAGGAACCTGAGCAACTCTGCCTCATCAGGACAGCAGGCTTATACAATTGACATCCCACCAGACTACAGCTTTCCAGAGGACCTCGGCCTCAATGATCCAAAAGGCTCTCAGCAAGTCTGGCCTGGCTACCAGGTGACCGGCAACGACAATGACAACGTCGCGTATCCACCGCGACGTGTTACTCCAGCAGAACCAGAGCAACCGTGGAACCCAATTCATCTCAATGGGCCGCTGCCTTCTCAACCTCGAGGAGACGACGGGCAGCGTGACTCAACAGCTCCGATGAATGCCAGAATAGGCCAGCAAAGGTCAATCGTCGGCAGTCATGCAAACGAAACTGACGAAGGCTACTACACCTACTCTCAACCCGACATCCGCTCAACCTACAGCGATGACTCGGGCCAAAGGCATCGCATTCGATCCGGACCCTCGTCCATTCCACGCTCGATACCATTAGCTCAAGGGCACTCCACGTTCGCTCAGTACAACGCCGAGCAATCTTTCACGGCCATGGACTACCAGTTCCCAGGGCCGATGGAGCCGCAGCTAACCAGCCAGGTCCCACGAGAACCCCATACTTGTACCGAGCCTGAATGCAAATTTACCTGTAAAACAATGTCTGACCTCAAGTAAGCCTCACCTTGCAACAAGTCTTACCGCCGCTAACACTCTCGGTAGAAAGCATACTGCTCGCCATAAGAGGGAGCATGTCTGCGATCAGCCTGGATGCACACGAGCTAACAAAGGCTTTCCAACCATCAACGATCTAGAAAGACATCAGAAGTCTGTTCATGGGATAGAACCACGCCATGGTCAAAGTCGGATGTACAAATGCTTTGCGCCGAACTGCAAAAACCGGGAGAAGAAATGGCCAAGGCTGGATAATTTCAAGCAACACCTTCAACGAATGCATAAGGACGAGAGCACAGAAGAGTTGATCCGGCAGTCCAATCAGTGGTATGATACAGAAAAGAAGCCACACCAGCCAGCATCCCTAGTAGCTGGCGCAACACCATCTCAAGGCTCGCATTTTTCAAACTCTGGGCCTAACCTCATGACCGAAACATCTCCTCTTGCGAAATCTTACAATCATCTATCCCCAGACTGGCGGCCAACACGAAATGCATTGCGCCAGCAACAGTTAACAACACCGAATAGACCACGACATTCATCCTTATCAAGTCAGCCGAATTCTTCTGCTTCTCTTTCTCCAACCCGAAAGTCTTCCTCCGTACCGTTCCTCGGCCTTGATATGCACTTCGGTAGTTGCCCCCAATTAGGTCAAACGTCAATGGCCATGATCCCTACGCAGCTGTCATCAGACTTGCTGCTTGACAGTTCACAACGCCCGACTCGTGGAAGACCCACTGCGCACACCGTACCGAACCCTGATACTACGGCTCTGTCTGATCTTCCGGACATCGGTTATTCCGCACCGTCAGGATCTTTCCATATTCCACAAGACGACCTGGCTCACATTGCGCCCAACTTGAATGCAGAGGCTCAGTCTGCCTTCCAGTCTGCCTTCCTTTCCGCAGATCAAACCCTAAGTTCTCCTTCCATTCCCGCCAATAGGGGTACAGGGTCCTCGTCATCCCCTATCTCTATTGAAGCCCTCACGGCTTTCATTAACAACAACACCCGCGGGCAAAAGGACGAAAGTGCAGTCCTTCTGCGGATTCTTCAAGCCGGCATCAGCAAACTGGCGGAAGCTGAACCTCAATCAAATACAGCTACAACGACATCGTCCTCTTCCTCAGTCGTGACCTCGACTCTTACTTCACATCCCGACTCAACCAATACCCGTCTGCAACATAGCTGCCCGGAAAAGCCCTGCACAAAGACGTATCCTCGGCCGTGTGATTTGAAAAAGCATCTGAAACGCCATCATCGACCCTACGGCTGTACATTCAGCAAATGCTATGAGAAGTTCGGCAGCAAATACGATTGGAAGAGACACGAGAATACTCAACATTTCCAACACGAATGCTGGAAATGTGCCCTGTGTTCTGGTGGTACAGCCAGGAATGGTCAGGCATCGACATCGTCGTTTCCGGCCCAGTTGTTCTATCGGCGTAATCTCTTTATGGCCCATATGCAAAAGGTGCATCAACTCCCTCCAGAGGCAACACGCGACCACGCTCACAAGCAACGCATTGGCCGAAATTGTCAGACTAGATTTTGGTGCGGGTTCTGCAAGAGAATTGTGGAATTGCAGAAGAAAGGGTTGGAGGGTGCAGATGAGAGGTTCAATCATATCGACAAACATTTCAAGCAGAACCGTGACATTTCCGAGTGGGTGGTTGTGGAGGGCAGCGAAACTAAAGGGCAACACGACGAAGTAGATCGAGAGGAAGAGCAGGAGGAGCAGGAGGAGGATATCAACGACGTGCTAGGCTCCGATGGCATTGGCGACAGCCCGACCAGGGTTGGGGAAGATACCGCTGATGGGCGCTCACGTGAGAATTATGATTATGATGTTAACGACCGCGGTGGTGGTGCCAATGCTCGAAATGACATTGGCCAGAAGCGAACTCTCCCTTCCGATTTTGAAGGGTCGTCACGACCATCACAACAGCGCCGGACCCATCCCGCACATGGCAAAAAAACTCCATACGCCTTCAACTGCTGCCAGTGTAGAGAAGGACCCCACACATTAATGCTTGGCCGACATTGTCCTATGTGCTCGCATGTGTGTTGTGCATTTTGTTCCTATATGGATGATAAGTGCCGAGACGTGGGACGTCCAAGGTGAATCGAGCAAGTTTATGGGGAATTGGTGTTTTGTGTCATCGCTTTTGGCGATTTTGGGGTTTCCTTGGATTCTGACATCTTTTCTTGTGAGGAACGGGCAACAGGACGTTCCAATATCTTACAGCGATAAGGGGGCCCTGGGTTTGTGGGAGTGTATGGGATTTGGTTAGCACTGGCCGTGCTGTCTGGCCAGGATTGTACGGCCTGAACGCTGAACGGTCTTGTCGGTTCCCTCGAGGGTTGTTTTGGTTTTGATGGTGGTGTTGGTTGAAGTGGATTCGCTCGTTGTTCTCTGTTTTGTCTTTTGGATACCACTCTGCGATTCGTGTTTATTTGTTGTCCTTGCTCCGTGGTCGGTTGGCCAGTGGCTGGGCCCGTCCGGACGAGGGACTGATTGATGTACAAGAGATGGATCTGCGAAGACAGCGTACGTTGATATGAAAAGATGTTGAATTGATTCATGTTCTAACGTTTTCTTGATCAACCGACGCATTGCAGCTGCTCTACAAGCCTCTCTTACCCATACCGTCCACTCCCTTCTTTTTGTTCTACGTTTTCTACCTTCCCACTTCCCCTGTCTATGGTCTTTCTTGGTCGTGTGGTTGGGTTGACCTGCTCTTTGAGCGAAGTGACTACCAGCTTTCACACTCAACCAGTTAACTTACTTTCCTCCTAGCTCTACCTCTGTCTCTAGATGCATGCTTGTCTAGATCAATCAATCGACTGACTGACCATGTTGGTCTGAGGTTGCCTAGCTACTCTCCCTCCTAGAACCAGAGGTTGCAATATTCCCGTCCCTACTCCACTCAGACCCGACACTCTCTCACACACCTACAAAACCCCATTGAATCCAGCCTTGAACACCACCATATTAACTGATCATCCGCCTACACATCTGTGCAAAGGCTTGGGAGCGTGACCTTCACAATCACCCTCCCAACCCCGCCGTCATTGATATCTTTCACAACCTGCACCAGCCCGCCCTGCTGGCGGACCAGGGACGTGAATTCATCCACCCCGCCCCCGACGCCGAAATACATCTTCTTGGCCGCGACTAGCGCTGCTGAGTCCGGGTGCTGGGATCGTTGGAGCAGGGAGAGGAGCGTGCTGACGAATGGTTGGAGGGAGAGCGGCGAGTAGATGGTTTCGGATGAGAGGATCAGGATTGGTCTTGGTTTTGCTGGAACCGCTGTTGCTGGTTTCTCGTCGGTGGTGGTGGTGGTGGTGGTGGTGGTGATTAAATCACTGGGAGAAGGAGAGACGAGATCCACGAATGCTGGACCCCATGCTCCGGAGATGAAGTCGATGGATATTCTGGCGTTGATGAGGGTCCGGAGGATGGTGTCCTGCAGGAGGGATGGGGTGATGTTGTCGAGTTCACCCTCGCCCTCGCCTTTGACGTTGCCGTTGCTGTTTCCATTGCCATTGTTGGTAGGATCAGACTCTTGATCACCGAGATCGTTCTTATTCCCTGCAGCGTGACCGCTGGAGAGAGCTTCCCCCCTTTCGCTTCCCCGCTGAGCAAATTGAAGCAAAACATTAGCTCCGGTCACGAGCCGTAGGACCTCGATGTTGTAGTCGCAGAGGACGAATCTGATTCCGCCTCCTCCCCCAATCTCAATGCCGTTCCCGTCCTCGACGTAGTCTTCCCTATCCTCCTGCCTTCGACCACGCCTTCTCGCCCTGGTGCCGAGTACGTGATTCAGCAGAACCAGGCTCGGCATCGCACTACCAGCACCTAACTCAACAACGTCAAATCCTTGCTGCTGCTCCTGCGGCTCCTCTCCATCCTTCCCCAGCCCACCATTCCAACACCGATCTACATCAGCAGCAGTAGCAGTACCGCGTACCCCACGCTCGCTGAACCACCTGCCTAAAAACCCACAACCGGGCATCACGCCATCGACTTCAGTCCCCCCTTCCTTACTAACGTACAAGCACACAGCAAGATACGTCGCGAGATCGAAGCCGCACTCCCACGTCTTGAACCCGCCCTCATACACCCTGGAGCGGAGATCATCTCCGCCTTCTAGGGTAGAGATCAGAGCTTCATAGCTGTAACCACCGGCGTCTCCTTCGTTGCTGGCGTCAGCGTCAGCGTTGGCGTTGGCGGTTGCGTCCTGCTGCCTGGCTTTGGCGTGTGGGTTGATGTCAGCTTCGGCTTTCAGCTGAGCCACGACATCGAAGAGAGCACGGCGGAGGATGGCGGTTGTGGCTGGTTGGTGCGGTGGGGCTGGCAACGATGCTGATGCTGGTGCGGGTGGAAAGCTGAGAGGGATGCAGAGGGTGTTGTAGGATAGGCTGGAGGGGAGGGTCGATAGCTGAAGCGACGGAGAGATGGGGGGTTAGTGGAGGAAGCAGAAAATATATAACCACTACATTCACATTCACGTTCTCATTCTCATTCTCATTCTCAAGTCTTGCTTTTGATGATCGTGATAACAAGATGCAAAAAGTACGGTACTCTTATGGAATGTAGGAGACTCCACGTAAAGAGAAAGCACGCTTACTATCTCAGTCAACGTATGCTTTTCGGGGGCCACAAGCTCTGGCTCCTCGTGGATGGTGTCAATTTGCATGCCATCGTCGAGGTAATTGGGGTCACCCTCAGCATCGGCATCGGCATCTATGTCGTCGCCGGAGAATGCAAATGTGAATGTCGAGGCCATGGTGGCGGTATCTGGTCAAGTCAATGGAGAGCCATTGCAAAGCTTGAGTGGGAGAATCAATTCCAACTGAGCAATGCTGGTTTGGTGCCAGAAACGGCACAATCTTCTTGGATACACCTAAGATGCTATGGAAGACCTACAGTCCAAGATCCCGGCATCTCCACCTTTGGCTCCACATTCCTTCTAGAGAGAGATCTAAGTCTTGGACCCATCTATTCCCATTCCGCCTTCAATCAAGATCTCCTGAACTCCACGCTATCACAAGACAAGAGCCCCCATCAGAAACGCTCAAAACATCTAATCTCCGTTGGGCAGGCCATTCGTAACACGGCCGCCAGGCATACCATTCGTGATCTTAGGTGCCACAATCGCCTTCTCCAATGCCTGTAGGACGTCTCTCTTCAGGTCCTCTGCATCCTCGATACCACAGCTGATCCTCACCAGGTCTTCAAACACTCCTGCCGCTTCCCTTTGAGCTTGAGGGATGCCAGCATGAGTCATACTGCTGGGGACCTCGACAAGACTTTCGACTCCTCCCAAACTCTCGGCTAGGACGAAGATGGAGGTGTTTTGGCAGAATCGCTCTGCAGCTGCGTGACCGCCCTTGATTCGGAACGACAGCATACCTCCACCCATCCCATCACGGTGCTGTTTGATCGCGATGTGGCGATGAGGATGTGATTTGATGCCTGGATAGTTGACAGAAATGACATGAGGAGATGCCTCCAATGCCATAGCCACAGATGTCGCATTATGAGACGCCTCTTTTGCTCGCAGATGCAACGTCTTTAAGCCTCGGTGTGCCAGCCAGCAGTCAAAAGCTGATGGGACAGCTCCAATAGCATTTTGGAGAAAGGTCAATCGCTCCTTGAGATCATCCGAGTTGAAGGCCGCAACGCCCATGACCACGTCGGAGTGACCATTGATGTATTTAGTCACTGAGTGGACTACAATGTCTGCGCCATGATCAAGAGGATTCTGGACATATGGACTCAAGAATGTGTTATCGACCACGACCATGATACCATGCTTGTGAGCCACCGAAGCGACATTTCGAATATCGACAAGTCTGAGGGTAGGGTTACTTGGGCTTTCGATCCAGATCAGCTTGGTCTCTTTTGGCCGTATCAACTGAGCGATGTCCACCTCGAGAGATGGTGAAAAGGTGACCTCAACTCCATGTGCTGCTGCTACCTTGGTAAAATATCTATGTGTACCTCCATAAACATCCGAGACGGAGACAACATGTGAGCCTGCGGCCAGAGACTGGAGGATGGTGGCAGTGGTAGCAGAACCGGAAGAAAAGGCGAGGGCATATCGAGCATGTTCGAGAGCGGCGATAGCTTCTTCGAAGTTGTCTCGATTCGGGTTGGAGGATCTGCTGTACTCGTATGCACCAACTGGCTTTCCAACTGCAGTTTGCGCGTACGTGGTGGAGAGGGAGATTGGAGAAATGACTGCGCCGGTGGAGGGGTCTAGGTGAGCACCAGCATGGACTGCTAGAGTTCCGAAATTGTGGACAGGCGTAGGTGCCCGAGGAGGAGTGTCGATTGATCCGTTGGCTTTGGTGAGAATGCGCTCATGAGGCCGCAGAGGCAATGGCGAGATAGTCATCGTGACGGTTGGACAGAGCAAATGAACGGGGGCCTAGGGCCTGAGATAGGTGAGACCAGATCTGCAGGGGAGTCGAGGTACGGAAAGGGTCTGGTTCTGATCTGAATCGACTGGCGGGACAGTTCAAACTGCCGCAAAAGGTAGAAGAAGACAGGCGAATGGAGGAAGTAGAGTCATTCTACTCTGTCTTCAGCGGACATGGTGGTTTATATCAGGTACTAAGTATACCAGGGCATGATTGTCATCTCGTAAGAAAAGAGAAAAGATCCCGTATTGAGCAAGGGGCAGGATGACGCCATTTCACCTGCATAAAACCGTTGCTCAAGCCTTGGCCGCCATTCCTTACCGCTTGCACTGTCTGAACGGTCTTCACTTTTGACTCCGCCTGGAAGCTTACAAATACTGCTGACTGAGGAAGTGCTGGACTAGAAGGCCCGATGGCCCCTAAACTACTACGGCTACAGGCCTAATTTTTGCACCCCCCCCCTGGTCAAAATATCTTACAAACGCGTTTTTTACATGCGCATCCCTGTCAGCATCCCTGTCGCTATTTTGCACGAATTTTGTCATTCTGCAAATTCTACGAATTCTACGAATTCTATGAATTTGATATAGATACTAATGAGTCTGATAGACCCTCTACTCCTCCTTATTCCTCTCATTCCTCTTATTCTACTCGAGATCAATATTTACAAATTCAAACTCTACATAACGCAGGCTATATGTACAACGAAATTTGTCAGCAGTTACCAAATCTCACTCTATACCAAATCAAATATGCTATTCACAATTGATTAATACCTAAAAAGCATACTAGGTGATATTCAATTATTATTAAAGAAGAACTTAAGCAAATTATTATGTAGGTTTGTTCTTTTGTAGCTAATCAATATATACTATAGATCTAGATCTTTCTTATTATAAAGATTAATATTAGATAATATACTATTCAAAATGCTCTACAAAAAGTAGACTTTTCATATTAAGTTGCTTATTACAAACTTCTTATTTTTAAAAAGAATTAAAAAGCGTATTTTTAATAGGCTTCTAAACATATTAATTAGATATACAAACAATAAAAAAAGATACTATAAAGTAATAAAATATAGGTTAATAGAGATTAATATACTAAAATGTACATTACTTGTTAACCTAATAAAGAGTAAGATCCTATATATATTGTTGAACATTATTAATAATGTAAAGGTTAGATGTTTTAGGGTTATTTCAATAGTGATAAAAAAAGGTCCTGGTATCTTTTAGGAGAAAGAATAAGGTACTATCAAAGAAACAACATATCAAGAGCACATCGTACCTCTCATTGATAACTGGATACAAATAAACAGCAGCGAAGGATTGATATTTATGCAAGATGCTGCACCTGCTCATGCTGCTAAGGGTACTATTCGAGATCTTCGTCAACGTGGCATATCTTGTGTCCAATGGCCTGCATATTCGCCTGATTTAAATCCAATTGAGATAGTATGGAATTAGATGAAAGATTGGATACAAGAGCGCTATGGAGATACTCTACACAAGTACGATGAGTTACAAGCAGCTGTTAATGCTGCATAGAATGCTGTGCCCTCTGAATATCTCAAGGAGTTGCTTGAGTCAATGCAGGAGAGATGTCAAGCAGTTTTGGATGCCAATGGAAAACAAACTCGATTTTAGAGACTAGTCCTAATTAAGCGATTTTGTGCACATCTATACTTAATTTTGCATAGTAGGTTTTGTACGGATACTAGCGTTTTCGACCAGGGGGGGTGCAAAAATTAGGCCTGTAGCCGTAGTACTAGTTACTAGTAGCTTGTGTCTGATAGGAAGCAACAGCTCGACCATGCAGGCAGTGCGAGGAGGAGCTCATAGGAACGCACTCCTCTAGAGGTACCCAATAAGTTCTCGTCAAATGTTGAAGCTACCAACTATACTCTGCGCCACTTCCAGCATGTGAATACTAGTAGTACTAGTAGTAGTATTGCTTTGGCCGGGGATATACAACCACTGAGAATTGGATACGAAGAAGTGTCCATCATCCATGTATTCACGGGCCACTGAATAGAATGTTTGTCAAGTGCACTGACCTGTTCTGCTTGCTATATGGAAACGAAAAACAAAGTCATGAGGAAATCGCTACTCCGAAGATGAACATAAATCTAGTGGTGACCAGAGGGCTCTTCCTCGTCTACATGAACTGATTCTACATATTTCAGGCATGGCCATCTCTCGCTCCAGGCTGACAGAAAAGAGTCTACAAGATTAATTCGCTCTGCTTCACGACAGTTTCCCGAGGCTACTACACAACCTCATACTCCAGATCCCCCCAAGGCCCGATCACACGTCGGCTCAGCCTGAAGAATCTGATTCTCCGCTAACTTTTCATCCATGAGATCGGCTGCAATCTGGTAGCTTCATGCCAATGTGCCGCCTCTAAACTACACTCTCTTTGATCAACATCATCCAGCATTAGATTATTGGTATCTGCTGATATTCAAAATGGCACACCGAACTTTAGAGCAACATATCTCAGTGGACATGACACACAAGAAGCGCTGCAATGAAACTGGATGGGGACTCTACGCCAGCACAAACATAGCAGCACGTGAAGCTATCATCTCCATCGAAAGACCCCTTGTCATCTCGCTCGATATTCCCCGGCTCAAAGATACTTGCTACGAGTGCCTAGGATACGGGAGTGAGGCGTATCGAAACCCCGAAAGAATTGCCTGGGAGGAAGACAAGAAACTACAAGTCTGTACCGGCTGTCATGTGGTTAGGTACTGCTCAAAGGTCAGTATACGATTCATAGTAGATTCAGCTGCAGTGTCTCCTAGCTCTAAGGAACCACGCCCAAGACATCAGAGGGAGATAACAAGTTCTTTGTGATAGTTTGCTGATGGCGCCTTTCTTCAGGAGTGCCAAACGTTGTCTTGGAAATCAGTGCACAAGCATGAATGCAGTCTCTTTGCTCGGTTGCATCCGAACATCCTACCAAACAACGTTCGTGCCATCCTCCAGCTCTTGCTCCTTCGGAAAGCAAATAGGCTTCCGCATGGCGAATGGGATGCCTTCATGAACCTCGAATCGCATCTCCAGCAATGGGAAAGCAGAAATGGACGGCAATGGGAGGACATAGGTCTGATGGCTCGAGGAACGAAAGAATATGCTGGAACCGATCTCAGTGAAGAAACCCTACGAGAGGTTTTTGGAAAGGTGTGGCCATTTAGCCATGGCAATATGCATTTTACTAACCTTTGCTAGCTCTTAGTGAATTGTTTCACAATGGTCAGCCCATTCTATGATCCTTTGGGGCTTGCGCTTCATCCACTCGCTGCGCTTGTCAATCACAGTTGCAATTACAACGCATTTGTTCGCTTCGATACCTCGTCTCATTGTCTCAGTGTTCTCGCATTACGTCCCATTGCTCGCGATGAACAGATTGTTGTATCCTATATTGACGCAACCAATCCGCGTCATGTGCGGCAAAAGGAGCTGCAGGACAAGTACTTCTTCGACTGTGCATGCAGCAAGTGCTCGGACTATGTCACCAAGGAAGAAGGAGTTCCCCAACTGCCAGAGTCCAGTGAGCACTTGCTCGTTGAACAACGCGCATTTGAACTCCTAGCTGCAGCCCAGAAAGACACGAGTATCACTGGGCCTATTCAGAAGTGCCAATATGGGATTCATATCCTCCGAAAGACAGGCGCATGGCCGCTCCATCGACAACCTCTCGCTTCCCTTCGACAACAGCTCGTGGTGTCTCTCATAGCTGCAGGCCAGATTCACCTCGCGTTCGTACACGCTTGGATTCAATACCGGTCCATCGACCCCAAGCTCATGACAGAAAAACACCACCCCATCCGCCTCGTCCATCTCTGGCTCGTTATCGTCCTGTTAAAGCGCATATACTTTGCCTCATTCTCCCCAACAGATCTTCCTATCCAGAAATACACTATTACCAGTAACAGCATCATGCACATAAAACTCATTCACTACCTGCATTGGGCCCTCATGAAGAGAGTTGGGGATGACGACGATGGTACATTCGCCCAAGTGGTTCGCCATCATTTTATCCAGGATGGTGGTTATGAAAAGCAGCGATACCCTATTGCCAAAAGGGATGATTTCCTCAAGGAAGCTGAGAAACTGAAGGCCTGTACTACTGAGATCCTGGAGAAGGAGTTGGTGTGGGGTGAATCTGGTGCCGCAGCATGAACGAGGCGAGGCTAGCTGCGCACAATTCTGCAGGCAAGCCGACAGTTTGAGGGTTTTCATTCTGGCCAAATAGGCAGTCTGCCTGTTGAGTATGGTCCGCATGAGAGGCGAATGGCGCATTGTACCGCCTTGATCTCGTGGAAAGATCTGTTTCAGCATAAACTCGAACATCAGCGGGGATGCATAAGCGTAGCTAGATCCATATACTGGCTCTCAGACGATGTTCGCTGAGCTCCCATAGGGATCAGAACACGACTTGCCTTTTTGATTTTAACGTATTTTTTGGGAAGATAGCGAGAAATCCGTAGTTCCCTACCCCACAAATTGCTCACGTAGCATGCAGAAAAACTGCTCTCTGGCCATGGATCAAGGCTTGCAAGTTCATCTTGTAGAGAGTGGGTGATGAATTGAGCTATCTGCCAACAACCTCATAGAGCTTTGGTTGCATTAATTCAGGCCTATGACACCATCCCCTCCTCTGTGTAAACACGACTTGCCAACCCCACCAACCCCGGCCCTTCCCAGATCCTCTACTTCAGCGGAATAAACCTCGACGAATGCGTCGCACCAATGCCCGGCCTCCCATGCTTCACCGGCTTGTAACTGATACTGAACTCGCCGAGATAAAAGCCCACCATCTCCGGCTTGATCTCGACCTGATTGAAGTCCTTGCCACTGTAGATGCCGATCACCGACCCGATCATCTCCGGCACGACGATCATGTTCCGCAGGTGCGTCTTGACCAGGTCGGGCTTCTCGTTCGGCTTGGCGGCTTGCTTGGCTTTGCGGAGCTTCTTGATCAGGCCCATGGGTTTGCGCTTCAGACCGCGGTTGAACCGTCGGCGCGCACGGGCGTGGACCACGTCGCGGAGTTGTTCCGAGGTTAGGTCGAGGAGTCTGAGGAGGAGGAGGGGGGGTTGGTCAGAGTGTGCTGGAACGGGGAAGTGGTAGGGTTAAGAGAAGGGGGATTGGGGGTGGTAGTGCTGGTCACCCAGACGCGGGGGAGGATATATGAGGCGACGAGTACGTACTGGTCGAGGTCGATTCCTCGGTAGGAAAACTTTCGGAAGGTTCTCTTCTTCTTGAGCTCGGCAGCTTCTTCGGCGTTCTGTCGAGAGTAGTTGGTCAGTCAATCCAGCCCCCCATCTTCGCCTTTATGGATGTCTCTTACGTAGTTGGCGTCAGCCATGATTGCGATGCTTAATCAATGGCTTCTCGCTTATGAATCGCCCTCAGATAAGAGATGGATGACGATGAAGGTGCGGTTGGCAATGGTGTTTAAAGTGATGTTGCTAAGACTGCAGATTGGGGACGAGTGCGGGGCTTGGCAGCTTGAAACCAAATTAGGGCTAGGGCTTGACCATGCATAAGCACTGCTCAGGGAGCCAACCTTGTGAAAGCTTACAGGTGTTTGCAGAACATCAGTAGTGATTATATGTTACTCGGGGGCAAATGGTATGGAGATGGAGAGATTCTTTTCAAGGATATCTGTAACGCCTCACTTCCCAATGTTAATCATAGGCGCAATGACAATCACACCTGGTTGATGGAAATATCTAGCTTGACGAGGTCTGAAATTGGTAGTCTCCATGATGAAGTAACTATCAAGAGAAACACTCTGGTATCAGAGGAGAGTTCCCATTGATCACAGCTAAGACTTTGTGCGAGTGGTAGCCCCTCATTGCGAAGCTGTTGCGGTTGGAATTCTTGGTCCTTCACGAGATTCACTCATAGAAAGCTTCTAGTCGAAAAGACCAAAACCCATATCTTCGTCAGACTCTTCTTTCTCTTCTTCCTTCTCAGCAGGTTTCTCTTCTTCAGCGGCTGCGGCACCACCGGCGGCAGGGGCTGCACCTCCAGCACCTGCACCACCGCCAGCACCACCACTCGGAACAGATGCCAACTTTGACGAACCCTCTTGAATCAACTATAGTGACAGACTGATTAGTAGTATATCCTGTCATTTCGTAAGATTGCTCCCGGCGTACTGTTGAAATGTCCTTGTCCTTCAACTCCGAGAGAAGCTTCTCCAGTCGGTCATCCTCCGCATCAATACCAACAGATTCGAGGACGCCCTTGATATCGGAAGCCGATGGAGATGTGTTGCCAGCAAGGCCGAGGAGGAGGTAAGCTGCAAGATGCTTCATTTTAAATTCGTGTCTAGATCGTGTCAGATTCAAGGACAACAAAGCGAATGTGTGTGTGTGGGCGCGACGAACATAAGAAGTCGAAATTGATGAACGAGAGAGACAATCGATTTAACCGCGAAATTGGGCGGAGACTGAAACGTCAAGTTCGTGGTGTATTTTAATGAGCCTTTCAAGAATTTGAACAACTTTTTGGATTCAATTGTGGGCTGCACTCACAGTGCGGAATTCGAGATCTTGGCAAATTCGGTGCTTGGCACTGGGCACCATCCGCGGCCCATAGCACGTCAAACAAGGGAACCGCCACCATAGGCCCGCAGGGCTGCAGGGCCGCAATCAGTGATTAAAACACAACAATCACCTCACTTTCACGTTCACTTTCAATACTTGTCCGCTATTTCTGCCTGCACGGTCCTTACTACCTTGGCAATCCACATTCTACCGGCACTTCCATGTGATTAGCGAAATCCTTGACCAATTCTTGATGTCTGGGCAGGCATTTAACCTCTGTTCTTAGACGATATCATGACATTAACTGCTTTCACAAACCATCGACGGTGACACTTCAGCAACCCTACGATAAGACTCAAGACCTTCCATCTAGACAAAATGAGCTTTCTTGATGTCCTGGACTCCATCGGGACAGGTCAGCGCGTAGCTGCCCCTCAGATGCCACAGACTTCTTCTGCTCCTCTAAAGCCACCACATCCTTTGTCTAACTCCACTACAGCGAAGACAAAATTTGCAGTCTCTAGAGATTCAGCCAACAGATTGTCTTTGCCAGGAAATGGAACGGAGAGAAAGGTCGGTGAAGCTTTCAAAGCTGTTTCCGAAAGGCCAACACGACCGTCCCCGAAGCAAGGCCCCCACTCTAGGTTGCATGACAGGAGTGCGCCTGTCAGCGCCTCTTCTCAAGACGCCTCCAAGAATTCGCCTGCCAGAGTCGGTAGCCCCGCTTCCTCAAATGCGACCACCAAAGCCCCACCACCAGGCTCATTTGCTGCGCTCATGGCAGAAGCAAAAGCGGCCCAGGAACAAAAGGCGAAGAGTGAAGTTGGTTTGATCAAGCATCAAGCAACGACTAGGGTCCGATTGTCAAAGTCTGAGAGAAAGAAACAAGAAGAAGAGGGAAAAGCCATGAAAGCAAAGCTGGGCAAGCAGCCGCAACACAACAGCAAAGTGGACAAGAAAGCCCGTTTGGATCCTAAAAAACGTCCAGAGTCAACATACAAGGGGACTGCGAAACCAGCGGCACCAATATCTTCCTACAAGGGCACTGCTGGTCTCCCGAGCCAACATCGGTCCTCTTCGGCGGATCTAAGACATAGGGGTGGTAAATCATCCAGCAGGTATGATGAATATCTCGGGACCGATGAAGAGGATGAAGGTGATGAGGATATGGTGGATGACGGATATGAATCAGATGCATCTTCTGACATGGAAGCTGGTGCATTTGATGTTGAGGAAGAGGAGAGCAGAGCGCTTCGTGAGGCTAGGGCTGACGACGCCAGAGAAATGGCATTGGAGAACAAGCTGAAACGAGAGAAAGAGGAGCGGAGAAGAAAATTGGAAGCCCTGGCGAGAAAGCGACGTTGAAGTGCTGACATGGCACCTGGTGCCTAGTTCTCGTTTAGAGGAACTCGAGCCCCGCGACTCGATGCCACTTGCTGAGCATCAAACTGAATGACGAATCCTCTTAATGGCCTACTTCAGAATTAGCGAGCATAAAGGGGTTGGAGTTTGGATTTGTGCAATCTTTCGCGTCCAGCGTCAGCCGAGACCCGTCATTCCCCAATTGTCACTTTCACAATCGGCTATTCACAGCAATCTATAGTATTGGTACAATCACCTCTGCAGGCTAAATGAAGTGGAATAGATGGCATAAATTAAGCTAGACCTAAGTGTCAGGCCTCACCTGTTCCACCACTTTTCAAGTACCAGAATTCTGACGACTTTTTGGTGTATAACTAATTCGATTCACTATGTAACCCCAAAACTGGCCACTTTAAAGACTCATTACGTTCGTGACATCACAATGTGTTGATGACTGAACCTGCGACTTTTCCCCTCGTGACCTATACGATATTTGAGGCGTCCAGCCCGTGAAAAGTTACTTGTGGAGAGATTTCTGCAGTGTTGTCTACGTTCAAAAAGGGGCAAGAATGGAGGAAAAAAAGAATAAGATGTATGGAGATCGCGTGATCTTTGGTATCAGAGCTACTCCCACGGTTTCCAACATGTCCAATGCGGGAGGCATATTTTAAATATCATGTCTTCGTATACCAGGTACGGCATTGCCAGGGCAACGCAAGTACAGCTACAGATTGTCCTGCCGAAAGGACTAAACGAACATATCATTTCCGTTGAACTGGCACCACCAATGTATCGATCCCTTGGGTCCTGATATGCCTGGTGTTGGAAGCTGGAGACCTGAACGACAATTGAAATCAGAAACCTTTGTTCCTAACAGAGATTACTATGTGATGTGGCCCAGCGACCAGCCAACACTCCATCATCCTACATCTATCTAGGGTGTGAGACACGCATCCAAAACGCATCCCGGGTCAACCATCATCATGGCAAACGAGACGCCATGGTACTATCCTCCTGGCTGGGATCGCGAACGTATGCTCAACGCCACCGACGAAGAGAGCGGGACCATGACCCAAGAGCAACGTGACACCTTCCGTGAAGGTCTGCACGCTGATTTGGGCGAAGCAGGACTGGAAGATTTTCAAGCGGAATCCTATATGCGCTGGAAGCGGCGCGAGAAGACGAAGGAAGCAGCCACTGTCGTCCCTGAGATTCGTAATCCCCCACCTTACGTGGAGACAATGAATCTCGCAACGGAACGGAACGGGCGTGAGTGGCCGCAGTGGGGTTTCGTGGTGTTCCGGACGACGCCTTACATGGACGAGGGAGGCTGGCGCGCGATGAGGCATCGGTGGGACCAGATGATCGACGACCAGTTTCAAGACGATTTAGATCTGCCCGGTGTGCGGGAAGCGAAGCGGAAGTTACGATTCCTCTGGGTCGAGGGGCCAGAACTCGAAGGTGCGCTCCCAGCTGTGATCGCAAGGTAAGTAAGCCAAACTTTACATTTGTCCCTCGGTATTTATTAAGCCTGCGGTATCATTGCTCCAAACACTAACATCTGCCTCTCCTACTCTTCACAGCCGATATCAAGCTATGGGCTTGCCATATGGCATAGTCCATAATGTATGCCTCTGTATCAGTCAAGCAAGTATGGACGCGATCTTGAACTCTCCAATGCCATCCCAGTTGTCTCGCAGACAGCGCAAGAAAATCCCATTTGTCTTGGCCGTCACCGGGAGTGCAAAGCAGCCTCGTGCGTCGCTGGAAGTTGGACACGAAGAGAAGGATTGTCAACGGGAGGACTTTCGTGGCTACTTCAACGTTGCTGTCGAGGCATTGCTGAACCATCTTTTCGCCTGCACCGCTGACGATATGATGGACCCAGATGTACTTGGGAGTCGGGTCAAAGGTGATGACATCTGGTGCAATGCCTACAGAGACGGAATCCACAAAACAGATACGGGTTACTTCCACGATGAGAGAGGTGGCTAATTGTGTCAAACTTTCCCTCGGCGGAAGGACACCGGAGCATGATGAGGACCCCCTAACAGCAGTATAGATTCTACCTCAGATGGCAATCTCTGCTCAAGCGAATCAGTGGTAAGCATAACTGAGCCTTCATCTGCTGCGCACACGGCAGGATGTCCGATGCGAAGGACAGTTCAATTAATGTATGTTGCCAGCACCGACCGCACGTGAGCTGCTCACCATGCCTCGCTGTTGACTCACCATTACCCAAAAAGATTCCTTATCTACCGAGTCTTCGAGGACACCGCATCTACCGCGGAATCCGACACCATCGTTCTTGTCAACGAGGGTCTCTTTCCATTACCTCGTGACTGACCTTGCTCGAAATGTTCCAAACCTCGTCTAATTACAACAAGCTCGTCGCGCTGCACAAAAACAATATTCCCATTCCGGAAGATCCCAAGCATCAAATTGCCCGTTGTACTTAGCCAGTCTGTGGGAACGAAGAAGTGGCGGTCATAATACTCGACATCGAAATTCAGAGAGTCGGCAGAGCAGATCCAGCCGTCCTGGTGCAGGAAGACAAGTCCATGTCCATAGGCGCCGACAAGGCACTCGACTTGGTCTGCCAGTGGCTGGTACTGGGGTATCGGAGTGGCAGACTCGGCTTGTGGAGTGAAGTCTGAAGTATTCCAGAGCAAGAGTCTTGACTTTGATCGCGCCGCTATCGACTCGGCGAAGGTGGCGGCTACGACTTCACCATCGAAGCATGGAACGATGGATCGTACGGCGAGTTCTGGGAGTACTGAGCCAAGCATATGAATTCTCTATTCTGGTGTCAACCTGGTCAACGACTGCCAGTGGTACAGATAGGCCACATTATCGGTGACAAGTAGCAGCTGGGATTTCTCCGCAGGATGGGTGCTCCATCTGTATCGTCGACGATTATACCATGCCTCAATTGACCAGAGGATGTCGTCGCAGCTAAGGATATTAGCGGTCGTGTACAGCCTGCATTAGTTAGAAGTTGACTCACAGCGATATATATAATGTCCTGTTCGCGATTAATATATTAACTACAGTAAAACCCACAATTCTGTAGAATTCTTGGCAAATTCAGAACATTACTTTTTTTCCCGGCAGATTTAGGACTACTACGTATTGATACACCAAGGGTATCCAGCAAACTTAGTCCTCCTTACTCATTATAATTGTGCGATTCTAGTTAGCTATTGTGATGGATGGAGCATTTCCTCTGCCATAGCGCAGAAAATGCACGTGACCAGCCACATGCTCGGGTGACAGCGCTTAGTATGTACTACGGCTACAGGCCTAATTTTTGCACCCCCCCCCTGGTCAAAATATCTTACAAACGCGTTTTTTACATGCGCATCCCTGTCAGCATCCCTGTCGCTATTTTGCACGAATTTTGTCATTCTGCAAATTCTACGAATTCTATAAATTCTATTAATTTGATATGGATACTAATGAGTCTGATAGACCCTCTACTCCTCCTTATTCCTCTCTCATTCCTCTCATTCTACTCGAGATCAATATTTATAAATTTAAACTCTACACGACGCAGGCTATACGTACAACGAAATTCGTCAGTAGTTACCAAATCTCACTCTATACCAAATCAAATATGCTATTCGTAATCGATTAATACTTAAAAAGCATACTAAGCGACATTTAATTATTACTAAAAAAGAACTTAAGCAAATTATTACATAAATTTATTCTTCTGCAGCTAATTAATGTACACTATAGATCTAGATCCTTCTTGCTATAAAGATCAATATTAAATAGTATACTATTTAAAATACTCTATAAAAAGCAGGCTTTTTGTATTAAGTTATTTATTACAAACCTCTTATTTTTAAAAAGAATTAAAAAGCACGTTTTTAATAGGCTTCTGAATATATTAATTAGATATATAAATAATAGAAAAAGATACTATAGAGTAATAAAACATAAGTTAATAGAGATTAATATACTAAAACGTACGTTATTCATTAACCTAGTAAAGAGTAAAATCTCCTATATATATTGTTGAACATTATTAATAACGTAAAGGTTAGATGTTTTAGGGTTGTTTTAATAGTAATAAAAAAGGTCCTAGTATCTTTTAAGAGAAAGAATAGGGTACTATCAAAGAAACAAATAGGCTTCTGAATATATTAATTAGATATATAAATAATAGAAAAAGATACTATAGAGTAATAAAACATAAGTTAATAGAGATTAATATACTAAAACGTACGTTATTCATTAACCTAGTAAAGAGTAAAAGAGTGGGATCCTACGTGTATTGTTGAACGTCATCAACGACGTAAAGGTTGGATGTTTTGGGGTTGTTTCAATGGCGATAAAAAAGGTCCTGGTATCTTTTGGGAGAAAGAATGGGGTACTATCAAAGAAACAACATATCGAGAGCACATCGTACCTCTTATCAATAACTGGATACAAGTAAATAGCAGCAAAGGATTAATATTTATACAAGATGCTACACCTGCTCATGCTGCTAAGGGTACTATTTGAGATCTTTGTCAACGTGGCATATCTTGTGTCTAATAGCCTGCATATTCGCCTGATTTAAATCCAATTGAGATGGTATGGAATTAGATGAAAGATTGGATACAAGAGCGCTATGGAGATACTCTACACAAGTACGATGAGTTACGAGCAGCTGTTAATGCTGCATGGAATGCTGTGCCCCCTGAATATCTCAAGGAGTTGCTTGAGTCAATGCAGGAGAGATGTCAAGCAGTTTTGGATGCCAATGGAAAACAAACTCGATTTTAGAGACTAGTCCTAATTAAGCGATTTTGTGCACATCTATACTTAATTTTGCATAGTAGGTTTTGTACGGATACTAGCGTTTTCGACCAGGGGGGGTGCAAAAATTAGGCCTGTAGTCATAGTAGACCTTTAGCGCAACTATGTACAATAGCCAATTTTCCACTCTTCCCATACAAATTACTACTGTACGCCCGGTATTTATTGGAATCCTATAAGAATCAATTAAATGGTACGTTAAAATCTGCTTTTTCGAATGGTACTAATTTCCTAAATAGGCGACTAGATATCAGAAGCGGGTGTACCATCCCTTGGCCCTGATCACTGCATTTACAGGTATTCATGCTCTTGATCAAAGCATCAATAGCTTCTTGCCCAACGGCGTCCCAACCCTCATGAATAGCTGTAAACAGACGTTGATACTCAGCCTTGGATTTGCCTATTTTGATTAAGTTAGGGTAGTTGTTATTGATCTATTGCTTGAGTTGCGCCTAGAGATGCTCAATTAGGTTCAGATCCGGACTATAGGGGGGCCATTTAAGCAGAGATATACCCTCCTTCTCAAACTAGGCCTTGACCTTTTTTGCAGTATGGATTCAGGCGTTATCTTACATGAAAATCTGACCAGATTTATACATTTGAGGGATTTGCTCACGGAGAACAGTGAGATAAGAGTTGGTAATATATCCTGACTTCTCTGAATCAGGATCACGCTCTAAAAGAATGATATCTGAACGCCTATTTCTATAAATTGCACCCTATATTATGACGCTGATATCCTTACCTTTCTTAAATGGCTAAATCATATCCTTATCCCACTTTTGTTATGGCGTACGAAAGTTCCAAACTCGCTGGGCCCTAGAGCCTCTTTCAAGAGAATATTTATTACTAAATATAATCTTGCGCTAGTCATCTCACGTCTAATCTTTTTGTTCTAAACACTAAGCAAGGCGTTTAGCGACTACTTCAGGAGTTAGAAGAGATCTTTTTTTAGCAAGCTAATTAGTAATGCCCTTGTCTTTGAGTATTTGACAAAGGGTGCTTTTTAAAACAGGTACCCCAAGGGCAAGTCAAAGAGCTGTATAGGTAATTCTTGGATTGGCTCGAATAATGTATAGAACGTCTCGTTTTTGAACGCGATTTAATATAGGGGGTCTACCAGAACGCGGCAAGCTATTACCTTCGTTGCGGAGTGGATTTCGTACGAGGGTGTTGAAAATAGTGGATTTGTCGCAAGTAACTTTTTCGCCAATTTCTGCATTTGACAGCCCCACAGCCTTGTAAGCTGAAATCTGACCGCGTTGAAATGGAGATAGCTCCTTGCCATAGCTCCTGTTGATTTCTAGAGGCGCCAAAGCCCTGCGTTGATTCATGGTGGTTGGTTGAAAAGGGTAGTAAAAAACGCGTGTTGGAAAGAAAGTGCGCGTCGATCCAATACTTTTGACGTGGTACTGTATGACAAGCTCTATGCCCTTAGCCCCATTCTGGTTTGTTGTCTTCTTTTTGTCGACTAAAAGAAGACACCTGAATTTATCCTCTTCACTCTTGCTTCGGAGGCAGGGTCCTCGGAGCCCGACAAACCACATGCGCCTTCTCCATAACATGGCTTTCATCTGGGCCCCCTGTCTGCGGCTTTTTCATAAGCACTCCAAAAACGGTCAACCAGACCTCGGATAGTCCGAGCTTCTCTTTGGGACCTATCATATCCTGAGGCACGAATTCAGCATTATCAGTTGCGTTGACCTTGGTATCCTCGGGAATAGACTGAAATTGATAAGTGTCTGTGCTTTGCCGGAAGGTGAGTGTAAGGCTTTTGTGGCGGAGTAAGAGCGAGAGCCAGTTGGTTACTCCCAGCTGCCATAAAGGCACCAGCACCGACAAAACTCACAGCGACAGCGGACGCTACGGGCGCGGCGAAGGCAGCGAAAATGGTTGTTAGAGTTGCTGCAATCCAAAATGCTACATCATCGCCGTGGTATGCTGGGTCTTTCCAGGGGAAGAATAGCGTTGCCATTTCGTCAATGACGCCTAGATATCCTAGTTGGCCTCTTGTTATCCCGTCCTTTATTGAAGATAGAGTTAGTAAACGCTGAGTTATAAGCTAAGCTGGATTGTATAATGTCGAGAGGGCACTAACATAGGCAGAGTTGAACAGCGTGTTCGGGTGTATGACAGATGACAGGGAAAGATAGGCCGACGCAGGATCCCTACTAGACTCGAAATCTGTGTGAATTAGGAGATTGTTAGGAATTCATCGCTGATAGCTGTGCTTGTAGAATCGATACCAGAAGGAGAGACTACATAACGAACCTGAATACCCTTAGGCAGCACAGGTTGAGTAGAGATAAATTCCACATTTGAAATCGTTCACATGCGCTCCATATTGGCGACCAAGGGCATTATCGAAAGGCTGAGGCCCATCGGACGTAACGTTGTCCCACCACCGCTGAAGCTGCGCGTCAGTATCTGCCTCTACCCAGGCAGCGACCGTTGGTTGCCAACGAGGGTCAGTCCCGCAGTCAGCTCGTTGCCGTTGCTCCAGGGTAGGCAGCCACGCTTTGATGCTTGTTGTCCATAAAAGAAAGAACAAATAGAAACAAGAAGGGATTGTGATCTTCATCTTTTCAAGTTTGCTGTATGCGTAGTATTGCAACTTGGAGAAGACGGTCTTCTCAAGATCTGATACCTGAAGTGGTCTGCACTGGTAGACCGCACCCTAATTAACGTAGGGAAACCATCAAAGCGATAGGTTTTGCCTATTTCAAAATAGTAAAAGCTGATAGAACCATCTCTGCCTTGAGTGAGGCAGATACTAATGCGCAACTTCAGCGGTGATAGCACAGTGTTGTGTTCGATATTTTGCTCAGGTGGCTCTTTTGCTTTATTGGTCCACTTACGTTAAAGCAACGCCTGCGCTAAGCCTGCAAGCCCAAGTGAAAGGACCCGGCAGCCTCGTAGGTAACTTAGTACTTTGCTTTCTCCATCATTTGATTCATCAACTCATGGACAGTGCCGTCGACCATTGACAAAAACGTGAATCGCACGCTTTCAACCCCTACGGCCCAGATTTGCCCTACAGCCCGCCTTTTTGACGTGGCGCCCCGAACTCTGTCCCGCAGCCTGATCGAGGCATCACGCCGCAGAAATGCCATTCCAGCCAATAAAAGCTGTCTTCAAACCAGGGGACAGTTTCCCAATTGGGTTTTGAAACAAGAACGCTTATGGATCGCTCCTACGGAGTACGCATCAACGGATACGCAAATTCGCAGCCAAGATACGTGATTGTCCATGCGGGGACCCTCATAATAGGCCAAAAAAGGTTCACACAATTCATGAGACGAAATACAGCTAGTTATTCGTATTAAGATTAAAAGGAACATCACTTTATTAACGGGTTTCAATGTCAAACGCCAGTAAGGATTTACAACTTTTCTACTATTTTCTCTTTAAACATCATCATTTGTACACCAAAACAGCTTGTATTGATATATTCCTATGTTACTTCAACTTTTGGTGTTCCTCTTGCCAAGGCTGCAGCAGAATCATGACGCTAAATCGCGGGAACGTTATTCTCAACAAGGAAGTGGTCGCATTCAGTGACAAAAGGGATAGATTTTCTTAAAAAGGGTCTCTAGTTGTCGTCGATATTTTTCTTATTTAATTGCTCCTTGGTTTTCTTTCTTGCTTTTCTCCTTAACCTTTTTGTCAGAGGGCAATCTGGAAACAGACGGACAGTAGAGAGTCTTCCGTTCATCAAGAGATACTATCTAACAAGTATATAGTGAGATAGTGATCCAACTTCACAAAAGAGTTACGCCCAAGTAACCAAAGTTACTTGAATGCAGTTGGAATAGTATATTAATCCTTATCCAGATGCCCTAGAGAGAGTCGGACCACGACTCCATCTAGGCCCCAGGAGGCCTCCATGTCAACTCCGTGACATATAGAACGCATGCAAATAACATGCGAGTAACAGGTCAAGCGAGTAGACGATGGCAGCCGTTTGGTAGATACAAGAGTAGAACGCTGGCCAGCTGAAGAATCTCTGTCGGCCAGTCTTTATCTACACGTCAAGAGTCTCTCCTAACATTTTTGGTCCGCCTTACTTTGCGTTGACGGTAATGTTACAGACATTTTTAACTTCCCTTTATTAGTTAGCTACTATCGACGAGCTTGATGGCTAATACGGCCGTGGGTTGAGCATACGAGTGGCAGGCGCAGGTGCACTACTAGCCTGTGGCTAGCGCCGGGGAAATTGGCTGTACATGTACAGCCAACTTCCCAAAGCGGCCTAGCGCCATGTTGATGGGCTTGTCGATCTAGATCGACAAGGACTAGCTCCACGCTTATTGCCCCTGATCAATAAGCTCACCCTTGTACTTAAAAAGGGCAGCACTGCCAGATCTAGATAGATTTAGACAGGCAAGGACAGGACCACAACAGGTGAACAGTATCCTCCTGCAAGGCGGTACTTCAACAGATATTCTCACAGAATGCAGCAGCAGCCACAGCAGGTAGCGTTGCAACGGCGTGGTCTGTGTCTTCATGTCCATGGGGAATCTGCCTATCCTCGGTCGCCATGCGCTACTACTTACCAAGAGAATGGGTAGCTATAGATTTGCGCTAAGTGCCATTACTTACCAGGAGAAGAGGAAGCTAAAGATTTGCACTAAGTGCCGTTAGTAGAAATGACAGTCATTCCGTCAAATGACCACCATACTAATACGATAAAAGAAGCATATTTTGACCATACTATAACCATATTTTTAGTAAAATACGTTGTAGATAGTAAGATTTTATTAGATCATAAACGACTAAGCTGTATATCCTTGTACTCTCTAAGTAATATCACGGTTAGGCTTAATCTAAGCGCACTTTGATGGCTCCCCTAGCATTATTTTAAGAGGGCCTCTTCCTGCTAAGTAGTACGCGGTGCCCAGAGCGGTCTTGGCGTCACGTGACCGCTCACAAAACAACTCTTGGCGCAATCCCTGATACTCGCTGGTTTCCGATTCGAATTGCAGCATGAAGCAAACAACTTCAACAGGCTTGACAGACATCTTCGGAGTCTCGTCAACTCTTTCTGCCTCGAAGATGCTATTGCCAATCGCGTGAAGATGGTCAGCCAGCAGCATCCACAAACCTCGGTGGAGCGACTCCTCGCGCAGCTCGATAAGGCAATGACGCATTACCAGTTGACCAATAGCTTTTCTTGTGGCGGGTCCCTCGAGGTCCGACTTGGAACTCACTATAGTGACTTTACAATTACAAAGAAGCCAGTCATGTGTTTCCGGCCTATTGTTTTTTGGTGCAAAGGCAGCGTGTCCAAGCATACAACTATCGACTGCTCCTGGACTACTAGCAGAAATTGGGAAAATAGTTTGGATGAGCTGGTCCAAGATTGCAGTCCTGCCACCTTTGGATGCGATGGCGAAAACATCTTCGACGAGAAGATTCGCAAAGCCGGCGTTTTAGATGCAGCCTCCTTTTCGACAAATTTCAACCCTTACGACTTCGGTATTGTGGATGCCGTTGCCCAAGAGCTTCTCCCTGGCCTTGCGAGAGCCGGGAAGCAGCCGGCTGTGGAGCGATGGGGCGTGGTTGCAGAGCTCTACAAACTGAATGTGTATTCGGCGCCTTCGGGCATGTTCAAGCCACACGTCGACACGCCTCGCGGACGGACTCATTTTGGGTCGCTCGTAGTTGCATTACCGACTGACTTTCAAGGTAGCATTTTTGGCGATGAAGGGTTCGAAAGTCGCTGATTTGTTGCCAGGCGGCCAGTTGCGGGTTGCTTATAAAGGTAAGGAGCGAGCCTATCTCGACGACGGGTCGTTTTGTCGGAGCGATATCAACTGGGTTGCGTTCTACAGCGATTGCGAACATGAAGTTCTACCCGTCACCGCTGGACACCGCATCACGCTAACCTACCAACTCTACGTCTCCGAATGCATTGGAGGCCTTGTACAGCCCCAACTGCAAATGCCAGATTCGAAATTTTACCCTATGTATCGCTGCATCAAAGACATGCTCGCCTCACCCACGTTTATGAAAAATGGTGGAATCCTCGGCTTTCATTGCGTGTACCAGTATCCCGAAAAGTTCGAGGGCACATATTTCTACGAACGCTACCCACGGACCTTAAAGGGCATCGACGCTGTTATCTTCGCCATCTTCCGAGCGCTTGAACTCACTGTTCATATAAAGCCCTACGAAGCTGGAAGTATCATTGGTGGGAAGATCGCAGATGCGAGGGTGCGACTTGAAAGCCTCTTCACTGAAGAAGCCACCTGTGGAAGGCTAGTAGCTAATGAGGTACGCACCACCCCAAATTTTGGATTATCGCATCAAGGTGACTAAGGAACAGTTTGAACGATTTGATTGTGGCCACTATGTTGGCGACGAAATTTTTGAGCATGTCAAGTGGTTTAATGAAAAGCCCGCTCTACATCCGGCTGGGGAAGGATGTCTCGATGTTGCAAAGCCAACTAGGTGGATCGGCAATGAAACCGAGGTTGATTGGGATTATTTGTTCCGCGCATTGTTGGTGGTGGTACCTGCATCATCAGACCGAACTCTGAAGACTTAGACATTGGCGCCGCCTGATGGTGGTTATTGATTTGGATTCATCAGCAACTGCAGTAGTGGACTCTTGGTCCTAAATCTGGGACCCTCCTTCAGTAAATGTTCAGACAGTCATAAAGCCTCCAAACAAAAGCCCCAGTTCACCATCGGCTGTCCGGAATCATGGATCACTCGCAATCACTCGATGATCGAAGCTCTGGGATATTCGCGGCCATCGATGTCCGAATACATAGATCACTGGCAACCATCGAATACCCGCGATCGTCAGATACTCGCAATCATCAGGTACTCGCAATCATCAGATACTTGCAATCATCAGGTACTTACGATCATCAGATACTCACGATCATCAGATATTCGTGATCATCAGATACTCGCGAGCATCGGATGTCTAAATACATATATTAACCTCCCCCTTTGCGCAATGGGACACCTGCTATGTTAGGACGCATGGGACTTGTGAACATCACATATCTGGCTCCCATATTTTATAGATCTGTCGTTCATGCTGCTCAGTTTTTCGGTCTCTATTCAACACGTTTCTTGCTTCAACCATAAAATTACGCATGTCTTGACTCTTTCTCTGATCAGTTCTTTCATCGTACAAAGAGACACGGGCCGTTATCCCCTGCTAAAACGTCAACTTCGGAAGCTTTTCAAATTTCGGAGGTATGAAACAAAAGTCCCACTATGAGTCACTCTCGCATCAGACTTCATCAATACTCAGGCCTCAGTAGCTGGCATTCTGGGAGTTTAGCCGTGCTGCGATGGTTTCACCAAGACTTTTATCTCACACGTAGGTGAAAAATTGTTAGATTGTGTCATGCGCCTGCCCTGCGCCTGCTGTTCGGGTAGCATGAGCCAGGGATAGGAGGAATTGACGTACAAAAGGCGCCAAATAGACATAGATTGAATCAACACACTTCCAACACAAAATTCAGCGTCTTTTCTGCGCCTTTTCTGCGTCTTTTTCTCGCCTCTTTCTGTTAGGCCGTGGCCGTCTAACAGATTGAGTATTAAGAGAATGCTTGTCTATTCTCAAGAGCGGAATGGCACTCAGCTATACATATATAACAGCTATCTAGGCAGCAAGATAAAGAATGTGACTCATTCGCGGTTGTTTGGAATAAATGACATGGGCCAATAGGAATCGAAAGGTAGCAACATCGCACAACCACAATAGGCAATTTGGTCGAGTTCTGGTGGCTCAGGCCACCCGGCAAGAAGTGATTCAGGATGAGCATCACTGAACAACGAATTCCTTTCGTCTATATAAACAATGACCCTTCTGTCTCCTAGATAGTACTTAACATCTTTATTATATCTGTATAAGGGCGAGAAGGTTGTGCATGACCAACTGCGGGCTGCGGGGCATCCAAGAAATTTTTGATTTTCAAAAATTTGAATTGGCCGTAAGCCCTTAACTGTCCGCCGTACCGGAGATAGCCGAACGGAAAAAACAGCACCCCAAAAAGGGCCTTCGGGCCAACAAAGCAATTATTCTCCATCCATATTTTGCCCTTCCCCACTGCAGTGCCATCAACAAACACGTGATTACAGGACCGATGGGTGACGTACCCACGGCGTTGATGCGCTGAAGCTTTTCTTTAAGAGGTAGGGCCGTGCCTAGGTTTTACCACAGGATCGTGAAAGCCGAAAGCGGTGAGCGCAACGCACCCAACACTGCTAGGGGACGTTGACGCCGATACATGCTCGCCAATTGAAGGCGTCCAATCAAAGCACCTCCAATCATCGGAACAGACACCAGTCCGATCTCGAGTGCTTTTGGGTAGTCTGACCATGAAAAGCACCAGAAGCCGTCTCTAGTGTAGACAAAGTCCAGTAGTGAGACAAGCATCAGACCCGTTGGTGCTTTGATGCTGATTCGGCTTCGATGGTGTGTACTTACTACGTAGGTAGGAGGAAAGGTGAGGGAGGTAACAGAGGTTTGGCATTGTTGATCGGCAACTGGATCAGCAATCAACGTTGGTTTCCTGCTGTCGTAGCTCGTTGTAGCAACTCATCAGCCGACACGTATTTACTCTTTCACTCTACGATGTACGATAGAAAGGCAGAGAAAGGCCGGACGTGACAGCATGTATTAGGACATTAGAAGGTCGTATGGTGTATCTACCCCAAGGATACAAAAGGACCAAAGAAAGTGACCAGTCGAAAGATCAAGAAGACACCCGAAGCACCCCCGGCCCCCTACGCAATCTTGACCCATCCCAATAGTGAAGCTTGATCGAGCATAGGCGTCTCCATTCTGAGGACTGTCTCCTTGTGCATCGTGCCCGTCGACCTCTCATAGTGGCATAGCACGACACGCAACATGCCTCCTTCCTGCCCACAAATCAAAGCAGCTGATGGAGGCCGCTCGGCCGCAAAGACACTGACTGTCATCGAGCCGGTATCAAGCAGAGTGAAGAAGCGCTGGCCGGGCGCCAGTGTCGGCGGCGCACAGGAGCCCGGTCTTTCAATCCACCCAGGGCCTTCACCCACCCGTTCACGAGCCTGTTTGCAAGAGAGGAGCGTGCTTGATGGCGCGTACGAGATGCGCCCAATGGCATTTCCGAATGCCAGATGTTCGATCTTAGCGATGGGAAGAACGCCTTCGATTCCAATGAGCCACGGCGACTGACCCCAGATCTTACCGCCGTAGAGAAGCTGGACTGACCAAGGCGCAGCAATCAGGAGAACCAGGCCGATGACTAGGAGGATGGCACCTGTCGCTACTGTAGAAGGCATGCCTACCATGATACAACCGATGATGAACCACAGCGGTCCAGAACGGAGTCCTATCTCAGCAAACATTCTTTTCCATGCCTTACGTCGCAGATAGGTGATCTGCGGAATATCCTTCCAGCGGATAGAGATACCCCGGCACCCATCGAGGATGACGCCTTCATCACCGCAGACACCAGCCACCTGGCATAGAGGTTGGATGTCCCAGAGCTTGGCGCCAAGCTGATCGTTGACAACAAACTTCTTGTTGAGCTTGGGGCTTGCGCCGACGTCCGGCAGCATGCACATCATCCGCTCGACAATTTGATCCGAGTCGTTGGCGAGAGAGAGACGCGCCAGAGCCTGGAAGAGCGTGTCGTTTGGGTTCGTGCGTGGTCTTTGTTTCAGCAGAGACATTAAAGCATATGCAAGATCGCCCTGCGTATGTAGATTCTGCGTCTCGCGACTACCGAGGGCTTCCAAGCCCAACGAGATAAGTTCCAGTCGAGAGAGGGTCAGCAGGCCGCTGAAGTGCTCTGCCAAGAGACGAGATACTTGTCCGTCTTTCCAAACATCCGAAGCGAGTGCAATCTTGGAAATCTCCATTGTGGAATCCGCTGAGCAGAATTTGATGTTTAGACTTGACGACAGCAGAGCTTCCGGCAAAGTCCACAGGCGGTTGCCCCAATTCGCCATGCTCGCCTCGCTAAAGTCGGGCACCATGACACAGACCCCAACGGCGCCTCTAATGCAGTCACATATTCGATAAACATCTTCCGAAAACAACGGGCCGGGTGTTTGTTCCATGCACCGGTGGTCTAGCCAGTATGCCGTCAAACCAGCCTCTTCCGTCATCTTCTCGGCGAGCCGTTCAAGTCTTTGACAAGCGCTAGGATCTTTGGGACTAAACTGGGTCGCGGTGTAGCTCACGAATAGATATGGTTCCGCTGAGTTGGTCACGAGCTCCCACGAGGCCCCACGGCGGACAATGAGGCGCCGAGGACGGAGAAGGCGCGACATATCTCCGTTGACAACATAAAGGTTATTTTTCCAGTCAACGGTATCAGCAGCAAGCGGGCTTGCATCCAGGGTGTTTCGAGCATATCTCGGATAGTCCCAACAGCGAATTAGGAGGCTGTAATACGTGGACCGAACCGCACTTTCATTGCCCATGGGAATCAAAAGGATAAATATGTGTGCTGGAAGAACAAGGAGCACCTTGCCTGCAATCAAAAGAATATCTGTGATATCCATGGTGCTCCCTGAAGTCTTGATGATCCAGGAGGATAGGCGAAGAAGCCAAGGCGCATTCCCCTGAACTTCTACCCGGCGCCAATCACCGCCTCCCTGGTGCACGTCCACAGATTGTACTCGCATGCGAATTGGTCTGCCGTATGTCGGGCTTAGATAGCGCAGAACATCTTTTGGCCGTGTGGTTACTCGGGACAAGATGTCGCGATGGACGAAGTGTTCGGATGTGGTGGCTTGCTCGGCAACGCGATCGGGATTGCGATACTGGCCCCATTTCGCCCAGCTCCAATGTTTCTGGCCATCAAAGTGCTTGGAGACGTCAACCTGGGATGTGGCATCGATGACGTTAACCTCTGCCTCTGTCTTCATTTTGAAGAGTTTTAGTGCTGGAAACGACGAAAAGCATAGAGTGGATGGGAAAACCCGGTGAGAAAAGAACGCGGAGGGAAAGGGCAAAGAAAAAGGGAAGGAAACAGGGAGTTATAAAGAATGGTTGGTAGTAGATTGCAAGGCTGTGATTTTGCAGTTAACAGCCTTGCGAAGAAAACCCCCTAGGCAACCTGCCGTTTCCATAATAGCCACCATATACATCTTGCAGCCTAGCGTACGAGCTGCGAGTGCTGGCAGCGATTGTCATCGTATGCAGCGGTTGGCTCCTGGTAAAGAGCCCCTTTTCCAATGCAGGATGCAGGATGGATGTCTAGGCGAACGCCACGGTAGGTCAGGTCGGATGTGAAACAGGCACCGCAAGGCTGTCAGTGGTCGGGAGGTCAAATGGTACTCGTATGATCGGACCACATTGGGGGCTGAGCCTCTTCGTGCAATGAGTATAGTATTGCAGAAGGGTGGGTGTAGTCAGGGTGCATGCTCTGGTGGCTCCGAAAAGCTGCACAGAGAATCGAGTATGCCTTGTGTAATTGGATGGTTGACCCTGTCTTTTTAAGATTAGCTACTAAGTACTGCCGCGGACTTAGCGCCATAATTGTGCTGCAGCCTTGGCAGGAGGAACATACGGCGGGACTATTCTTGGGTTAGCCTCACATCCAAAATTTTGAACTCCAAATTTGTAAATCGCTGACTCCACAAGATGCCTTGTAAGATGCCTTGCAAGATGCCTTACAAGACGTTCTTTAATCTAAAAGAGAATTTTAAAAAGAAGATCTTTAAAAGAGGATCTCCTTAGGAGGAGAGAGTCTCCTTCAGATGGCAGTTGCACTCAGAGGACCGAGTCGGTAAGGAGATTGAAGCTTTAAGAAGGACAGGAAATCTGAGCTTGGAAGAATGGCGATTCCTGGAAGCTTGTCTGCACGCCGCATCTGGGAGTCTGTTCACGTCGGTGGTGATTTCGAGGTACGGCGGAGAGGAAGCACGTTTGAACAAAACACCAACAATACCCAGTTAGGCTATTCCTAATCGGATCTAATGCAGGATCTCCTCTACCAGTGATACTGCATTCAAACCTCGATTCCCTCCGTCTTCAAAGCATCACCGTATTCTTTCAGCGAGCTTCGTAGGAAGCTGAGAGCCACACTGCCAAGGAGGTATCAGGGTAGGGAATGACGCGGATGGAGGCCAGAGGACTTGTGAATTTCAGGCTTCGTGTGGGCTTGCGTCTAGCCAGGAAGTTCTCAGGATTACCGGTATTGTGCATTGCAAAAGTGTTGCAAAATTCTCAGCGGTTGTGCGCAGTTGCTGGCCTCGCTCCGTCAAATAGAAATAGATCTTGCAAGCCTCCTATATTCTGAGATCAGACGAATTATATAGCCAGGAGTTGCTGAACCTCGTCTAATTCTTTTGATATACATTAATAGTAATAGGTCTCACCTGATGGAGCCAACTCTTTACATCATAAACTGTATTGTTTCAATAGAATCTTATACATTTGATATACATGTCAAAGGTATTAAAGGATGCTCAACATGATTTTGATATGGAAGGCTTCTAACAGGTTCAGTAATTGAGTGCTCATGGGCTGTTCAAGTTTGACAGAGCAACGTCAGCAATCATTCTCAGTACGAGTACGCTCACAGGAATGAGTAAAAGCTAGCCCTTCCTGTACTAACTCGGTATCAGTAGTCAGTAGGGGCGTAAACATGGTCAGAGGGACAGATGGCTGAAGTTGAACTGACATAAGCCTCCGAGCCATGTCAAATAGCCCAAAGAGAGTCCTAAGGGTCCAAGGAAAAAGGCGGTCATAGCAGCAGCTCTAGGGCTACACCCCTATAACAAAGATTTTACGTGACACTAAAACTTAGATCGAGTGTACTAATGGCGCTCTAATCTTAGCGTATATTGATGACTTTTGATGCACCACTCCGTACACTGTTTCAGACTCGCTTATGGGAGCCAGCCAGACCCCTCTCCTCGCCCCACTCCTCGCCCCTCTCCTGTCCCCGCCGCTGTCCCTGGCAAGCTACGATAAGCTGTGGCGACAAGTGACATCACCCATTCGGCAATGAAATGAGCTTCCCCATGCCATGTTCACATCCATGTCCACATTCTGCCCTTTTCAGATGTTTCGTAGAGAGTACCTACCCAACATCGAGCAGGTTATTTCACATTAACCCTAGAATTTTGCTATCCAGTCTCAATCTTCTGCGTTCTTCCAGGACACGTCCAATTGTCTTATGTCTCCACCAGCCCCGTCCGACTCGTCCATACCAGACATGACAACCTCCACGAAAGCCATGATGGCTAAGGTGAAGCAACTGGTTCCGCCTATGCTTGAGAAATTCCACAAAGGTCTGTACCCCATGATGCCCTGCTCAACAGAACTGATTCTAATCTTCGGTACGCAGGCCAGTTGGGTCGGGTAGCAGTCATTGGAGGCAGCGCAGAGTGAGTTCTTCACTTCTTGATCCCTTACATATGCTACGGGGTTGTATCCGACACCTTCACGCTGAGCTTCGGGAGCCGCCGGCGAACAGCAAGGTTGAAGCTAACAATGCATCATTCCATCAGATACACAGGAGCACCATACTTCTCAGCCATGGCCTCGGCGCGATTAGGTCGGTGCTTACTCAAATGCCTGTTCTCTGGCATGTCAGCTGATATTGACCAGGATGTGATCTTGTTCGTGCTTCATCTCTGCGCTGAGAATCACTCTGCCGGGTCGCTAAGTACTCTCACTTTTCAGAGCTACGTGATCTGCGAACCGTCTGCATCACAGACCATTAAATCTTACTCGCCGAATCTCATGGTGTCTCCACTACTCCGCTCGACTAAGTCCCTTGCTACGAGCCATTTTGACCCATCAATCGAAGAAATGACGTCCCCAATCCTCGCTCTACTGCCGCGGCTCCACGTCTTAGTCATCGGTCTTGGACTAGGACGAGATGACATCACCCTAAAACAAGTTGCTGCTATCATCAAAGCTGCGAGAAGTCAGGACCCGCCGGTTCCTCTTGTTCTAGATGCTGATGGATTGTTCCTGATCAATTCGGACCCTGACCTGATTAAGGGGTACAAAGAGTGCATCTTGACGCCCAATGTGATCGAGTTCGCCAGAATTGCCAAAGGAATGGGTGTCAATCTTGATGAAGGAGATCGAAACAAGGATTGCGAGAACTTGGCTAAAGCACTTGGTGGAGTTTGTATTATTCAAAAAGGAAAGGTCGACCACATCTCAACCGGGGAAGGAACCACAACTTGTGACTTCGAAGGAGGTCTGAAGAGATCCGGTGGACAAGGAGACACACTGACTGGCTCGTTGGGCACCTTTCTGGCTTGGCGACAAGCATATCATGAAGGTTTGTGGGAATCAGCAAATAAAATGTCAAGAGAGGAGACACTTCTGGCGGCGGCATTTGCAGGCAGTGCTATCACCAGGGAATGCTCGAGGAAGGCCTTCAAAAAGAATGGACGAAGTCTTCAGGCTAGTGATCTGACAGATGAGGTTCATGGTTCATTTTTGAGTCTGATAGGTGAGCCAGAAGGTGATAGCAAGCTGTGAATATCTGCTTTGATAGTGGACTAGATGATCCAAGCGCATCCATTCATGCAAAAGCGGTCGAGTTCCTCTCAATTCGTTTTCTGGTCTTGCGGCAAAACTTCCAGAATTGGCATCAAAGAAAATACAGCTAAGTTAGCAGAAGTATGACAGCTAAATCAAATGACGTAACTGTTCGAAATATACGGAGTATATTTCAGACATTTCCAGCGGTATTTCTTTCGTAGTGAATTGAATCAGCTTTCAATGATAACTTGTTACGCTTTTTGTGTCCGCCAGTGATAATCATGATTCTAGCCTTGCCGTCGAAGCGTCTTCTTCGTGCGCTTTCGTCTATTCTGAAAGACAGCGCTCCTACACGCCCTGCCCCGAGGCACATATGCCTTGCATGCCGTGGGCAACTCCTGACTCCACGAGCCAATCGTGCTCCTCAAAGAGCGACAAGTTTGTTGATTACGAAAGCGACCCGCTCAGCTTCGACCTCAAGTGCTCAGGGATCTCCTGATCCCCAAAGCTCATTTACCCTGCCTGATATCTCAAGCCATTACTCCATCTTCCCAAACACGCTTCCGCTTGGGCCTCCGCCTGCCGGTCCATTCAATATAAACCTCACCGCACTTCGGCGCGAATTTCTTCAATTGCAAAGTCGCTTTCATCCAGACAAGTTCCCGCCAGAGCAGAAAGCGAAAGCTGAAGCTCTATCGTCAAGGATTAATGAAGCCTACAAAATACTTCGTGACCCATTGCTACGCGCGCAATATATCTTGCTCAATACATATGGGATAGATGTGACTTCCGAAGACAACAGCGCTCACCCGATGGATCTCGGGATATTGATGGAAGTGATGGAAGCGCAGGAAAATATGGAAGAAGCTGAGACAGAGAAGCAAATTATGGCGCTGAAAGAGCAGAACCAGGAGAGGATTGATGTGACACTGCAATTATTGGACGATGCCTTTTCCAGCCGCAACGCGGAGGTGGCAAGACGAGAGTGCATTCGACTTCGATATTGGGCTAGTCTCGCAGAGGGCTTGAATGCTTGGGATGGCAAAGGCAGCGAAGTGAGACTTGCGCACTGAGTTATCTAAGACTGAAAAGCTCGTGCACTGTGATATGCAATGAGTCAACCCATTTCATCACTCATCTCGACCTACCAACGCACCTTTTCGCCGTCATGACAGAAAAACCTGTCGCTGATCTCCTCCGTCGTTCTATCCACCTGCCTAAAGCAGCAATCTGCAGACTGCTCAACACCCAGCAACGGCTCCTCGACCAGCCCAGGACTACTCGCAAGAGGCAATCCCATCTCCGTCTTAAACCGCCCTAGCGTCAGGATGAATCAACGATATTCGAGTATTCAAAATGTGGTTTCGGCATGGCATAGTTTGCGGTGACGTTCTATTTGTCATAATTTAGCGTGTCAAAGGTAGGTCACACATAATACCGATACACGCGACGGATAACGAAATGATGAAGAATCTCCTACCAGTGGACTCCTCGAGAAGTGGCAAAGTGGCCTGGAAGAGCAGAATAGGTTCAACCTTATTAATGAGAAAGTGGGATTCGCGATCTGAAGGCTTATCAGCAGCAACTGGTCTCCATTGCCCATTGATGTCGTCGATTGCTGTGACCATATACACGAATGCCATGTTTGGATTGGACGGGGACCTACCGCGCATCAGTGCGCATCATCCGACGCAGCATTGTGTCTTCATGATATGATTTTGAACCCTCCGCTTTGAGGAGGGAGGGCAGGCTCTGCGACGTCGGAAGAATAACACTCGGATAGGTGTGACAACTGCCGTTTGAGGCAACTCGAGAGCTTCCCAACAAAGCCTTCATTGGTCTCGCGGTTGCCATAGTTGCTGAAATATGTCTTCAGTATGGATGGTTGCTTCTGGAGCTGGTTGCTTGCCGACGACAGCAGATTACAGTAGGATCACGGTGTCTGTGAAGCGTGCTCGACTAGGGACGTTTCCGATCGGGACTAAATTCAATCTCTTGGATCTGGGAATATAGTCCTACTTCGATGTGAATCTGCCCACTTTGTGTATTCCACGTCCTCAACGCACGCAGACCAAAGGTCCATCTTCTGCAATACACTAAGACTAGATAGTTGTCTATGTTGCCAAGTTGAAAGATCTTCAACAGCTCAAGCTTCTGAGCTACATCCTCATGCGTAGACCATCGAGCCTACCAAGACTTTTAACATCCTTACGTCCCACTCTTTTCCTTTCACAAGGCTTGCAACGTTCATTGCTCATTACCCAATGCCGCCAACGTGACGCCCCGCAAGCCTTGACCCACGAACAAGAGCAAAGCTAATAAATCCTCAATTGCGATGCAATACCTGACAGGCAAGGGAGCTGAATGGCTCGGCGTGAATTGCTTCGATTGCAAAAATCTCTGACTCTGGCTGGGTCTTAGTTTGTCGTATGTGGGTTGAAAGGACAACCCGGTAAACAAGTTGACAGTAAATACTGATAACCCGAAAATATTCCGTGGCACACTTCAAACTCAATCACCTAAAACATTGAAAACACACAGCACCAAATGCCAAGAAAAGAAGGAATATAATCAACTAATTAGCAGTAGTTTCTGTCCCCGGGCATATGGTCGATTTGGAATAATACTTCAATTGACAGAAAAGCCTCCTTTGCGAGTTTTCATAGCAGATGATTCCTGTTAGCCCTCTGATTATCCTTGGCATTGACCAGTAGTACGTAATCAGTCTAAATTATTCTGAGAGTCCCGAACCTGATGTATGAATGTCGGATATGAAAGACGCTTGGAAACATCTTCGAACTTTTTGCTAATTATGTGGGAGGTTGTGGTCATGGGTTCGAACCTGGGCTGGGGAGCTTTCTTTAAATTATAAACCTACTCTTTTTTTGTACTGATTTTGTTCCTCTGAATATAAATCGAAAGGGACTATTGTGTTGATCTTCTGAGAGGGCCTATTGGCCATGTTTCAGATCGTAATCCCTGCGCTTTGCCGCTTTCGATTCTACTGCAATTTCGCTTCTAGCCAATTGTACTTAGAGCTACGCTCGCTAACCCCCCTAGCTATCAATCAACTCGCTTTCTACGCACTCTGCACAGCAGGTTCGCATATTGTTATTAGCAGCATTAATAATTCCAAATAAAATAGCCCAGGAAGTCGTATCCTCCCACCATCAGGATTCTACCGAGCACTATGGGAGCTGAAGAGCTGGGGCCATATCTCAAACAGTTGCGCCAGAGATCGCGCGACCCGTCCTTGACCAGTTCTTCTTTTGTTCCACCAAGTCATAGCCTTCCACGCATGAGATCTCCATCCGAATTTGAATGTCGTTGCACTATTCTATCCTTGGTATAAACTACCGTGAGGGGCGACTGCAATCCATTTTCTTACCGACCACGGAGGAGAAGCAGGAGCAAGTGGAGCAGAAGTTAGGATCGGTCATTTTCCAGTTAGCTATACCGGCATCTGTGCGGCAGTCCAAGCTATCTTTACCATGAAGCGTGTGCTGGTAGTCCTGATATCATTCCTGCCTCTACACCTTCGTGATGACTACAGAATCGACACGAGCAAAAGATATGGCGGGCCTGCGGAACGGAAAAAGAAGCGGCTTATGGAGCCGGATGTGTAATTATCTATATACCTGAGCTTGGTGGTTACGTACTGGCCTGATTCTCTGGCTGCTTGGATGGGTTGGAGACATCCACATTCCAGTTTTTCGCCTCGGGGGATCATATCCCTGTAAGCTCGACACAATCCTCCAGCAGGAACTATCGGCTGCTGCCCCGAGGCAGGTTGATAAATCGGTGAGATGCGACGGCAAGATCCTTCAGTGGTACAGGCACCATCATCGAGTAGACCATAGAACTTTCGGATCCCTCCTCGTACCACATTCCTCCATCAAATACCTACTGCACCTTCTTCTCACCACCCAGCGCTTCCTTCTCCGCCCTCTCGCTCAGCACAAAGCTCTTCACCGCCCGGGCAAGGCCTTCCTCCAGCCCAACAAGAGGGGTATACCCACATCTCCTCTTCAGCTTATCACAGTTGAAATATCGTTGCATGGTAGCATACCTGATGGACTGTCTTGTCATCTTTGTCTTTTTTCCAGTGATATACGTGCTCATCTCGGCGAGTGCACCAACAGGCAACAAGAACCCCTTAGATAGCTGCCATACTTTGCTCATAGATACAGTTCGGCCATACAATGTCCAAACGTAGCGTGCGATATCCCAGAAGTAGGCTGGGGAATCATTCGTAACGATGAAAGCTTCGCCGTCGACCTTCTCGTGATCCAACGGGACGGCTTCGCCAGCCGCTATCCGCGCAGAAGTGTGCAAGAGAGCTTCGGCTGCTACAGCTAGGCCATACGCGACGTTGCCGACATAGGTACAGTCGAAGAGATTGTTGCCCTCGCCGAACTGAAAGTGTAGTTGCCAGTCCGGTGCATGAGCAGCGGTCTGGAGGAGAGCGTCTGTCATACCGGCGCGATCTCTCTCGCCAACAATTCCTGCAGGTCGGATGGCGCAGGTTAACATGTCGTTATGCTTTTTGTTTGCTTCCAGCACAATCTCTTCGGCATCAGCCTGTCCTCAATGCGCTTATCGTCAGTCAAGACCCCACTAGGAATAGGATGGACTCCTCCCAACGACCAGAAGATTTCCAAGAACAGCAATGAACGTACCTTGCTTTCTGTGTAGTATTCTACGGGATGTGGTCGCACAAGTGGCCACCTCTCATCGGCATTGATCAGGTCATTAAGACAATCATGGACCACCGAGCTCGAGCTTGTATGTACGAATGCCTTGCATTTACCACCCCAGTCTCCATGCGCGCCTCCAGCAACTTCTAGCAGAGTTTTTGTCCCTTCAATGTTGACTTTCCGCAGGATCTCACGTGGCGCGTCATAGGTGGGCGAAGCGGTGTTGATAACGACTTGAGGCTTCACCTCCCGAAAGACAGGGAGGAGGGACGCAGGGTCGCAGAGGTCTCCTTCGTGGTAAGTGGCGCCTGGTAGACGGTTGCGATTACATCTGAGGTCAAGGACGTGTACTTCTGTCTTTGCATACAAGGGGTATCGCGAGCGTAGAGTGGGGAATTCGAAGGATGCTGCATCAGGCTTCGACGTTCGCGTCGAGGTAGCAGGCTTAGGCAGAGGAAGATCTTCTTCAGAGGCAAAGTTAAGGAATTGGTCCACCACATGGTAGCCCAGGAAGCCGCAGCCTCCCACGATCAGGACTCTACCGAGCACTATGGGAGCTGAAGAGTCTGGCGCCATAGCTCGATTGCCGGAAAATGGAGGGATTACTGGGGTGTGAGCTCTAGATTGAGAAGCATGATCGAACAGAGACCAAAGTAGATACAGCTCTGTAAAAGTACAAAATTTGGTCAACTGGAGAAGTTGGCGCCGCGGGAACGGTTGATCCTGACCGGGGTGCCATGGCAAAAAGTGGTGCGATGCGGGTCACGGTGGGGAGAAATTATTAGTTAGGTTCTGGAGCTGGTCCACGTTCCCAATCATATATATTGCAGGCATGGTTCATATGGACGGTAGTAGTACAACCTACTACAGGGATGCTTACTTCACTGTGTGGATACATGAAAAGAGGCTCATATTGCTTGTCATATTTGTGCAATCAAGAAGAAATAGTGCAGCATTAGCTCTTCCCTCAGGGAACCTCACCGTCACAACGCCATCGCTCTGAATGCTGAACCTTGTTCACAGACCACTGCATGGCAAAGTTCTGTATCCTCCGCTACTGGTGCGGCCCCAGGAGGCATCATCATACATAGCCACCTTGCGCCACCTTGGATGAGGCTGGGTATGAGAAATAACAATAATCCTCCGACCTAGACAAGCTGGTACAGCAAGTCCGAAGGATTAATGGTAAGCAAGATGCACAGCACCGTTATTAACATTCATCCATGCTTCGTTCGACCGATCGGCGTAGCTGGCGGTGATATTTCTTCTTGTCATCTGCGCTGCCCCAGTACAGTTTTGCGGCCTCTGGATGTACAGTTGTCCGTGGATCGTACGGTGGAGAGTCATCTTCCAGAGCTTCAACGATGGCATCGATATGAGACTTCATCTCCTCCACCTTCTTGGGGAAGTAACAGAGTGTGCCGTCTTTGGCGACTCGATGATGATAGATAGGCGTCAGAACTTTGACTCTGGGTTGCTCGTCCGGAAAGCGAGGGCTTAAGCAAATCCTGATCTTGAACATTCCTCCGTCCAGATGGGTCATGGGCTTGCCAAAGTACGTTATCTGCCAGACAAAAGGGTTATCGCTCGCGAGCTCCAGGTCGATTGTGAAAGCTTTGTCCTTGTGTGCTTCAACAATCTGCTCATGCTGGCGCTGTAGATTAGCAGACACGCCGACTTCTCGTCTCTTCGCGTTCAGACCCTCCTCGGCCCATCTCTCGGTTTCCATGTGAATGGTGCTGTGAATTAGATTAAGTCTTCGCTTCAGATCACTGTATTGGTATGTGCCGTCCATGGTGTTGCCTCCATGCTCAAATTCCATTTTTTGAAATTTCTCGCCATCCCGGTGCTTCTTAGCATATGTCTCTATGGTGCTCAGATAAGTGTCGTAATACCAGAGGAAACGTCTTTTGAACAGATCCTTGAATGGTTCGAATTTGGTTTTCTCCACGTCACCCATTTTTTCCAGCGCTTCTTCTACGTCCTCGTCAATCTCTGACTCCCAGGCCGGTGCTGGCGGCTCCACTTGACCATTCGGCAAAATGCCGAGTTGCTCCTCGAGCTTCTGGATGACAGCGATGCGCAACGTTTCGTGCCGAATCTGCAACTGGGTCAGCTGCCGCTCTTTGCTCCAAGCATAACGTTATTACCTTATCCACATAGAGAGCTTGGTGCCTCAGCTCGTCTGGCCCCTTCTTGTTTTCGTAGCCTGGCTCGTTTTCGTATGGATTGGAGGACATCAAGCTTTGAATGGAGATTAGAATTGATTCCAGGCCCTGCGCTGAGGACCATTCTTCTCCAGGACGTTCCCCCCTCCATGTCCCTAAGATCGACAAGCACACCTTTCCCCCAGCGTAGATATTAGGGTTGAACCGACACCTGCCCCCATTCGTGGTGGTTGCTGTCACGGAAGGTGGGCTGCTCGGATAATCTCTGCCCAGCCTCACGTTGAACTCAAAGAAGCCAAACTCGTAGGGTGTTTCGGGAGGACCAACGATGAGCGCCTTGATATGTTGGATGTTGGAGTCCCGATATGCAACAGCGATAGCTCAAGGCTTGTCAGAATAAGGCAAATAGGGTAGTGGGAAAGCGCTTACATAGGTCAGTGCCTTGTTGAATATGGCGAATCTCCTGCCTAGAAGTCAGAGCAGTGTGGGAGCACTGGGCCGAATGCTTACCTTTGTGATTCTTACAATCGTTGAGGCCATAACGGTAGCTGGTGGCTGGCGTACGGTTCAGTTATAAGATCGGGCAGGCGTATGATGAAGTTGTGTCATAGGCCTTCTGAACCAAAGGAGCATGACTGCAAAGAACAGGAGGAGAAGGGAGAGGATGCCTTAGATAGTATTCGCAGTACTACTTAAAACAAGAGAACAAGGTGCTCAGTGCATGATCCAGGCATCAATGCACTAACTGCAAGCAATCGTGGATCTGTAAGAATTGGTGGCCATTGGTCATGCACATCATTGTCTTCGCCTCTCCGTTTCTCCAATGCCCCAAAGGCTCAACGACGCGCCGCTGAGCCGCAGCTCTTAGCCTCATGCATAGAATGATAAGGCTGGAAAATGGCCTTTTGTTGGGTGGTTTCTACGCCGTACTTCGGGTGCAATAGGAGATGTCATCAACTAAGCATCTGATGCTGGCATTCCATACTGTTCACTGTAGTCCTGGAACAGGTCAAGCTCCCTAGGCTTTACCTGCGAGGTCAAAGATAGGGTATGCTACGATGACCCTTCCTGAGCAGAGCCCACCATTTGAATACTACTGATGATGAGGACTACGGTGTACGCAGTACTGCTAGAACAACGAGAAAAGCTGAACACACATGCTTCTGAGGTAGTGTGTTGGTGGTGGCTAGTAACAGTCCGGCTCAAGTTCAGGCAAGCTGTAAGCTCCAAGCTCCAAGCTCCAGGAGGTGACTTTATTCAGCCTTCACCTTGAAAGCTGCTATATAAAGTACCACTAGCAGCATCCACTGGGTAACCTTCAGAGCTAAGTGGCCCACTGAACTGAGCACCTATGAGAACTAAGTTAGTGTTGTAGAGAGTTTGTAGTGCAAAGTATAGCAGTGAAAGATTTCAAGTAACTAAGTTACTCACTCACCTAGTAACTTAGTAGTTGCCGTGCAGTGGTTTCTCTCGTTATTCCTGTCCTCGAGGCGCTAGGTGGCTTGGCTGGGGTCATATTTCTTGCGCTTCCGAATAACTTCCTAGGGGCAAAGGTCTGGTGTCGTGCTTGACTGCGAAACTGGAAGACCTGCACTGTTCAATCTGTTCATCCTCAGCAGCTTGTCGTTGTTGCGTGCGGATCTTTTTCCATTGTCGCTCGTTTCTTCATCAAATACTGACTAGACTACGCTGCTGCTGCTGCTCCGCGGGACAAACCCTGAGGGTTGGAGCAGCTATTACTGCGAACAACACCACGCCTTTTCCTCACTCCGATTTTCTGCAGCCTGCCTGGAACTACGCCTACTTTGATCTGTAACACCTCGGCCTGGGACCTAGATCTCAACTGCCTTATGAGGCACTGGAGCTGTGAAGTTTCAATTGGTATAAGCTGCTGTTAGAGTGTGATGCTTGGAGGGTTATGAAAGTGAGGACCTGTCCTGAAGCTTGTCAACCAGATTTGAGCAGCAGCCGGAATTTCCACCAGTAAGCAGATACGGACTTTTTGTCACTTGGTATAGTCCTAATGTGAAATCTATGGCAGGCACCTTGGTCACGAATTTGTGCAACCACAGTCCACCTATCTCCGTCTCGTACATCTGACTTGACGCTGCTAGCACTGCTCTATCCGTTCTGGCGCCCATTGCGCTCATCAAAACAATTCTCCTCATCATAAACTTTGCGCTCCTCTCTTCACTCCATACGCCCTGGCGCCCCTCACGCCCGTCAGCCTTTTGCCGGAGCTTTCGTCGCTCAAATAGCCATAGTATTTCCCGCTATGGGTACCAACACATATGCCGAGAATGGGGAAGCTCCATACTTTATGAACGGGCAACATAATATTACCCTGCCTCACGAATCTGGCAATGGTGGTCATTACGACAGCGATGCTCAGTACTCAACCGACAGCCGCTCTGGTAGACACCGAGAAGTCGAAGAGAGCAACGCCACCAGGTCTAGAAGTCGATCAAAGCCGAACGGTGTAACGCGTCAAAAACCCTCCAACGCACAGCTGAGAACCTGCAAAAAATGCGGTGAAGGTCTTACTGGGCAATTTGTTCGTGCTCTGAATGGGACATTTCACCTCGATTGTTTCAAGTGCAGAGATTGTGGTCAGATCGTTGCCTCAAAGTTCTTCCCCGTTGATGACGAAGACGGTACTGGACCCTATCCTCTCTGTGAAACTGACTACTTTCGTCGGCTGGACCTGCTTTGCTACGAATGTGGTGGAGCTCTTCGAGGCTCATACATTACGGCACTGGATCGAAAATATCATATCGAGCACTTCACCTGTTCGGTTTGTCCAATCGTATTTGGAGCCCAAGACAGCTATTACGAACACGATGGCAAGGTATACTGTCATTACCACTACTCCACCCAATTTGCACAACGCTGCAACGGGTGTCAGACCGCGATTCTCAAACAATTTGTTGAGATCTTTCGCAATGGAGCAAATCAGCATTGGCATCCAGAATGTTATATGATCCACAAATTCTGGAATGTACGCCTTGCTCCAGGTGGTACTCCGGCGGAGCCAGCAGAAATTGAGGCAGATGTCTCAGAAGCTCAACGCGAAACTGTGAAAGAAGATGAGGAAAGGATGGAGGCCAAAGTCTACCGTATTTGGAGCATACTTTCGACCTTCGAGGAGTCATCTGCCGCGTGTATCTCTGACATGCTCCTCCATGTAAGCAATGGAGCTTATGTTGACGGGGTCTTGGTAGCCAGGAAATTTATCTGGCATGTTGACATTCTTTTTGGGGCAACCGACAGACTTGCCGACATGATTGCAAGGTCTTCTCTGAAAGAGCTTTCGTATGGGCGAGAGGCCAAGCTCCTATGCAAGAAGATTGTTGCGTTCTTTACACTCCTTTCGAAGACGCAGGAGACTGGCGTGCGGAAGCTTGGTGTTACGCAGGAATTGTTGTCTCTTGTAACAGGTCTCGCCCATTACCTTAAGCTGTTGATCAGGATCGGATTGCAAGGAGCGCTGAAGCTCGAGCGGGAAAAACAGTCCGCCGAAGGTTTACATCGCTTCCTCAGCGAGTTGGAGGATTTAGAGTCTCTCAAGGAGCGAGAAACGACCTCTCTGGATCTGAACGATAGCAACACAGATCTTGCTCACGCAGAATCCGATTGCTGTTTTGCTTGTAGAGAGCCTATCGACGACGAATGCGTTCTACTCAACGGGCGAAGGTGGCATCTGAAGCCGTCCCATCTCATATGTGCCAGCTGTCAGCGAGACCTTAGCACCGACTTTCAGGAAGGCACTGTTAGTGAAGCAACTGGCAAAGTATATTGCTCGAAACATCTAAACCGGGCTCAGGATGCCTCCTCGGGCTTTACGTACGTCACCAAATTGCAACAATACGTCTTTCTCCTACGAGTTGCACTTGCACGGTTGCTTCAAGTCCTCAAATCAGGTGGTACCCTTCCTCACACCTCTGACGATCCAAATCTCAATCCTTATGAGGCCAACGAAGGTCATCGCGTCTCTCCGTCCGGAGAGCTTTCAGCTCCCCACCAAAGGATCAATTCCCGCTCTCGGTCCTATGCAGGTGCATTTCGTGAACCTGCAGCGGAATCATCCCTTGAGCAGACCGTTGGCGAAATGAAGCGGCTTCGGTCAACGCGTAATGAACGGACTCTATCTACCGCCTTTCGAAAATCTAGAGCGTCTCGCATATTAGACGGGCCGAATGGCATCAGACCTGGATCAGCTGGAGCTGATGGGTCCGACTCCAAGCAATTTCAAATAGTCGAAGAACGAGACATCGATGGCAAGACCCGTCCTGAACTTACATTTGGCAATCAGGACGCGCTGACCCTAGACGACATTCCTCGGATCGTGGCGGCCGAACAGGCCAAAGAGCAAAGACCCAATGCTTACCGTCACGCCCGCGAAAATCTGTTCGCCTCTGGTGACCCCGCTCCGAGGTTGGTGAATGGGCATCGAAGACCTACCTCTGCAGGTCCAAATGAGCTTCTATCAGGAGAACCTTCTGCAACGCGGACCAAGCGATTCTTCTCTGAGCTTTCTGCACTAGAGTATTTTATTGTTCGTCATCTTGCGGTGCTGTGCATGGAGCCACTGCTTAAAGGACACTTTGATCTGGAAGAATTGGTTGCCCTGATCGACACAAAGTCTAAAGCGTCTTTTTGGGACAAGATCGGCAAAGCGTTCAAAGCCGATGGTAAGACCAAGAAAAAAGGTGTCTTTGGTGTTCCATTGGACAATCTTCTTCAGACACAGGCCGCCGAATCAACTCATGGCGTGGGACCGGGTGCTCTCAAAATCCCGGCACTCCTTGACGACTCCGTGTCTGCTATGCGACAGATGGACATGTCAGTGGAAGGCGTGTTCCGAAAGAACGGCAACATCAAGCGTCTAAAAGACATGGCCGAGCAGATCGATGCCAACCAGATTCCAGATCTCAGCCGCGAAAACCCCGTGCAGATTGCGGCCCTCCTCAAAAAATTCCTACGTGAGATGCCAGATCCGCTTCTAACTTTCAGATTGCACAAGCTCTTTGTGACTTCGCAGAAGATAGAGGAAGAGAAGAGAAACCAGGTCCTCCATCTCACTTGCTGTTTGCTGCCCAAAGCCCATCGCGACACGATGGAGGTTCTTTTTGCGTTTCTGAAATGGGTGGCGTCTTTTGCACACATTGACGACGAGTCTGGCAGCAAGATGGACAGTCACAACCTCGCCACAGTAATGGCACCAAACGTACTGTACACAAGTGCCAAAAATCCAACAGTCGATGACAGCTTCTTGGCTATCGAGGCGGTAAATCAACTGATCAAATCGAACGAAACGTTCTCGCAGGTAAGGCCTACTTTGCTCAAATGTCCAAGCCAAGAATCACTGACATTATACTAGTTGCCGGAGCATATTCAGTCCATTCTCGCCGACAGCAATTTACATAACGATCCTGCGGAAATAACTGCTCAGCAAATCCTGACCAGGTACGGAGACATCGCCAGGGGTCAGGTTCCAGTCCACCAGCAAAATGCACATCCGCCAGACGCACCCGCACAAACCCCACTATCTGCTGCCTCAAACAGGTCAAACGCTGCTCCGCTGGCAACTCGAGTTGACGTTGATCCTTACCAAACCAACGCATGGCAGAAACAGAGTTCTGTTCGGCACGTGCAAGCGCCTGGAGCAGCGTCCTACCCAGCCGGACAGCCAAGTCAATCTTATAGTGCTCCTGACAGTCCATTCCTGCGCGACCGAGCAGGAAGTGCGAGTAGCCAGGGCAGCTTTGGTGCAGCTGAAGGTCGGCGAAGTTATTACATGAAGCCAGGGACACCCGGAGTCGTCAGTTGAGTGACAGCTTATGAATGAATGCAAATTTGCAACACGTCCTTCTGCTCTCAATAATCTACCATTGAGTTGCAATCAGGGCGAAGGGGTAACCGATCATGTCCTCGCCGTCACTTGAAAGGAAGGCAGGGTTTTCCCACCAAACACTAATGCCTGCATTGCGCCCGGAGTTTCTCTCGGGACGAAGTTTCACTGGTTACCTAGTCGGCCTTTCTTGATGGATAGGAGCAAGTTGAATGGCTACATCAGCAGGAATATCTCTTGATGAGATGGGTTGAAGATGGGGTCGTACACAGGGTAATGACGCCAGTAATCTATTGCAGTGCATTCACCAACCAGCATTGGACACATACGGGACAGGGCGCTATTGGATGAGCAGCCATGGCTTTTCAGCACCACTGGAGCATGCCTTTTTGCACAGCAGGTCAGGTTATTGGGCTTGGGAGGCACTGGTAGGTACTTGCTTTGATAGTCAGTAAGACGACACCAATCGCATGCTGCAAGTTCTCTACTCGAGATGCGCAAGCAAGATGTATGCAGCAAGTAATGAAAACAACTGCAAAAACTGTTTCATCAAGACTTGTGCCCAGGAATAAGCCTGAGGAGCAAGCCTCAACTACGGAACCGGTAGTCATTGTTGTCCTTGTGCAGAAGAGGTATGTCGCTCAATCACTATGTAAGGTCGAGTCGGGCCAGGATGGTGCCACAGCATGATCTAGATTACAAGTAGGTGCATTGAGCCTTCGAAGATGACGATTCGACTGGTCTCGCACGTCGAAATGTCGTGCTGCGCGCAGCCGCTTCTGAGACGCTTTTATAACGTACGACGTATGTAGAGCAGACAACGGGCGATCCTGTAGACCCGGAGCTCAACATGCGAGCTAGTAGTTGTGGGGAAGGGACTGCCAGGGACCTCGGACGGGAGAAAATAATCGTCGATCACAACCTCGTCCCCTCGTACGGAGCAATTCAAGCTCTGGCTATCCCGCCTTTGAATTTTTGTGAAGTGCGTCACGCAGTCTATTTTCAAACTCGAGGATACAAGGGTTAAACAATGGACACTGCCGGCAAGGTAATGCGTGATGATTGAACCCTACGCACCCGCTTGCGCCACAATCCTTGTAGAAAACTGCAATCTGGGATGAATAAATGGTTTCCAGGACTATGGGTCTTGCCTACAAACAACCATCAGCTGTTGAGGAACGTTGGCGGGTAGTGCTGCCCGTAGTGCTGCCCAATGGTAAATCTTGAGACCTTGTTGTAGTTGGATAGATTTGAGTAGCTCTTTCTTTCAACCGCCAGGCTGCTGAATGCTGTGTCTGAAGATCCAACAATAGCAGTGATTACTTGATTTAGGATCTCTGGTTTTAGGTGCAGGTGCAGATTCTGAAAGAATAGAGGAACTCCCTGTTCGCACCCATTTATAACAACAGGACGGTCAAGTATCCCACCCAATTAGTATTAGTTTAGCGGGACTGAGGAGAGATGCCCCGAATGCTTTCAATCTGGGGGGGGCAGCCCGAGGCGAGAAATCAGCACTTAGCTATGAGCAGTTAGAAGGCACTGCAGGACCCCGCTTCTGTTTAGTTAAGCTAGCTCAACTAAAGGCTTCGTAGTTAGAGGCCGCTGCATTCACTTCTCTCACTTCAGTTGACCGCACCACTCACGCGCTCCAGCAAAGAAATGTCCCGCGGCAGGACAGATTCAAGACCACCGTTTCTCCTGACCTGGCCCAGATTATGTTGAAAAGAAGCCCTTCGAGGACTTTACTTCTCTTCAGATCATTCATGTAGTTGGCTCGCTTTGCTCCCAAAAGAGGCGGCAGGAGGCGGCTTTCATCGTCAAGACCTCTTTGTCCACTATCCTACGAGTCTGCTTGCCGACTCTTCCGCCAACCCTCCCTCCTCTACCACTTTCAATTAGAGGCGGTTCTCCAATCCTTTCTACAACATGGCATGCTGATCAAACCTACGCCTGGACCCCCTTCAGCGGGTCAATTGGCCCTGAAGTGGCAACCACCCACACTTTCATCGACTACTTCTCTGGCGGCCACCAACACTGCTATTGTTTAGCATGGCTAGTGATGGAACCGAAAAATTACACCTTGCCGCGCCTGCAGTGACAGCTTTGAAGAATGCGGCTGCTGGGGAGTCTCTAACTACTCGGGTCCGGATGGAGAGGTCTTTTAGCGAAGATATCCAAGAAGGTTCTCGAGAACTGAAAGAAGCTGCAGAGCAGACAAGGAACATCATCTTGGATCTTGGCCTAGACGGCATTATTCGATGGGTCAGTCCTTCGTGGACCGATGTGGTTGGCACCGATCTGGAGGCGGTCAAGGGTAATCCTATTTCAAAGTTCATCCTGGATAAGCCAGAAGCTTTCACAGAGGCCATAAACTCGCTCAAGAATGATGACTCAAAAAGCCAATTTGTCAGGTTCGCAATCAGGGTTGGCATAGCATCAGACCTGGAGCCGATGCTCACCTCTGAGCAGAGAGCAGAGGCAGACGGAGACAAATCCGTCTTGGAGCTCGAGGGTCAAGGGATCATGGTCTACGATCGTATATCAGGAGGGGAGAGCCATGTAAGCCAAGGCGACCCCCTTTGTTGGCTCTCCGACTAACACTTCTTAGACTATGTGGATGTTACAACCTGCTGCAGAGCCTGTGCACATCACTATTGCCCTTCCAAGGTTTCTTGTCGAGTCTCTCGGCGTTGGCGCAGAGCTACTGGCCAAATATTTGACAGAGCTGGCAGAGAGCGGCGCCAACGACCCTGCCCAACATCCACCGCCTCTACCCGTATTGTGCAGAGTGTGTGAACGTACCATTGTCCCTTGGTGGTTCGAGAAGCACTCTGATCTGTGCGTGCAAGAGCATCGAGCGGAAATGGACGTGCAGATGGCTCAAGAGGCCCTTGTTGAACACCGCCATGCTATTGTCAGAGTACTCGATGCCTTTGAAGCTCGCAAGTCGCGTAATTCATCCGGCGAGAGCAGCCCCGTCGTCGTGCCACCGCCAGAATACAAAGGGATGCCTATTGGACCTACTTCGAGCCCGTCGTCTGGGCTGTCTTCTGCCCCAACGTCGCATCCCGGAACACCTCTGAGATCTCGCAGTCCCTCCGGAGCAGGCCTTGGTCACTCGCGTGGGAGGTCTTTCGCCGTCAGACGGCCACTTGCGCGCATCGTGGAGCTCATACTAGATTTATGTGACACGGCTCTTGAAATCAGCATTCCTGCTATCAAAGAGACGAAGAATGAGCCCGGCGATGAATTCAGAACCCAGTCCCCTCAGTCGGAGTCGCGCATTTCGCAGATTCTTCAGTGGCAGACACCTAGCAGTTTGGAGCACGAGATAGGTTTAGCAGCCCTAAGCGTGGACACCGAAAAGCTAGCTAAAGCAAAGATCGAAGCTGTTCACCGACATCGCACGATCATTGAGTATGCGGAGCGTATTCGGCAAGAATACCTGGCTGAAGTGGACGCTTGTATCGGCGAAGCACTGAGAAAGGCTGAAAGGGTTGCAGCTGGTGAAGAACTATCCTCTTCAAGTGAAAGCGAGACTGAGGTGGAGAATCAAACGCTCCCAGATGTTACAGAAGAGTGTCTTTCACCTGCTCCAGAAGGCGTCGTACGATCTTCACAATCGAACATAGAGCTGTCCTCAATGGCAGCTGCGCTGAGGAGTAGCTCGAACGTACCATCCCAAGATCATTCACTGCCAAGGCGATCTTCTTCTGTTGCTATATCGACTCGCTCAAGCAGTCCGCTTGAATGCCCTACACCCCGGTCACACCGAAGCGGTCTGCTTGGCCATCATCAGCCATCAACAATGCGAAACTCCATGTACCTCGAGAGCGATGCCAATGAAAGTGACAGTAGCTTGGTCTCATCTGGCGTACCAGGAAATTTGCGAACAGAGTCTCCTTCGGAGTACACCCTGAGTCGCACCCCAAGCTGTCGAGATCGCAAGAGGAAAAGTTTGCATCTCCATGGTCTTAACTCTGGCTCCCCACGACGGCAGCCATCACCTGGCCAGGTTCCTCCGCCTCCTTCTTCCCCGCTACGAATGTCTAAACCTCGCGTTCCTGGTGCTATTCCTAGTGCTGAACGTACGCCGTCGCCCGTTGTCTCGCCATTGCTGACCACAGGTGAATACATGCCACCCCATCACCATCCACATCACCACAGGAGGCAGTCATCAGTGCATTCGTCGGATGCGAGACCACCGTTGTCACCCAAGATAGGCTCCATAGCTCAACCTCCCCAACGAGTCCAGCCGCCATCCATCAAGGACTTTGAAATCATCAAACCAATCAGCAAGGGCGCTTTTGGTAGTGTCTATCTCTCTAAGAAGAAATTGACTGGGGAATACTTTGCCATCAAAGTCCTGCGGAAGGCTGACATGGTTGCAAAGAATCAGGTGACCAATGTCAAGGCAGAACGAGCTATTATGATGTGGCAGGGTGAAAGCGATTTTGTCGCAAAGCTTTACTGGACATTTTCAAGCAAGGACTATCTGTACCTGGTAATGGAATATCTGAATGGGGGGGATTGCGCTTCTCTGATCAAGATCCTTGGGGGGCTCCCGGAAGATTGGTCAAAAAAGTATATTGCTGAAGTCATATTGGGGGTGGAGCATCTGCACAGCCGGGGCATTGTGCACAGAGACTTGAAGCCAGATAACCTGCTGATTGATTCGAAAGGCCATCTGAAGCTGACCGATTTTGGGCTCTCACGGATGGGTCTCGTTGGGCGACAGAAAAGGGTGCTGAAAGACAACGCGGAATCTGCACCAGATTTGCTCAAGCAAGGGCCGTTTGTGCGCGCTCAGTCGACTGCAACTTCCAGGTCAGCATCATTTGATTATCAAGGTTCACATTCACCAAGCCAAACACCATTGTTGACGCCGGCACTCGCAGGTGGCCTGGACCAGCCATCCTATTTCAACCTAAGCCGTGAGAATACGTTAAGCCGACAATCCTCCAGAAAGACCTCAGGTCATCGGAGTGATGCTGGCGGTGTTTTGAGCCATGAGCTCCACCACGCTTTCAGATCTTTTTCCATCCACGATCCAGCTGACATGCATGCTCCACCCACCGCATCGAGAGGTGGTCCAATTGAGGAAGAGTCCAACAGCCATGGCAGCAACTCCCCTGATATTTATCCCTTGCAAACAATTGTGAGCAATGTTTCTTCTCAGGCTCCTGCTGGAGTCACACCGTCTATGTTGCCACCTCCAATGGCGCTTTTCGACCCAGAGGATAGCACTCGTCGATTTGTCGGTACGCCTGATTATCTGGCGCCGGAGACCATCAATGGATTGGGTCAAGATGAAATGAGTGATTGGTGGTCCATAGGCTGTATCCTGTTTGAGTTTCTGTTCGGGTACCCTCCTTTCAATGCTGATTCTCCCGAAAAGGTTTTTGAAAACATTCTGGCTCGCAGGATTGCGTGGCCAGAAGAGCCAGACCTGCCGGTCTCAGAGGAAGCGAGAGATCTGGTCAACAAGTTGATCCAACTAGATCCGCGTGCTAGACTTGGGGCAAACACCAGTGAGAAATATGCCAGTTCCGCTGAAGAGATAAAGAGCCATCCCTGGTTTTCTGATATCAACTGGGCGACACTATTCGAGGACGAGGCACAATTTGTTCCTAATCTAGAGAATCCCGAAGATACGGAGTATTTCGATGCTCGAGGAGCGACTCTCCAGTCATTCCCAGAAGAGCTTGAGGAACAACTTTCACCCCGGATGACACCAGGTGGGACAGAACTTTCTGAAAGGCCACATGATGCACTTGGGAGAGTCAGGTCTCAAGTAAATACTCTCAAGAGAGGTCTTATGCCGCTTCACATACCTCCCCACGTTGCTCGTGATTCGCGAAGCAGACGATTGAGTGAACCAGCTGTGGCTGATGATTTTGGGAATTTCACTTACAAGAATCTGCCTATTCTCGAGAAGGCTAACAAAGACATCGTGAACAAAATGAGGGTTGAAGCAATGCATGCACAAACAAGAGGCTCAACTTCAACAGCCGTTACTACCAGCAACACACCCGTCACCAGCTCTCCGGGACCATCATTAGAAGGTAGCCCTCTGCTTCCTGGGCCGTTGAAAAGGACTCTGTCCATGAGCAAAGGGCTTCGGTCGGCATCACCTTCCGGTCCACCTGGATCCAACTCCTCACCAAGTCGTCCTTCTCAGCCCTCCTCACCTTTACTCGTGCAATTCTCTACAGGTCAAAATCATGAACGGAGGAAGACCTCTGGCTCCTCGCAATCCAGCGGTTCCCTTCAACCAGGCAGCTTTTTCGATCTCCCTCGCGAAACTGTCGCAAAAGCGCCGTCTGCCGCGTCATCACCCATCAAGAACATGCGGCTTCCTGTTGTATCTCCTGCCAAGGTGCCAAGTGCGCAACGGCAGAGTAGCATGCCCAACCGTGTCAGATCGCAGACAGTAGGCTCACAGGACGGTGCCGAATCTCCTCGCGAAACCTTCATACCGGGTCATCACAAGCGTAGGAGTCAGTTGTTTGTGCAAGACATCTCCCCGTCTTCCTCGGACAACGAGGGATCGCAGTCGAAAGCTCTGTACAAGATGCAACGGCGACGGCAGAGCTCTCGCAGGATGTCACAGTTCAACCTGGTGGATGGCCCTGTCTATCGACCTTTAGATGTGTTGATCTGTGAAGATCACCCCGTCTCGAAAATGGTTATGGAGAGGCTGTTTGAAAAGCTGCGTTGCCGAACCATTACTGCCTCGACTGGATCTGAAGCTATGCGCCTTGCTGTTAGCCAGATTCAATTTGACATCATCTTTATGGAATACAAGTTGCCGCTGATAAATGGTGCGGACCTCGCCCGCATGATTCGTGACACGAAAAATGCAAACACCCATACACCTATCGTTGCCGTCACTGGCTATCTGAAAGAGTTGCCTGAAACACATCAGTTTGACAGTCTTGTTCAGAAGCCACCAACTCTGACCAAACTTACCGAAGCCCTTTGCAAATTTTGCGCCTGGAAGCTACCACCCAAGGACTTCAAACCGTCCATGCCGCTGTCGATACCACGCTCTAACCTCCGACAAGAGACCCAGACCATGCAGGATAGTCCAACCTCTACAGCCTCAACGGCGCCAACCATGCCGGACTCCTCTTGCAGGGGTTCGAGCAGAGAGGACTCTATCAGCAGCAGTAGCTTCTTTGGGGACATGGAACCGGTCAAAGGGGAACCAGGAGCGGTCATTGTCAAGAAGCCAACAGACGAATGGCCGGTCAAGGGTGGTCTTGGGATTTCAGAGGACATTGTCACGGAAAAGAAGCCTTACATCATGAGTGGATTCCCACATCTCGTTCATACAGAGTCTGCTCCTGCGGCGCAAGAGTCCCTCACATATCCGGGCCTTCAGACTCCTCGCCGACAAGTGTCACAAGAAGGACTGACAGCAAAGCGAGCATCGCGCGAAAGGCATGGCTACGAACTGGGCGCTGAGTCTGGTGACGATGAGGATGACGAACTTGGGGATGTGCAGGTACGCGCCAAGTCGCCACATGGGAAGCAAGTGCGTCAAGCTTCGAAGTTGGGGCATGAGATGATGCGGACCAACAGTCGAGGCAGCGTTATTTCGACCATTGAAGATGGCAAAGCGGCTGAGCTGGAAGCTTCGAGGTCTTCTTTGGAGATACTGGAGCGGAGGATGGAAGAGCTTAAGATACCCGAAGAATACGAATCACCGGCATCTTTGGTGGCTAGCCAGCCACGAAAGCTGAATAGGGCTAATAGCTACCATGCCCATCCAGATCCCGAGCCGGTATTTGATGAAAAACGACCGCAAAGTCGAGGTCACATAACTCCTCCCGTCATCTTCCCCCAACAGCCGGGAATGGAAGTCAAAATGTTTGAGATGGATGCGAATGCGGAACGAGTGGGCGACGGAGACGTTACTCCAATGCCGAAGAAGACTGTTGACTTGGAAGAACAGCCTACGCCGAGACCGCAAGGCAGTCCACTCAGCCATTCTTGACTTGCATCAGCGTACAGCGTAGAACTTTCCCGGTCCCCCCAAATTCTCAACTTCTTGTTTATATTTGATCCCCGTCTACTCTTATGACCTACCGATGGCGAGCTGCCAAATAAGAAAAAAACAGGGCTCTTTTTTGTCTGTCCTTTTGATGCAAGGCGCTGGGGTGTTTAAGATATCTGATTTGACTGGATGTCAGCAGATCGGCGTTTGTCTTCGCGGGAGGAGGATGTTCTATTGCACATAGATGCCTGAGCACAGCGATTGTCCACCGTAACAGCGAGCTTCACTCATTGCTTTGTATTCTGCCAGACACACCATTTTTTCTTTGTGCAGCGTGCTTCTTCTTCTGCCACTCATGCCACTCATGCCACTCATTTTTGCGCGGCTGCGGCTGGCGCTGGGACTTGCTTCCGAGTTTGATCTGACGTGACGTAAAACATCATGCTGAAGCCCCTGTGCTTGCAGTGTTGGCCAACTCGCAAAGGTTTGGAGCGAGCATATCGCCATACCATATCTAAAATGGCAACGATGTTTCGCCCAGGGAGGAAAAAGATTTGCACACAGCAACCGCACAAGATGAGCTAGACTTGCCCAGAGAATTGATCTTTTGTCCAGGCTCCGTACCTATGATTATGCATCCGTGTGAGTCTTGTACTACTGTTGGTGAAGGGGTATTCAAAGACCGACACTCTCCTATGGCATCGTTCCAGGCAGCCCAGTTTACAGTTGTTTCAATATGTACTTTCACTCTGTCGGTCTCTGCTCTGCCACTCGTCTTGACTGGTTGAAGCACGATCTGGTTGTACATCAGGTTTCGTCCTATTATATGGCCGTCAATGCCTTGGAAACCTGCACACCATGCAGATACCGGACCCCCTCTGATGACGCGTTAGCCCTCAGTCTGAGATAGCTATCTTGCTTAAACAGATGTCTGCGAGTGCAGTACAAACATACAAATGCCACTGCTGCCACATTAGTCAACCAATATTACAACAGGCGAAGACCAAAATTGATCACCACCTTCAACTGAAGTACACCGCTCTCGCAGTTCAACCAACATGTTTAGCAGAAAACCTCATCACGAGACCAACGCCAACAACGGCGACAATTCCACAAACTACAACGATGCGAGCGCGTCTTATGGCACCGGTTCTGGCAACACTGACAGCGGGCGTGGACCTCACAAATCCTCGTTGCTAAACAAACTCGATCCTCGCGTTGATACCACCACTCGACACCAGCCAAGCGACACTGGTCGCAATGGCGGTGGAGCGCTCGGCACAAGTGCTCGACATGACAACACGGGCTACGGCACCAGCAGCAATGGTCATGGTGACACCACCGACTATGGTAGTGGGATCGCTGGACGCAGTGCAGGATCTACCAATGTTGGGCCTCATGATTCCAGCCTGGCGAACAAGGTCTGTTTCCTTAACCTGGAGATAGTCCTTGACAATTAATTCCGACTGACCCTCTTTTAGATGTATCCTCGCGTTGACTCCGAAACGGACCGCAATACCACGCGTATGAGCCGGGACTCTGGTTAGACTACGCAACATAATTCCGGCTACAGTAATCCGTCCCCAAATACTGGCTATGGCGCTGCCAATTTTGCGAGCGGACCACACAGCTCCAACTTTGCCAACAAAGTAGATCCTCGGGTCGATTCTGACAACTTCCGGGGCAACCATGGCGATACTACTGGTAACTATAGCAGTTCCTCTGGCTATTACGGCAGCAATACCACCAGTGCGGGCTATGGCAATACAGGTTCCACGACGACCAGACCGCACAGCTCCAATCTAGCCAACAAGCTGGATCCGCGTGTTGGCTCGGACAATTTTCGAGGCGACTATGGCAGTAGTACTGGCACATACACGAATGCTAACACCGCTAACACCTACGGCAACAGCTACGGTGAAACAGCGAATAATGGTCCTCATAAATCGCACCTCATGAACAAGCTCGATCCCCGCACTGATTCTGACATGGATGGCTCTCGAAATACTAGCATGGGGCAAGACACCAACCAAAGCATAGGCAATCCCAATACCAAAATCATGCCCCAAGAGATATCTAGTCATGCTCATGCCACTGGTGGTCCGGCAGGTGCTCTGGAAGGTAAACACGCCAAACATACATCTGGTCAGCACAGCTCCTGAGCCCACCCTCTCTAAGATTACGATAACTGCTAACCAATCTTCTTTTACAGGAAACATCTCGAACGCCACTGCTAGTGCTAAGGTCTCTGGTGGTATGGTTCCAGAAGGATCTGCCGACGCGAGCGGTCCTCTATCAGCGGATGCGGGAACCACCTCCTCCAATCAAGGCGGGCTGAAGGGAGCGATCAGGAACTTGGCCGGTGTTGGTGGCAATCTTGACGCGTCTATAGATAATAACAACCATCACGATCGAAGTGGGATGGGTCACCAGCAGGGTGAGTACGTGCCCAGAAATAGGAACTATTGAGGTTTACGGTACGAAGGCAGTCATTATGGCGATGGACATGCTACTTGTCCAGTACCTGGGTGTGAAAGATGATGAGAGGAACCGGAGAAAATGGTTAGCAGCCCCATAAATATACGTTCTCGATTTGTAATCGAACCAACTACTCAACCATGGAAGTTTCCCTTTCAGTCTGTCAATACCTGAGCACATCAACATTATCCTGACCTGTGATTGTGCCAAGACAGAGTCTTTCATCCATCCTATGTCAATCGAGCTCCTTCACAGCCTGAGGATCCGATGCATTGCTCGCTTGCTCCCCTGTCTACCAATTGCAACACTGGCTTTTCCGTCCATCTACCCAAGGTAGCTGATCCAACTCTCGCCCACTCTGACCTTCATGGCCATATCCACTACATCTTGAACGCCTGCGAAACTGCTATCTGTTTTGCTCTGTCACGACAACTATGCCCGGGAAGATGATTTCGCCTCAAAATAGCCCGGAAGGATGGCGCTTTTTTTTCATCAACGAAAAGAGAAAAACGCTCATACTCGGGACAAAAACCTCCGTCTTACTTATCGATTCCAGATTGGACTGTTTTAGCTGGAAAGGTGTGGGACGCCCTTCTCTCCTTGTCTGTCTCTCAGAGTCCGTCCCGACGGAATTCGGAAAAGGGGGCCTTCTGCCTCAGTGGTCTTTGCGCGGATGTTGTAATTTCCTTGTCTCGGACATAGTCTGGGATCGATCCCCACTGCGCGCTGGGGCGATGGCCCTCGAATTGGGCGTATATTGACCAAAATTCAAAGCTCAAACAAGATCGATCATTTGGAGAACTTCTTTCTGGCAACAATTCTCTTTATTGAAAGGACGTCTGGGGGAACATAACTCCGGGGGGATATTTTGCATCAGCCCTATTTTCTTAGTGGTGTAACTCTCTCAAAGGAGAGATGTAGGAGGTTATTTGATATAAGTTTCAAAACTTATCGCAACATCGAACGACCCAAGATCCGACACCGCTGACGGGGGGGGGGGGGCCGGTTGCTCGCGGAGTGGATAAGTACATACTCAAGTTTTATCTTGAGGAAACATATGTGTATTAAAGGAGACGGGAGTAGGGGGATGTCTTCATTCCAGTTATCTTGAGCGAAGCTACTGCGGCGGTTGTTGCGTTTTTGTTATATGTAGGCTGTATTGCAGCACGGTCTTGAGACTTGAGATGGCTGAAGACGTGTCTTCTGCAACATGGACAATCTATTGCCCTACATTGCCCTTGCCGGTGTCGAGGGAACTGTGAGACCTGCTTGGCTATTTGGGGGGGAAAGGGGGGGTTGTTACACGAAGCAGTTACTTGATAGGGAACAACAGAAAAGGGCATCGCGGGCTCTGTTGCCTCGTTGAGAAACCCGCTTAGCAAGTAATCTCGTGGCAATAATATCGTAGCACGATTCCCCACCCATAATCATCAGTAAATACAGCTCAGGCACCTATCTACCTATGATAGTATCCAGCATTCTTGATGGTACATCGTCCTCTGCGATTGCTAGCTTTTTGACCAGGAAGAGTTGGCAAAGGAGCTCAAGATGCGGAGAGCCGGTGGCACATAAAGCAATGCTTCTGACACAATGCCTCTCTATGTTATATGTTTGTGGCGGATTGATTTTCATTCCCCGTCCCAGCTTGAGAGGACAAGGCAATGCTGATCTCGACTCGTTGCCAAATCTGCCCAACTCATCCATCCGCCATTGGAGTCTGCGCTGCAGCTTTCATCCGGTGATCTGCGACTCCAGGGATATTCGGCATCTTCGCTTCGTGCGCATCCCCGTTCAGCAACCTATTGATGCCCATATCCTTCTTTACTGCCCCATCCGTCCCATTGCTCGCTTCCCCACTCCCATCTTCTCTGTTCCGGCTTTCGATTTCCTCCAGACCCTCTACCTTCACATTCTGTTCTAATGAGCTTGGCCGCCATTTGCTCAACACCTTTCTCGCCGCTGCGTTCGCCTCCTCATACTCTTCTTTATCCCGCCAGATATTCTCTACCGTGTCGATCACCAACTCTCTAACTGGTGGCCGCAACAGAATCAGATACTGCAACGCCATAATGCACATATTGACCCTCTCTGGGTCTTTGGCCAGACTCTTTATGCGTTCCAAGACATCAGAGTGAATCGCAGGAATCTCTGAGAGAAATCGGATTAGTAGCCGATTATCACGCGCGTCGAGGTAGGGAAGGAGGGCGTCAAGCAGACGAAGTGTCCAGACCCTGTAAGGAGTCTGGTTGGAGGCCGCGGCAGCGCCAGACTCTTTTACGCGTAAGCGATCGTTATACCATTCCTCGTTTAGCCACGAGATGGCAATGGGCAGGCGAGACCGAAAGTCCTCAAGGACGTATAAGTATAGTGTCTGTCGGATGCCGTTTGCAAGAGAGGGACTGTCAACATCAGGCTGCAAAGCAGCTGGTTCACGCTTCACTACGCGCCCGTCGTCCTCCGCTCCCATCTCAGCCTTGACAAGATCATCCAGCCCGCAGGGGGCGCGGGTGGCAAGGCGAGTGAGCATTGTCACCCACGCGTCGCGATCGTTGGTGCTAGCAGCGAGTCTGTTCAAACCGAGTCTCTGACGCAAGGATGCAGGTGGTGCCATATCGAGAGAGGCCACCTGCCCAAATATTCGGTCGACCGTCTGCTTAGCCAATTGAGCGGTTTCGAGCTCGCTGAGTGGAGGAGGTTTTGGTAGCTCAAATGGTCCCAAGGTGATATCAGGCTGGACGAGACCATGTAGAGTCTGTGCAGTGACCGCGGCGGGAGCATCTACAGTATGATCTCCTGGATCATATTCAGGGTCGTAGTCATCTTCGTCGTCCACGCCCGTGGGACCTGCCATGGGTATGTCTGGTAGAGGAGTCGGTTGTTGTATTTTCTGGAGGTATGCATATCTCTCTCTGACCGCTCCAATAGCCTCATTCAAGGCATCAGGGTCAAGATGGTGAAGTGTAAGGTGTGTGATCATTCTAACCATTTCTTCAGTCAGAATCTGCACATCAAAGTTCATAAAAGCAGCATCTTCTGTCAGAGTGAAAAGCTGAGCAAAGGAGTTAGGAGGTGGAGGCATAGGAGGAAATCGTGGGGCTCCATCAAGCCTGGCCCGTTTCGTTGCAAGGCCATCTGGAGCCTCGGGAGGAGCAGGTCGTTTGAGGGATTGACTATCCGCAAAGACCGCAGCGCGGGATTGGTTGAGTCGAACCAGATATGCATCGATCTTGGGGGCGAGAACTCCGTTGGGGTTGTTCTTGTTGATGTTCTTCAACAGTGCTCGTGTGGTTCGCTCTAGAGACCGTGCGATTACCTTGGAGCGCAACGTCATGGGAGAATTCGCCAGCTTCAAGGGGTTGAAGTTGAGGATAGCAGTGATGATCTTGTTTGCAATGGCCGATCGGCTACGGATTAAGATAGACGTGCAATTGAGCGTGGCGTCCACGAGGATGGGATCACTTCTGCTATCAGCAAAATCTCGCGTTCCGTGTGCGATGTTGACTCACCTCGAATTCTCCTGGAATACGTTGAGAAGTCGATCTAACAAGCCGGATGCTTCGGCTTCGAGGATGGGAATGGATAGTATGCGGTCGTTACGAGGCACGATTGTGATAGACGTCTCATTTTTTTCGGGGCGCTACCAATGGTCAGCACTGATGTTGACTCCCTCGTCTACGGATTGACAATCGCAGCGTACCCTTGGATCGGCAATCCCACCAGGCGTCTGGACTTGGACGACTTTCTGGACGAATTTGATGGCACAGACGCGCACACTGGTAGGGGCAGAGTCCATCCGCTTGAAAATGTTTGATTTGATCGCAGTCATCGTTTGCCAGGCATTTGCTTTGGAAGAGATCGCCTTCTTGGTGAAGAAGTCATCCGACCGCGTTACGCTGTACAGAGCATCATATGTTAGACACAGTAATCAAGCTCAGAATGGTCAATCGCCTTCACCCCAGGGCGCCTTCAGCAAGGAGAACTACACTTAGTGGGAGCTTGCCAGGCTGGAATACGTACATTGCTCTGAAAAGTAGAGTGTAGAAGCTGGCAACGGCTTGGATAGCGCTTCTGACAACGATGACATCTTCCGCAGGAGACTCCAAGATGCCCCGTATGAAGGTGACAACATCGAGACATATCTCTTCCTTCTGCACGTCTGCAAGTGCCGGCGTCGCAAAGGTCTCTGCTAGAAACTCCGCTCCCCATCTTCGAACCTCAACAGCCGCTGTAGAACCGACTATGGGAAGTATGCCAGGAACGATTTGGGAGTAGAAGTGAGCATCGCCGAGGACAAGTTTACGCGCCGCCTCGAGTTGAGGCAATATATCGGCAGGCGAGGTGCTTGCCTGCGCCATGTTGGGGCGCGCTCACAGGCGGACGAGCAGAATGGAAAAGGTATCTACGAGAATAGGAGGTGTCGAGGTGGTATGGTATTGTATCACTGCCGCGAAGCATGGGCGGGACACGAGCTGGCCAGGAGTCTACTAGGAAAACAGAGTCAACGCGACTTAGAAGAAGAACGGTGCAGACAGATGCTTTGCGCTGGGAGATGCGGAGGAGTCGAAGTGAAGTAGAAGAACGCATGGCCGATTCCTCACGCATGGTGCTGCAGAAAGCGGCCATTACTTTAGAGATTACGGTCCGCCTGTAAGACCATCGGACCTTCGGACCGAAGCTTGGCGCCAAAATTTATGGCACTTCTCAGATCCCCTTCCTCCCCCCCCTTCTTCATTCCCCTATTTCTCTACTAATACTCACTCAAATTAAGGGAACAATGGATTCTGAACGGGGAAATAGACGACGCGTCTGCCGAAAGTCAAATTCGATAGATCCTCCTTCTCCTGCACCTTTGCGAACGCCAAAAACGATGCTCGATACGCCGCGCTGTGCGCGCCTTCTTGCTGACGCACGCCACACAGCTGGCAAATTGCCTCGTACAGAGCTATTTAAGATACACAATGTAGCCAGACGAACTGGCTTTCCAATCCTTAAAGAAGGAACTGCGCGCCGTAGCGAAAATGTCCATAATTGAGGTCGCAAAAAGATACTTGCTCTATATGAGTGCGAAGCAATTGAAGCTGTTGAAGACGCAAATTTTGGCTTTGCTTCGTCAAGTCACTTTAAGGTGGCAAAGACAATTGGTATAGAAAATGGCTCTGAACGTGTAATTCAACGAAATATGAAGGATTTTGGCGTAGGGACCTATATGGCGGCGCAGAAAAAAATGCTTTTACAAGCGCATATTGATGCCCGAATTATATGGGGATTTGAGCGTCGATATTAGCAATTAGATCAATTCAAGAAGTATAGATGGTGTGACGAGTCTCATTTTGCCACTTGCTTGCAACGACAGGCTCGAATTCATCGTCGACCAGGGCTTGAAGCACGAAATGCCCTATCAAAGACCCAATTCAAATTAAAACGTTATAACAATATCGCAGGTTATTCGCCAGGACACTAATGAGAAATGAATCCTGCTAATTCGCCAGATCTCAATCCAATTGAGACTATTTGGAGGATAATAAAGCAGCGTTTGAAGTCTAGGGGGGTCATCTTCGAAGAAGCCATTCTGCGCAGGGCTATTGAGGAGGAGTGGGATAAAATCACTCTGGATGAGATTAATAAGGCTATCTCAACAATGCCAGATAGAGTAGCTGCCCTAAACGAGCGAAATGGGCGCCCTATCCCCTATTAAATGGCTGTGTAGCATAGCAGGAATCTGAGAAGTGCCATAAAATTTGGCGCCAAGCTTCGGACCCATGCAGTGCTTCTTCACAAGCTTGGTAGGCAAAGCATCATCAACTTCAATTCTACCATCCGTCCGACGAACTGCTTCAAGGTCGCCAGGATGCCCATGTAAGCACTGCCTGTCTTCTCGAATACAGGACCATTGTAACAATATCCCCCAGATTAAAGCGATCGTCATATTACGAGTCCGACTATCGACAAAGCGCAGCGCTCATAAGAGCCCGAAGACCTTTATCTCTTCAAGAATATGGCGACAGGCGCTGCTATCTTCTCCTTCGCGCTCGGTGTTTGTACGACCATCATGAAAGCCGTCTCTGACGTTTTGCTGATCGAATAACCAGATGCCTTTACGATCCACGCTGTCGGTCAAGATAATTTCGAGGATGTCAAAGTTCCTGATGCACCGCTTCAACCTGCGAAAACTCCCAACGTGGCTGTCAATGGGACCGCTTCATAGATCGACTCGCTTTCTTCATATCCTCACGAATCTAAGGCTGCAGTCGAGAGCATGAGTGAAGTTGGGGGTTGATATGGATAGAGGCTTCAAGGAGAACATCCAGGAATGTCTGCCAATTGGGAGCTTTCTGATGAGATCGGAGTTCACCAGCACTGTTTCCAAGTTCGGCCTCCTCTCTAGAGTGCATCGACAGGTGGGCCAGCTGAAAATCCAGGCCCGATGAGGGCGCAATTGTGAGATATATCTGCGCGTTCCTCCCGCGTTGAGCCAGTTTTGCTCCCCGCTTGATGCACTGCAGTCGGGGCTGAGAGGCTGTCTGTCCGCGACTCAGGGCGTGGACTGAAAAAATGTCCAAACGTTGTTTCCAATGCTACACGGCTAGGCTCCCGGCATGCTCAACTACGAACATCAACTGAGAAAACGCTCTTCTAGGATTGCCAAATTAAATTCTGATCAAAGGCTTTGAATCAGACGCTTGCGCTACATCCATAGACTAAGTTATTGATTTGATGTTGGTCTGGGGAGGCCTTTCATTAAGCGCACTACATGTCGTTGTGTCCATCTAATTGGCAACCCAGATCATGTACCCAGTAACGCAAAGGAATGGGGCGCACCCTTGAATCCCGTGGACAAGATGCCAACCTGAGCATTATACCCTGAGCGCCTGGTTCTAGAATACAGTGCAACCGAGTTTGCAGGATAATCCTTACCGTGCACCTATTCTGCTTAATGCTGTGGTTGATGTCAGGTTATTCTCTCTAGCATGTTGGTGCAATGTGATGGGAGAAGATGTGGCATGGCGGGCACCCATCTCGTTATTGGACGAACCGTTATGGACCAACGATTCTGGTCGACTCGGGGTGCTGAACAACGCTATACGAGATGGTTTGTATGGTTGAGAAGCAGCGCCTCCACTGCCCGTCGCCGTCGCTGCACCGCCGATGGAGTTTCGCTTGCTTGGTGTGGCGTCATATGCGCCAGCGTTGTGCTTCCTTGCTTCGATGGGAGAGAGTGACTGTGGTCGGTGTCTCGGCTGTGGTGGCTTTTCATCCGCCGCGGGCGAATGTGGATCGGCGGCAGTAGCTCTGAATTCTGTCGGTTGTTGCTGTACCCTTCCATCATGATCGTATGGTCTGGCAGAGGCTGACGAAGCTTGTGCCGATAGATGCTCGGGAATGGTAGAAGCAGAACCCGCTGGTCTATCTAGATCTACCAAGCTTTTCTGTGTGGCTGGTGTGATGATCGCATCTGCTATTTGAGTTTGATCAGAGACACGGCGAGATAGACGCCCTGTGTGCTGTTGCTGATGCACAGGATGCTGCGGATTGGCCCATGGATTCTGCTCCAAAAACTGTTCTTCAGCTGCCGGACGAGACATGGTCGACGCGAAGGCACTCCGAGACAATTTTGATTGTGTCGGCTTGTTGTTCCTGATGTGGTTCAACGAGATCTGCCAGCTTTTAGTCGACCCGAGAGAACCAGGATATTTTGCCGTAGACTTACCCCCATCTTCTCCATGTCTTCGTCCATCTCAGCTTGAAGTGCGGCTTTCACACTTGGCGCAGCAGGAAAGCCTACATACTTGGCAACCCCTGAGAGTATCGAGACTTCTTTGTTGTAGGACGACTGCTGTGTGATCTGAGTGGACCTCCGGCTTGGGAAGGGAATCGAATAACTGGGAATCTTCTCATCCGTCTTGACGTGATCTCGTCGAACCCTACTCAATTGTTCGCCAATTCGGTCCAGATGCTTTTCTCGCACATCTCTGACAGTCTGAAAATACGCACTATGTATTTGACTCCTTTGCGCGACGCTTTTTGTCTTCAAAGATTTGATTTTGTAAACCAAGAGCTTCTGTTCCAGATCAAATTTCTCGTCGCGATATTTTCTGATGCACTCAATCTGTCGAAGAAATTCGGGATGTGAGGGTTTTGGTGCAGAAAGCTGAGCCAGTTCCTCGTTCAGTGTGACTATTCGCTCATCGTAAAGGCTAAAAATCGTCAGCCAAGCTGGAAGCATACTGACACGGCGTCCGAACGAACCGGTCTCGTAAAGCAGCAAAATGCTTCTCCAAGGCGGCCAAGGAGTCCATCGCGGCCATCTTCTTTGCGTCTGCGGATTGTCAGCATCCTTCATGATGTGCAGAATAGTAACATTACACTCTTCTTCATCCCTTGCTACAGCTTCTACGTCTTCATCCTCGCCTTCAACACGCTCTTCCTCATCAGATCCAACACGAGTTTCGTCCACGCCCAGCTCTGTAACCTTGCCGAGGTGCTCTCCCTCTTCAGTTATGTCTTTTAGTGTCCCGCGGCCTATTGATGTACTATGCTTTGCGTTCGAATCTGTCAAGCCTTTTGGGTTGAGATGGTCTTGTGCAATCCGCAGGACGTTGGAGGTATCTTCCTGCAAGTCTTGGTCGTTCGGTACACCGCCCATGGGTTCGATAGTTGGCTCTCGACTTAGACCCGGCTCTGTCTCCTCATCTGCCTCGCTCCTCATTGACTCAGTGCGCCGTCGCAGGCGCCGCACCTCTTCTGCATCTGCTTCACTGCCGCTGTCATCCTCCATTTCCAAATGCTTGCGCTTCCTGGGTGAGCTGCCTCGAATCTGCGCGGCTTCAACACCGACTCCGGTATCTGAGGCTGCAGTGTTTTCTGAGCGCAGTTCACTTTCAAGATCTTCATCCGATGTGCCTGGCGAAGAGACACCACTATCGCTAAAAAGCTCTTGTTCAGCAGCCTGCGGCAGTGCCGATTGGGCAAGCTTGCTTGGGCTTTGTGTATATGGTAGGTGACCGATCACAATACCGTTATGATTTAGGTTCTTATTGGGCGAGTTCTCAAGACGCTCCGTCTCCGCTTCCGAATCTGCTTCGATGTGCCTCGCAACTGGGGAATTGCCCAAGACCAAGTCAACTTCTTCTACCCCATCTTCAAGGTCACTGAGACTACTCGAGCGGCCCTCGTCGAGTAGATCCCTGGTGTTTGCATATTCAGGCTGGTTATTGGAAATTGGATGGCCCAGCGCCTCCATTTTATCGAGTTGTGTAGATTCTTCACCATTTTCCTCGACCATCGCTTTGGAGATTTGGGGATTCCGAGGAGGATTTAGCGTGGCTTGATCTGTATTGTGATCACTGGCGATTGATATGTATTACATTGGGAAGCACGCTCTAGATGCAGATCAAAGTTAGCTGCGACTTCTCCAAAAGACAAGGGCTGAGAAGTATCAAATCGGCCAGGCAACCTCGCACGACAGGAAGAGGCATTATAGGGCTACTAACATGAAGTTGATTAAAGGTGTACTCCTTCGCGATAAATGCTGGCTCAAAAAGTAGAGGAGTTTGCGCTCTGTGGGATGCGACAGATCGGCAACGCTTCGAATCAATCGTCTGAGGGGCTCTTCACCTGAAAGGGGGCGGTCGAGCAATCCGAATGATGCTCAAATATCACAGAAGAATATATAAAGGCAAAGCAACGGGAAGAGTAGCGATTGAGGTAGGCGCTTGGTTGTGGAGAGCAGTTGACTAGACTCCGGGCTCGGATTTCTGAGAATGAAAACTATGGCGAGGTTTTTGACGGGTGATGGAAGATTATTGTATCAATTTTCAGCTGACGCCTGCGATCTCTTGTTTTCAAGGTAATGAAAGGAAAAGATATGTCTTGGGGAGAAGAGATGGTCGAGCTGCTGATTCCCTACCCACGGAGCCCAGGATCCGACGCCAGGTACGTTATCGGGCGCGGTCATCTGCGCTAACTTACTGACCGCAGCCAATTGTGTTAGGAAGACGCTAAGTTAGTCTGTCGCCCCCCCCCGCATCCGCCAGCTTCTCCAAAAAGTAACAATTTTCTGCGCAGGCCAGAGCGAAGTGCCAGCAAAGCTTCGGAATTGTGAATTGGAACACCATTGACAAAGAGCACCAAACTGGATGGAATGATTAAAGGGAGAAGAACATGGGGAAGAAGCTCGAGGTGGCTCCGGACTCTTCGGCGGATCCATCGCGATCTGCAGACAATACCCTTACAGCTCCATCTTCAGCATTAGATGCCACCCTTACCTCCTTGTTTGCTACCAGCGTTCGTGAGAAGTCTTTCTGAACGCTATATTATTGACTAATGATGGCAGTCCGGACCCGTCAACGTTCCGCCCGTTCGCAAGGCTAGGAAATTGCAGGATTCGAATTCTTCACGGCCAGATACCGTAGCCATCCCCAAAGATATAAAAGGTGGGGAAGATGAATATCCTTCGAGGTCAGAGTTGTTTCGAGCAGAATTTCCACCAGATCACCAGGCCGCCAGTTCAACACCTTCGGACATAGATGAAGACACCCTTCCCTTGCCATCGAGGAAGCGGAGGCGAATGGTACTAGCTGATGATGTCGAAGAATCTTTCATGAGACGCCTTGCTCATCAAGAAGCCCGATTTCAAAGCGAAATAGATGTTATTAGACGGCCAGTATCATCATCTGCCACAAATACGGTGGGACCTAAAGATCCATCGGAGCAGGTTGCCTCAGAAGGCCTTGAACCAGAAGACAATGATCATTTCCCACGACACGAATCGCTAGGTGGCGTAGTCGACGGCAGTTCAATAGACAAGTCTGATAGGACTGTCTTCTTGGGCAATGTCTCGATCGAGGCAATCAAGTCAAAATCTGCAAAGAAATTGTTGCTGAACCATTTGTCATCCTGTCTCCCTCAGCTGCCATCTGTGGGGGTACCGCACAAGGTAGAATCGCTGCGGTTCAGGTCAACCGCTTTTATCTCTGGAGTGGGACCGAAAAGAGCTGCCTACGCCAAAAAGGAGCTGATGGAAGAGACCACTCATTCCACCCATGCATATGTCGTGTATACAACTCAGATGGCGGCCAAGAAGGCGGCCACTTCATTAAACGGTACCATCGTGCTTGACAGACACCTGCGTGCCGATCATGTCTCTCGTCCCGCAGAGATCGATCATAGACGTTGCGTCTTCGTCGGCAATCTTGGCTTTGTTGATGAGGAGATTGTCGAAACCGAGACCGCTAGCGGGGTTAAGGAACGCAAGGGAAGAGGAAAGCATCCGGCTGATGTGGAGGAAGGACTGTGGCGAAGTTTCAGCAACGCTGGAAAGATCGAGAGCGTGCGAGTAATCAGGGACAAGTCTACTCGTGTCGGAAAGGGCATCGCATACGTGCAATACCATGACGCAAATAGCGTCGAAGCGGCTTTGCTATACAACGACAAAAAGTTTCCACCTCTTTTGCCTCGAAAGCTCAGAGTCACCAGGGCTCGGAAACCCAAGGAGGGACGGAAGCCTGCGCATCAATCGAAAGACAGAAGCACGCGCTCAGAAAGACCTGGTGTCAAATGGGATCCTCGGGGCAACGGCAAGGCCTTGCAAGCCAAAGGAGAGACAAAAGGAGAGAATAGCGAGCAGTCGAGTAAGGCCAAACGCTTTGTTTTTGAAGGTTATCGGGCTACCACAGCAGGCGCTCACAATACAAAAGCGAGCGGACAGAAGAAGCGGAAGCATGCAGTCAAACCTACCACCAGAAGTAGTCGTCGAGGGGCAGCATTCAAGGCTGCAGGTGGGAAGCGACAGCAGGAGTAGTTGGATGTTTTAATTTATGACCGATCTCATGAGTAGCGTCTATGGTGTGGTTCCTGATGGCTACCGTGATAACGTTGGGTTGCGCTGCCTACTTCGGCATTGGCTTTGCTTGAAGAATAATTGTCACCTCTTGAAGACTATAGAGGACCAAAGTTGGAATCGTGCGTGTGATCGGGGGGTAGCCGATGTTGATATGGCTTCTCCACTAAGGGGCAGCTCTGCGGTGTGAGAATCAAACATTGCTCACTCCCCCACATTGCCCAAATTTATCTGTGGAAGATATTCTGCAACCTCAAACCTCGCCCCTCACACAAATTCGGTACAGCATTTCCGGTTAGAATTTACGCTCAGACAGGCTTCTACATGCTTGGTAGTAAATACTGTAGTTGTTGCAAATTCTCTACAGATGCCACGAGCATTCATACGTTACAAACTGATAGTATTCATGCGGATGCATCCCAGAAGGGGTGCCTATGCTACTACTACTAATACGCGACTTCTCTATTCCGCGTTAGCCAGAATAATCTTCTACCCACAACAACGTAACCAATACTCGTCTGACCTGGAACCTCAACCTTGTAACGACCTGAGCCTGTAGCCACCTGGTGTGACGGTCTACAACGATCTTTCACAGCTGATCACGAGTAACCTGATTGCATCTCTATGGAACTGACTACAAGCGTCCCTGATACAAAGACCTAGCTTGCATGAGCTCGAGCAAAATGCCTCCAATCCACAAGAGAAAGTTCGAGGATTATCACCCTGAGCTTCATCATTCTAGCAATCCTGAGAATCACGAAGTGGTAGGTTCAGTAATCACTGCACCGAAGAAGCAAGCATCTCATGCGAGAGATCTTCCGTTGGTTTCAAACAGTCAGAGAGCATCTGAAGATGAGCCGCCACAAGACAATGGCTCCTTGTCCCACGCCTCAAAAGAATGGCAGATGGTTGACCGCAAGGATAAGCGAAAGCCCAAGCGGAAGAAGGCTGGAGATGAAAAGGGCCGGGTCAAGTATCCTGAACTGACTTATCACGCCAATGTCACTGCCCCCATACGTATCGCTGACCTGCAGGCACTCGTTCTTTACGCCCTTGCCGATGGAATTGGTCCAAGCTGGGTTGCTTTTAAGAACGTCCGCCACACAAGGAAGGTAGTGGTGCTGATGGTGCCTGGACTAGAGAGGGTGATGTTCGATGGTAGTATGTCCATTGATGAAGGCTCAGACTCGGTTACCAGTTTCGGAGAGGAGGAGAGCAACGTCAACGAATCCAGGTGGAGAGACGATGGTTTCCGAGCCTGGAGGAGCGCCGTCCCAGCAAAAAGTTATAAAGAATGCAATCCCATGGAAATCAAAGTGCAATACCTTCCGAAAGCTCTGCAGCCTCTTGGTGCTATTTTTGAGGACGTATGGCAGGTGAAAGCGCCCGGTGACAGTCGATATGCCAAGCTACATTCTCCAATTCAAGCGATGCTGATTTCACCACTTCCCCAGTCCAGAGAGAACAAATCCGTCAAGGGCCCAAAACCACCAGCAGAAGAGAAAGGGTGGCAATCACAGCGAACGGCTATTGCTGATTTCATCCATACCGCAGATGACCTCCGAGACGCAGAGTATCCTCTCCATCCCGCTGTCCTCGATGGCGACGTCGAAGCAGCTTTGCTTGAGCAAGAGCGCCGAGCCAAGACCGGTCAAAATGCTGCATGTGGTTGGGTTGATACCCGTGTCTCGAAATTTTCGGATGGTACCGTCTCAAGCATAGCCACCCAGCAGGGCAGTATCACTGCAGGCCGCACAGTATATGCAGTTGATTGCGAGATGGTCCTCACTTCCGACGACAAATACTCCCTGGCGCGTATCAGCATAGTGGACTGGGACGGAACAACCGTTCTCGATGAACTTGTGAAGCCCAGCTTGCCAATCAAAAATTACCTTACACAATTTTCCGGCATGACAAGTGCCATCCTTGACCCAGTCCAGACCAGTCTTTCTGAAGTCCAATCTGAGTTGCTTGACCTCTTTAAACCCCAAAGCATCCTTCTTGGCCACAGTCTCGAATCCGATCTTACCGCCATGAAGCTGACACATCCTTTCATCATTGACACCTCGTTGATCTACCCCCATCCCCGCGGCCCTCCACTACGCTCATCTCTTAAATTCCTTGCGCAGAAGTACTTGCGGCGTGAGATACAGCAGCATGATTCGAAAGGTCACAACAGTGTCGAGGATGCTTTAGCCGTGCTCGATCTGGTCAAACTGAAGTGTGAGAAAGGCCCAAAATGGGGTACATCGGAAGCCGCAGGGGAGCCCATCTTCCGCCGCTTGGCCCGAAACACGAGAAAGGACGTGGGGGGAGTTGAAAGGGGCATCACAAGCGCAATGGTAGATTATGGAACTCCCGAGCGAGGTTATGGCAAAGAGGCAACCGTACACATTGGTTGTGAAAGCGATGAGGAGATTGTTAAGGCGGTGGCCCTGCCTGGATGTGGCGTGGATTTCATTTGGGGAAGACTGAGAGAGCTCGAAAGTTTTCGTGGATGGTGCAACAACAATCGAGAGTACACGACCGTTGATGAACTACATGCTTCCCGACCACAGCAAGCTTCTGCGCCAGATTCTGCGGCGACTGGGGGAGAGTCCGACCTTCCAGTACATCCAGTAGAGAATGATTCCATTACCGGCACTGCAAAAAAACCCAACCTCCGCGTCCGTTCCGAGAACCAGTCATTGGGATCACATTCTACAACGCCGACTCTCCAATCAACCATTGCTTCGACCAGTTCCCACATCCACGCAATTCACGACGCCCTTCCTCCTTGCACCCTCTTTATCGTCTACACTGGCACAGGTGATCCACGTGAAGTCGGCCGGCTACAGAAGATGCAACAGCAGTTTCGCAAGGAGTTCAAGGTCAAAAAATGGGATGATCTGAGTGTGAAGTGGACGGACGATGAAGAACAGGCTCTGAAGAGAGCTGTTGAAAGGGCAAGAGAAGGTATGGCTCTGATGTGCGTCAAATGAGAGGTATGAATCATCAGCATTATGAAGGTGTTTTTGAAAGGACCACGTCAACAGAACATGTGTACAGAAAGAGGCGCGGTCTCGAAATGCAACTGCAACTGCAACTGCAGTGGAGCAAGTTGCCGCATCACCCCTTCTGCAAGATATTCAGCATTGCCATAGTGGTGGATGCCATCATCCTCGGCTGTGGTTGCTGAACATCGTCTTTCTGGTATTCGGCGAGCTCATTGCCCATAGACACAGATACAGGTTCCTCGCAGAGCAATTGCTCTTTGTTTGCTTTAGAGCAGCCATTGAAGCTTGAACAGCGCTATGTGCCTACCGCGTCCTGTAGAAGAATGATTGGTTCGCCTTCCGCACAATTGCCGAATTAGACTGGGTGGAGACAAAAGTTCCTAATGCTTCGGGTCGAGAAACAATTCAATCCTATGAAGAGAGTGTTCATATTTTTATTCCACTCTCAAAACGCTTGGATCCCTCCGTCTCGCTGCTCTCTTCTTCTTATGGCCTTTCTCAAATGCCACTGCGCTCGCATGATCCCTGCCTACGTTGTCGAGATCTTTGACTTTGTAAATCCGTATAATCCAGTTCTCGCTTGTGTAAGCTTCTTCGAGTATGCTGAGCTGTGGTCCTTCTGCTGGGAGTCGAGCACCCCGAACTCTATCTTGTGCCTGTCCCGCTGGGAAGAGGGAATTGAAATTGTAGTAGGACATTTTGTACCTATCCGGCGTTCCTGTGAGTAAGTGAAACAAGACAAAATAAGGTGGGTAGCTTACATCAGAGATTCTTTCATCGTAGGGGTTGCGCCGTCATCTACCCTATACTCTCCTCTTTCGGTGAAGAAGTTTCGCTCCTTCACCTCATCGGGCCAGATGCCTTCCGCAATTCTTATCATCCACAAGAATTTGTTGATGTCATCACCGTTGTAACCAAGCAGACCGCCGAAAACCACAAGGACATAGTCGACATCATGCTGACGCAAGATGGGATATGATACTTCCTCCCGTGACGACATGGCCTTCCCGACCGTTGCAATGTGAGTATTATTCCAAGTGTTGTTGTCAACAAGAGTGGGCCTATCAGCCATGCCACCAATCTGGTAACCATAATCCCACCACGACATGATTTTGGCATCTTGAGGCGTATTTTGGCGAAGCCAATAATATGCTTCTCGGTAGTCGTCGATGATATACTGTGAGCCGTCAGGCATCCGGGAGGACAGGACCACGGACGGAGACGAGTATGCATTTGAAGTGACCCAGGTGCAGTGCAGCACAAAAAGCAATAGATATGCGGTGGTCGTTGCTGTGATGATGGACTTGGAAACAGAGGAGTAGATTCCCACAAGAGGATTACGCATCGAGCGTAGAGATGCCATCGTCGAAGCCGACTTGGATGCGCCCTTGCTGCTGGCATCCGCTGATCCATTTTGATTCGGTGCAGCAGGCGTATCGGCCGCCATATAGGTGTCAAGGATATGAGACAAGGCAAGAGCCGAAGCTACGCAAACGATCGGCGTCAAGGTCAACATCAATCGAACCATGACGCCAGCAAAGTAGCTCGACATCACGGCGTAGATCACCACAAACACGTGCTCATCCTTCAAATTGCGGAAGCACATATAGACGCCAGCAGGGAAGAGCCAGATTAGTAGATTCAGGTCGAAAAAGAAAGCTGGCCAGGCCGTGGGTTGATGTTCCGAAACCGACGCGATGATGGGAATATGAATCTTGGCATATCCGGTATCGAAAAGCGAATAAAAACGTCCACTCCAAGGCGCAATGATGCCAGTAATACTTAACAGAACCAAGCCCAGGCAAGCTACTACAAAGAGAGCAAGGACGGCGCCAAAAAGCAGGGTCTGGAACTGTTTGCCGGGCACTCTACTCCGAAGGAATTCCGCAAATGCAACAAGCTGTACCAATCCGAAAGTCCCAAGAGCAGACATATGATCGCTGCTTCTGATGGGTAGAAAACCCACAAACGGTACCTGCATGCTAGCTAGTGTTCCCAGCGCGAACCAGGTTGTGTAGCTGATATAGAGTCTTGAGCTGAAGCGACCCATGCAGATGAGCGTGAAGACATGAAGCGGAATGAGATTGGTTATAAAGACATATCCTCCCCAAGCGGACACCATGTAGCCATAGAAGAGGGCCGCAAGTGCGCCCCACAGGATGGATCCGTTTCTGACTGCTTTTATCCAGAGAAAAAAGGTGAAAACGAGCAGGAAAATGGCAATGGCTTCGTTGTCATAGCTGCCAGCAACTGACCGAGAGATGTATCCCGGAGCGATGCCCATGAAAGCTGCTGCCAGCAGGCCGGCTGATGGAGAAGCTGACATTTCGGATGTAAGCAGGTACATTGCGAGGGCTGTCAATCCCGAAAATGCAGGTGCGAGTAGCACACAGATGTTCCTTATATCGACAGGAAGAGAGAGGAGTCGAAGAACATGATAGATAACGCCGCTGGTAACCATGAGACCTGGATATAAGGTGCCCCCTGTAACTCGGCCGAGAGGATGCCACGTTCCTAGCACAAGCATTAGCATTTTTGAGCCTCTTGATGGATAAGAAAACGGCTGTACTATCGTCGAACCAATCCCAGAAGCTGTAAAAGCCATGCTTTACCAGGTATTTCGTGGCACGAAAATTGAACCAGGGATCAACTGTCGCGATTGTCAGCCTTGATGTAGTATGGTCATTGCTGGCAGTGTTCCAGGACTGACATTCGTGAATGACACTCTCAAATCCTGTAGAGAATGTTAATGCGGTGATTTGCATCATAGGTGGTATACTCACGAATAACAGCGAACAATCGAGCTGAGACTGCCGCAGCAGCAATAGTGAGAAGGATGATGATCCTCAGCAGTCCCCGTACGCTTTTGCTTGAGTTACCCTGCAAAAAATGATTGGAAGCGGCCATCATGGCCAGACAAAGGAGGCAATGGGAAAGGGACCAAGTATCTCAACAGTTGTGCATGAAAGCATACGAAAAGCATCCAGGTCCAAATATGAAGGTGTCGGCAAAGCGCAGACTTGGCAAAGATCGAGCTCCAACCTCAGCATGAAGAGATGAGGCTGGATTGCACTTTGCGGCCATGGCGCTGCTTCAACAATTGCTTCGATACGCAAATCATGAGCAGCAATTGTAGGAATTTGCAGTGACTAAGAAGCCTTCTATGCTGTCGTGACTCTCGGATAACTTGGTGTTAACTGGTGGTGATGTCCAAACCACTGATTATGTTCTATCCTCCACTATAAACTCTATACTTTTGTACCCGCCGTGCAAACCTATCTGAGCTGTATCACTGAGCTCTCTTCTCATGGCACTATTATCCTCATCTTCGGGCTTACCTTCTCTCTCACGCAGTCGAATCGCTAAGATCAACAACAGCTTGTGCCCCTAGGCATCGTATAGCATCTACTACTAAGTAGCTGAGGAAGCGGCGGGCTCCTGACAGAAATGGGCCTGGTCTTAAGAGATCACGGAGGGAAGTGAAGTGCTCTGGTCTCACCCAAATTCTTCTACTTAACAAAGGCCTTGTGGATCCTGGACCGACGACTCCAAGAACAACCTCGGCCGATCATCTTCGGCGGGTTGCCCCTTAGCCTGTAGGGACACCCATTCTCACGAGTTTCCGGTGCTGTCAAAGGGGTCAGATTCCCTCTCTAGTACCTGCATCAAATCAAACATGATGCGCCAAGACCCATTGACGACGTTACAACTGACATCATGGCCGAGGGTCACTGACTAATTCACAAGATCGATCATGAGAGAGAAGAGCCGTTACCACTATCATTGCTTTGTCCAGACCGGGGAACATGTATCTTATGCAGCTGTAGACACGATTCTCTTCCCTGGCAACTCGGAGTGAATTGTCCCAGAAGTGGACGAGGAAACACTGAACGAATAGACCCAGTCTCCACTCTTTCAGCATGACAGATTCTGTGGGGATACCTAAACCCTCCGGAATTGGCCCTGGCGCAACCACGGCTTGAATGTGTAACAAATTAGCGATGGCTATTTTAATGGTATAATTATTGTGAAATAGAAGCAGGTCGCCTTGGAGGCTCAAAGACGTAGGAACAACAGAGTTGCAGCAGCAATGCCTATTGCTTCAATTTAGACACAGGTAAGATGTCGTTCCTTCAAGAGCTTCACAGAACATAAGCCACCAATTAGAGGTACTGATCTGGGTAGAACTTGAAGTTAACGGCTTCTTCCATTAGATCTTTGGTCTTGTGGTTAGGGCCATTCGTTTACGATAGGAAGGAATTCCGGTGTGCGAAAGCGTACAGGGACACGCGCAGATATTTATTGCAATGATAGATAGAGTAAGCCCGGGTTGAGGAACCGTAGTATACACATAGTATTTAGATGATCGAACATATGTACAAGGGACGTGAAGGGAATCTATGGCATTGGAAGGCCTGAGACAGAACGACGACGTCGCCAAGTCGTAGTGGTCACTTCCGAGGAGGTGTAAGGTAGGTTGCTCGTCATCTCTTCACTCTTCACGTGTTCTCTGCAGACTTCAGTGTCAAATATGCTTCAAGGTCGAAGTTCTTGTCCTCCGGATCTGTAATGACTGTATGCCGCGATGAGTACTGATCTGGGTAAGTGGCGAGGAATAGGACTAACCTCCTCCACTTCCGGTTCTTGCTTCTGGCGGTAAGTTCTTTTTCTTCCATTCGAGCTTCGCTTTTTCGATCAAGGATTCTCTGTGTTTGTATTCATTTTCGACATGGGAGGCTTTGTTGTTGGCGTAGATTGTTCTCTGATGCGAAAAGCCGTAGAATATGCCAAAAAGCAGAGCAGAGTATCGAAGTACCTTATGTAAAGTCAGCTGGGCTTCGACAAGGCATAGAATGGTCTTGATTGAGCAATCCGCAGAAAGGAATATTGCGCTCACGTTCACTCCCTGCGAAGTCGACATCGTAGGGACACCTGGTCCCACACGAAGACGCTCTCCGATAATTCAATATAGATTATGCGCCTTCTTGTTGTTGACGTCAACGTATGTAAATTTCTAGCAGTGTTTCGCTTTCGTGGTGTTTGGAAAGCTATCGCAGCTCTAGCTTCCGGGGCTTGAATTGAGGTTGGATTTTTGCCGTACTTTATTTAGGTCAATGCTTGGCGCCACCAGCAGAGTACTATACTTATTACTAACCAAAAATTTCATCCCACACATTCTTACATTCTGATCACTGCACGACATACAATTACTTCTTTACTATAGAAATTGCATATTTATTCAGTCTTAGTGTGTGCATTATCAACTATGTACTCAATCATCATAAATCTATTAAGAATATATCTATTTCTTAAGAATCTCACAATTCATTTTTTACGAATCAGTGCCCCTCCAATGGGTGATGTCCCCTCATTTACTCTGCATCAGACTCTGTACGGTTGCCGCTTGCTCAACCTTCCATTTGCGTTCATTGACCTAGCACTGCGCGTCGAGATGTGCTATTTGGATCAAAGTATGGGCGCTCACCAAGTCCAACTGCTCGATTACCGAATCGGTCTCCCTCTCCTTCGTAGTCAAACGTGGCCGAATGAAAAACGCTGCGGTTGTCCCAGATTGCTACGGAATTGCAAGTTAGCCTTCGCTCTTTTCGTTACCTGATTTGGGAGGTAGCTTACCAACGTCGTTTTCGTTCTTCCACTTGAATCGCACCTGCAAGTCATGGTTCTTGTACACCAACTCAAGGAACCAATCGAGGATATTCTTGCTCTCCTGCTCAGTGAGACCATTGATATGCCTCACGTGACCACCGACGGGAAAGATACTCTTCCATCCTGTGACAGGGTTGGTCCGAACCACTGGATGGATTGCCTTAAGCTCGCTTCCAACATTCTCAGGAGCTCCTCTTGGCTTATCGTACAGCGAGAAGCCGCCCCTTCCAGCCACTTCGTTGAAGGCTGGTTGCGCGAAAGTTGCGCTCAGTGTCTCCAAGAAGCGCTGATATGGCTCGCTGATTCGGTCATAGATCTCATAACCCGACGCCCATAGGGTATCTACTGACTTTAGCATTGTCTTAGCAAAATCGGATCACATTCGACGTACCTCCACCCGTTCTAGGTAGCTGTGTCAAGCGGAGCGAAGTGTAGTCAGCCGGAACAGGCTCAAAAGCGATGTCGCTGTGCCAAAGAGCGCTGCTCTGGATCTTCTTGCTCTGGTCATAATCAGTCTTTTTATACAGCTTGTCATGCTGCACTGAGCTAATCGTGCTAATCTCTGGATCGCTACCCCCAAGCTCCCGCTCTGAATTCAAGATCGGGTGTATATGGAGCTTCGATGTTGAAGGCTTGCCAGTGAGCTCGCCAAGTCGTTGAATAAGCTGCTTCTGGACATCGTTCGTCAGGTTGTTCTGTGCTCTGAAGAAAACGACCCCGCGCTCAGAGACTTGAGGTTCAGTGAGTTGGCTTTTACTTTGAGGTAGGCCCGGATGGGCTTACTTTTGATGGCCAGATCTCGCAAACTCTCGTCAGCATTTGGTGCATTGATCCATTCGACAATATTGGCGTCGGGATACTCGGTACCAATCACAGGAGTGATATCGACTGTTTGGTATTGGTCCAAAGACCCAGAATATTTTATTGGCTCTCTGGTCTGGGCTAGTTTCTTCACTTCAATCCCGTCAGTATATTCAACAGGAATAGCTGATGGTGCCATGTCGCAAGTTCTATTTCTGAAATGGTTGAGACGGTATGTCTGCTTCCTGAAGACGATATGCCTGAAAGCTCCATGAGCCGGTCTCATCAGTCGCTTTATAAAGCATTACGATTCATTACTCTTCGCGTCGGCGAAGCGGCATGGCATCCTGGAAGCACGAGCACGGGATCATCGCGGGTGAGTGATCCGCCATCTGAGGGGCGTATGGTGCTCACATACAGTGGTTCTGATATTTCGCAGTCCGCTAAGATCCATCTCCAGCCCCACTCTTCAACACTCGTGCTAGTATCGGCACACCATAGTGCCCCCGATGGCATCATGCCACATTTCTACTGCGTGATCAGAGGGTGTGTAACCAATCACGGAAAAAGGGCTGATAAGCTGCTTGTTGCAGGCAGTCCTTGCCACGTGGACCCAGCCTTTCCAGCTTCATGCCTTGCCATGTACTCACACCCGCGTTAGTAACTACCAACGGCAGAAGATTTTCTGTTGTATCTATGGGGTACGTGTGAAGATTGATGCTTCCACAGCAGCCTCTTCCTTGATTCTCGCCAGCAAGTCCAGGTACAACGTTCAGAGGAGCAAACATGTCCGTGGACATCAGTCTCACGCAAGGAACTATCGTGCCGAGGACGAAGAGCCATGTACATGGTCGAACGTAATTAGGATGGCGTACAGAGTTGATCTCTGCCGGTTGTCGGAGTGTGTTGAAGTGTCACAAGTTCATGACTAGCGAGGCCACAAATCCCCCTCGCTACAGAATAGACAAGTCGCTCTAACGAAGAACATCGAGCTACTCTTCTAACCAGATACTGCAGTCTTTATCTCGATATCACGCAATATAAGCCACTTCTTTGCTTACTCCTAGCTTGATGACTATGATATCTGCCAAGTGAATTGTTGGCTCGCATCTTGACCAGAATTGATCCTTGTTTGACCTAGGGTATGTTACAACAGGTGTCCAAGTGCTGTTTTAAGTCATTTGGTATCTATCAATTGGTACATTCCTATTTTACTACACCTTTTGGGATGAAAATTTAAGGTCCAGGTTACCGGCGCTAACTTAGACTGGCAGCGCTAGTAGCTGGCACTGACCAATTAAAAAAATGTCAAATTCTATGACAGCGTGGTGGTGGATGACAAGTGACGAGCTTCGGGAACAACCACGTAGCATCATCACCATGTCAACTTGTTCCTCTGAGGAGCAGACACGTCCCAAGCGGTCCAACCATGAACGTACTGCTTGGCGTAGGGGCCCATTGGATCCCAGGATACGCTGACTTGTGCCCGGGAACTCAAAGCCTGTTCTCAGGAGCGAATTGGATCCTTGGAACCTCTAAAGGGCACCCAATGTTCCCTGTCTGATTCCCGTTATAGCCTGTGGTATGGATCCGCGGAACCTTTAGTGTACCTGTTGACCAATTCACTTGTCCTTATCTTGTGGGCGAGGCCCGGTTCGGATCTTGAAGCGTCCATAATGTGTATAAGCCGGTAATGTACATTATCTACCTGCTCAGCTGACCCCCCTTGCGAAATGAAGTTTGATTGGTGAAGACCTCTGTAGCTCCTATTTCATCTGATTTTAGCATACTGTCAATCATTTAAAGCTGTTTTGAGCCAAAATGAAGCTGTACGAGCTGCCTAAATCGGAAATGCTCTAGCTGATAATGTTCAAGTTAGTAGTCACTTCGTCGTCCTTCCTCGCGACTTTTAATAATAGCTGTCCTAGGTAGCTGGTGTATGCATATTCGTTTAAACCGTGAGAGCGCCTGTTGGCCAGCTTTGCTGCGTTTATTCTTCCAGCGTTTGATTGGTCACTTTCTACCGCAATTTCGCAACTAATTTCGCTTTGCCATACAGCTTGTACGCATATTTACAACTTGCTTTCTACGCATTCTACAGAGCAAATTAAACAATGTATTTCTATCTTAGCATCACACTCGTCTCGTGCCAGTTTAAAAACGTTGCAACTGCGGTATTACAAACCATTATGCCCCGTGAAGAATGACGTGCTAAGACCCCCAAATTGTGTGCAAGCACAACTTTCGGGCATGTCGCACATGGAATGTGCGCTGCTGTGATTATAGCGGCCGCCCAATATTGCAATGCTGCTGATCCAGACCTAATGGATCGATTGGTAAGTCGTCCTTGACCTATGCTCTAGCTGTAGAGGCGTGCGCGCGTCTTCCAGCTGTGCTCGATTGCCAGCGTCCAATTTTACTTCCGTACAGAATTCTTTTTTCTAGAAAGGAACTTGGATCCAAACCATCCCCTTGATTGCAATGTCCGACGTGGAGAGTGAGCCCTTGCTCCGTCCCGACACTTTTGGACATATCGAACCTTATGTAACCGCTGAGCAGTTGCAGCATGCGAAGATTGAGCGAGCTATTGACAACGATGTTCTCCCAGACACATCTCTTGTCGGCAGAAATATTGGTTGGGGAAGCGCTTACATCTTGGTCATCTCACGTGTCGTCGGAAGCGGGATCTTTGCGATGCCTGGAACGATCGTTCAGAATGTTGGAAGCCCTGGACTCGCTTTGAGCATTTGGATCATTGGAGCATTTGTGGCGTGGGCAGGCCTCGCTATCGATATGGAGTATGGATGCATGCTGCCACGCTCGGGAGGAGTCAAGGTGTATCTCGAATACACCTACCGTCAGCCTCGCTTTCTGACATCTACGCTGGTTGCTCTACAGGCCGTGCTTCTCGGTTTTACAGCCAGCAATTGCATCGTCTTTGCCAAGTACACCTTGTTTGCAATTCGAGTCCAGCCAACTGACCTGATGACGAAGCTTCTTGCCGTAGGACTGCTCACTGCAATTACACTCGTCCACGGCTGCTTCTATCGCACTGGAATATTGATTCAAAATGTACTTGGTTGGATCAAGGTTGTCTTGATAGTACTTATGATCATGACCGGATTTTTTGTAGTACTCTTCCGGGCGCAGACGCTCAATAACGCGTTCAGCTCAGCCAACATTACGTTTTGGGATGACCTATGGAAGGACTCCAACTGGGCCTGGAACAATCTGTCTACGGCGTTCTTCAAAGTTTTCTACTCCTATGCTGGATTGAGCAACATCAACAACGTTTTGAACGAAGTCAAGGACCCAATCCGAACGTTAAAGTCTGTCGGGCCTGCAGCACTTTTGACGGCTTGCATCATGTACCTGCTCGTCAATGTTGCCTATCTGGCAGTTGTTCCCCTCGAGGAGGTGAAGCAGAGTCGCGAGTTGATTGCGGCTCTCTTCTTCGAGCGCGTGTTTGGAGCGGGATTTGGCAATGTTTTTCTGCCATTGGCTATCGCGCTCAGCGCGGCTGGGAATGTTATGGTTGTGACATTCGCTTTGGTAAGCTTTAATTGCACTTATCAGACAATGCTGATTGTGAATAGGCCCGACTTAACCAGGAAGTTGCACGACAAGGCTTTTTGCCATGTTCGAAGCTGCTGGCGTCCTCCCGACCATTCGATGCACCGATGGGCGGCTTGATAGTGCACTACGTGCCTTCGCTTTTGGTCATCATTCTTCCTCCCTCGGGGACAGTCTATGCTTTCATTGCGGACGTCGAAGGCTACGCAGGTCAATACTTTGCAGTTGCGGTCGCTGCCGGTCTTCTCATTCTCCGTATCAGGAAACCGGAGTTGAACAGACCTTTCCGAGCATGGCTACCAGCAGTTTGGCTCCGAGTTGCGCTTTGCTTGGCCTTGATACTGGCACCCTTGTTTCCCCCCCCAAAAGGCACGTCTGATGTCAGTTTCTTCTACGCCGCCTATGCATTGGTTGGTATTGCGATGTAAGTTGGCATCCTGTGGATATCATGCACTGCTAATCATGACAGTATCGCTTTTGGCGTGATCTACTGGTTCATCTGGACCATCGCTTTGCCTCGATGTAGAGGCTATAGACTCGAGAATGAGCCTGACATCCTCGGTGACGGCACAACCATCACGAAGCTTGTTCGCAAAGATTGTTAATCATCACGACTGCTTCATAAGCACAACTCCACTGAATGGCAGCATAGGTGATAGAACATGCGTGGCCTTCCAGGTATGTTGCGCACGCCATTCATCATGGGACTTCCTATTGGCTTTGCTGCTGAGCTCTAATCTTCATCCGACTCTCCGTCCGACTCTTCGTCCGACTTCACGTCCTGCTACCCCGCATAACTCCGTGCATGGCGCGTCTATACTCACAGATGGCGTGCGAGCTGACATATCAACGATACTTCTGGGAAGCCAATATAATGAGTGTTGATTGCTGGTCGAAGACATGCAAACCAACACTTTACAATGGCGTCGGCGGCAATTCATCAACCCCAAGGTCATTCCACCTCATTTGAGCCATTCCCTGCGAAGGTGCAGGCGACCTTCATCACTCAGTCTATCAAGCCACATCATATCAACACTTCGTTGAACTACTACAAGGATCCTGGTGATGGCAGTGAACCTGCTCCAACATATGTGGGAAAGCCTGAGACATATGAGCGTCCTGTTGAGCCTCTCGATGTGACCGTTCACGATATCAGAGGAGAGGAAAAGAAGTACACTCTTGACTCCACTGGCTTCCAGATCCATGGCCACAAGAGCGCCGAGAAAGACTTCATCGACGACGCTCAAATAAAAGCTGTCTACTATCCTGAGACCGAGCAGCTTCTGAAAGACGTGTACGTTGATCGGCTTCCCGTAAGGAAGCATGCTGACCTTGACAGGACTGGCGCATCTCGTGTTTTCATCTTTGACCACACCGTCCGCCGAACACCAAAGGATCCACAGTCGCCTGCGACCCCGCTTCGTGGTCCAGTCAATCGTGTCCACATCGATCAATCATACAGTGCAGCGAAGTCTCGAGTCCCCCATCATCTTCCAGATGACGCAGAGAAACTTCTGTCTACTCGGTACCAGATTATCAATGTCTGGCGCCCGATCAAGAAGATTCTGAAGGACCCGCTTGCTGTCGCTGATGCCAATTCGGTCCCTGACTCGGATCTTGTTGGCATTGCTTTGATCTACCCTGATCGACGAGGTGAAACATACACTGTGAAACCGAACAAAGAGCATAAATGGTTCTACCTGTATGGACAAACTCCAGAGGAGGTAATGTTAATCAAATGCTTCGATTCCAAGCTGGACGGTCGTGCTAGGCGTGTGCCACATACAGCATTCGTGAACTCGGCTACTATTGATGAAGAGGCGAGAGAAAGCATTGAAGTGCGTGCACTGGTCTTTCATGAAGATCAGCCGACAGAGTAGGGTTGATTGAAATACAGTGTTTCAATACGTTCTTCACTAGCAGCAATTTTAAATCAGGCGCACTGCATATCTTTGGCTCCAACCCTGTAAGGATTGTGAACCGATTTTATGTCTCTGTAGAGGATTCCAAGTGTCCATCATGCCGCATTATTCGCAGATACGCTGGCAAGGCTGTGTCATGCAAAGAAGAGTCGGTTATCATGGCATCAGTTCTAAGACTTAGCGTGTACCTATATTTACTGCTCTTACTCAGTGTCGGACCTCAGCCGCTTCTGCTCCACATCACCTCGGCTGACACCATTATCGGTTCCTGGGCAACGTGTCTTCCTAAACAGACATTTACACGATGGCTCAATCTGCGTTGCTTGTAACGCTGCTTGTAACGCTGCAAAGCCACTCAAACAACCACCTAAAAATGAGTATCTCGCCGCTCCTCAAGCCCGTAGACCCCTGCCTTGGTCGGTTCAAGGTCAAGCAAGGCCACGTCTGAGTTGAGAAAGAGATATGGCTCCATCTTTATGAGAGGGCCGAAGGGACCTTTCAATTTCTTGATCGGTTGGGTGCCTCTTTGGTCTCTTATCAAGCTGACCAAGGTGTGGGTATTCCAAGTCTGAAAAGCGTTTCCGCTGTCTCAAGAGCTGACAGCCGATTCGTGTGTCGCGATAGATCTCGTGCAAAGAACTACATGGTGGGGAGTTAGGAACCCCCAAACCCGCGGCTAGGCATCGGCGGTAACGGTCTCATCTACTACTACGGTAGGAGGCATAATGTTTGTCAATACAGTGCTAGTAGTGACTAGTTCTGATACGAGTCCACAGATTGCTAATTGGTCGTTGAAAAGCTTATAAGATCAAGCAGCCATAGAAACAAGTCCACCAGCTCTGATTAAGCCATCTTTGATTAGTGCTACCTAGCCTCGCTCGTTTGATAATAGTTTTGGTCCAAAGATACTAGTGCGGAGGTGACAAACATTATGCCTCCTACCATAGTACTGTATGTTAACGCGCGATGCGGGTACTTTTGGATTCAAGGGTCAATGGCACCCAGCAACTGCATTTAGCTAGATTCTAGCTATCTACGGAGTCGTGCATCAAAAGTCTTCAAATATACACTAATTGGGATCAACTACAGCTAGCTGTTCTTGTATCAGTGTCATTCTAGTCTCTGTGGGCGATGTCAGGGTGGCCAAAGGGGCCATATGCTGACAACTTAGCTAGACTGGACGTATGAATCACGCCGCATAGCCTAAAAGAAGGCCCGATGGGCTCTATAGATCTCCAGAATAGGGGGTCACTGTTGGGTGGCCTTTCAGGGGCGGCTCTCTATAATGCACGATGTACGTATTGAAATACCAACTAGAGCATCTAGTGGCGTACATTGAAGACTTTTGATGCACGACTCCCGGACTTAGTAGTTGGATTAGATGGCTCTCTACCCCCTCTTTATACAAGGGCAAGACAGTCAATTCAGTCATTTCAATCAGTACTACTACGTACGTAGTACATAGTACGTACTGGATGGCATCACCCTATGAAGCAGGGTGAGCTCAGGGCAGATTTTACTGATCTTGGCGTTACTCGTTCATGTACATAAAGGTACATGTTCGCCGGTCGGCACCATCAAAGATCATATTTTCATGATTTAAATCCAATCGATACAGCGATCCGAGATGGCATCGCGTCAAGATGAGCTTCAAGCGAAGAAAGCCAGGCTCGCTGAGCTCAAGCGTCAGCGCGAGCTTCGAAGTCAAGACCCTAGCACACGGAGACAAAGCAATGGCACAACATCTGAGGTGTGGATCTATCTGGGACGAGAAAGATATTGTGCTAACAGGGACTAGGAATTCATAGTATCGTCATCAAAGTTGGGAGAACGTCGTGCTCAGGTCGAGGAACTGGTCTCGAACCTCATCGGTTCTCACAAAGAGACAGCGGAAGTGAATCGAAATCGGAGAACAGCCCAAGACCCTATAGCCTATACTCCTTTCCAGGGCCCTGCTGAGAGTGTGAAGGTGGAATCAATTCATGTACAGAGGCAGTCTGTCTCAACACAGACATTCTCGACTGGCCCAACATCTACCGTCTTTGAAGTTGCTCCCGACCCAATACCACGAAAAGAATACATTACATATGACAAAGGAGTACAGTTCCCAAACCCGGATGAACCTCATGAACAGAAGGAACTTGATGATGAGGCCGAGAGTCTTGCTAGGAAGCGCCAGAGTCAAGATGACCAAAAGCGAGAGGAAGAGCTCCGCGAACGCTTGCGTAGAGAACTCGAAAGGGAATCGAGCGTGACGATGCAGAAAGTACCTGACAAAGACTCTATAGCCCAGCAAAGACCTCCGCTTCGGAAGCTGACATCGGATCAACTGCATGCCATGACATCTACTGACGACTTCTTATCCTTCGTTGAACGTTCATCGAAAGTGATAGAGCGTGCACTTGACGACAACTACGACCTTCTTGCCGACTACAGTGTTTCGAACGGTCCGGAAGACGGAATCTCTGACGAGGAGAACCTTTCTTTTACAAGATCGTCAAGAAAGTCGCACACTCTTAGGCAGACTCAACAGTTTGTGGATTCAAAGCAGAGCCGCCGTCGGCAGATATCAGACCTGCAATTCTCACCTCATTTTCCAGAACTCCTTCTCTCTTCTCATACCAAAGATCCGACTGCTATCAATGACCCTTTTGGTCTTCTTATGCTCTGGAATGTGCATGCTCCTTCGCGCCCTGAATATACCCTTTACAGCCAAGGCGCTGACATACTCTCAGCACGCTTCTCACCCTTTCATCCTAACCTCATCATCGGTGGTTGCTACACAGGTCAGGTTTGTCTTTGGGATACCCGTGCCATTTCGCACTCTAGAGGTGCTCCAGTTTTGAAGACACCGCAGTCGGGATCCCACCTTGGTCACAACCACCCGATCTACAGCATCAGCATCATTGGCACACCAAATGCTCATAATATCATTACTGCCTCTACTGACGGTGTTGTCTGCTCATGGAGCGTCGATATGCTTACCCAGCCTCAGGAGTTCCTGGAGCTGACGACTCCGCCTCCAGCGAGGACTGAGGATCTTGCCCCAACGTGTATGGCATTCCCTCCTTCGGACCCATCCTTTTTCCTTGTTGGGACAGAGGAAGGAACTATTCACCCTTGTCATCGATATGATCGAGCAGGGGCAAAGGCAGGTGTGGATACAAAGTTAGCCTACAAAGGGCATACAGCGCCTGTGATGAGTAGTCAATTTCATCCGGCAAAGGGGCCAGTGGACTTGTCCGACATGCTACTTACGGCTAGCGTCGATTGGAGCGTGAAGTTGTGGCGTATCATGCCTGCCACGAGCTCTTCAAGCGTGACGACAGCGGTCGGGTCTACGTCACTTGCAAGCGGCGGACCGCTGCCAATTACGCCTGTGCTGGACATTAGCAGGGAGGATCTGGTGTATGACGCGAAGTGGGCACCGCAGAAACCCTCGGTTTTCGCATGTGTCACTGGTGCTGGAGAATTGGAGGTTTTCGACCTCAATATTGACCTTGAAGTGCCGGTTGCGAAAGCGGCCCCTTTCCGGAGAAAAGGCGGAGCTTTGATGCATGGTCTTAACAAGTGTGCGTGGGAGGAGAAGCGGGGCGGTTTGATCGCAACTGGTGGGCTGGCTGGTGTAGTGACTCTCTTCGAGGTGGGAAACGCGCTTAGTGGTGAAGCAAGACTTGATGAATGGACGGCTATGAAAAAGGCCATCACAAAAGCTGAAACCAGACGATGATGGTAGCCTGGAGCGTATAGGTGACGGAGTTCTCTTGATTCTTCAGACCATTGGGCATGGCGTGGCATTTGTTTGCGAACTGCAGAGATACCCTTTCCTATCGTAGCGCAGCACTGAACCCTCTGCTTAAGCAGAAATTTTCCATATTCAGGCTCTACGAACAATTCATCTTCATTAATGAAATCTACGACTCTTCTTATTTCTACCTTTTCAGAGCATCATTGAGGAGATTCTCAGGTTTCAGCCTATCCAACGGTGCAGGCGCTGACGATGTTCATGTCCGCTCAAAACCTCAATACGTATAGCGGAAGCCAACTACACCTTATATGACATTGCCGACCTTTTCGGTATTCCATTCGCATGCTAAAGTAGAATCGTCTATGCCGAGACGATCAAGATAATCAGCATATAAGAACCAAAATAACATTTGTGCTTGTGAACCATGGCTATCGGTCCATGACGAGAGAGATCAAACAACGAATTTGACAACTCGCAACAGAAAAGAAAAGCCGAGGTGTGACAGAGAGTCCAGAGACCAAAACACTTCTCAATGTTTATACCCACCGCACGAAAAGGGCAAGAATCTTTATTCTTCTGCAGTCCACTGGAAGAAGGCTTAAGGTGCTGTGCAATGCGAAAGTGTTGCAAATCATGGGGTTCAATAGAAATTGCTGACGCCGCCGCCGCTGCGATGGTCTTGTACCAACTCTGCGAATATCAAATAGATTCGGACAATATCTATACCAGAACGTAGCTATAGAATCTATTGATTCAGAACGGTCATACTTTTCAGGATCTTAGATACTTCTGGTCATATGAAAAATATGGAGTACATCTTCTGAGCCCATTTCTCGAGTCCACGTGAGCTGTTTTCGTTTGACAGAGTGGCGTCAGCAATTCTCGATACAGCGCCAAGGATTCGCAATACTTACATTCGCAAGCTACTGGTACCAGAGGCCAAAAGACCATTCATCGAAGACACTAAACTTAAAGCTTGCTTGCAATATGTTCAATCAACGTGGTCCCTCATTCCATTCTGATAGAGGAGTGATCGTCTGCTAAATGGATGAACCCTATCGTGACGGCATATACGACATGTGACAAGTTCACAATTGGGGATTCGATCATTGAGTTGCGGTAGGCCATGACTTCCTTAGAATACCTCACCTGTCTCTTTCATGTCTGGCGTCTACTTTCTATGCGCGTCTCTTGCATGCTGCTACCGCGTTGCCCCCCCACCCCCCTGGCATCTGTTTACCACTAACTTAGTTACTGGAGAGGTTTCATCAACCTCAGCAAGCTTTTTGGACCCGTCCCAAAATGGTCGACTTAATTTCTGCTCCAGATCCACACCAACTTCTTCCGCCTGTCCTGGCCTGTCTTCCGACTGCCTTCGCTTCTGATCGCCCTCCACCCGCTCTGCTGGACCTCGTATCCCCCATTCTTCGACAGCGATTGCAGCTCATTACCTCGACGTATACTTCATCCTCCGAGAGCTGGCTGCGGCTCCTATGCTGGGATCAAGAGAAGGGAAAAGCACTGAAAGATGTGGTAGAGGGCGGTACATATGAACCGCACCCCTCTTCCGGAGAGATTGAAATTGGGGAGGTTGGGTCCACCAAATACAAGCGCTTGGATCAAGACACACTACGTGCACAGATCGTGCTTCCAGAATGGAACTTGATTGCTGTTTATCTCTGGTGTGCCGGAAGCGAGGGTGGCGGTGGATGGAAGCTGGCCGAACTGCTGCCTTGGGACAGTGACCTGGAGCTGGATCCATCGTGGTCTCATTCCATAGCTGAGGCGAATGACAGCTCCAGGGACCATACGGTGTCGGAAGCCATTCGGGATCCCGACGCCGGAGAACAAACCCCGGTGGGGGAAGACGACGATGACGACTACTGGGCACAATACGACAAGACTCCAGGGCGAACTCCTGCACAGAACAGTTCTCCCACTCCCAACGGTAGTGCCGCCGGTAGGCGAATTAGTCACTCTGATCGTGAATACTATGCACAGTACAGTAAAGTGCAGCCTGTGATGGACAGTCATGACCTGTCTGAAGTGCCCAATCAGATTGGAAGTTCATCAGTACAGGGAGATATCCTTGAGAGTATCATGCGGCGGCAGTCGGGGAAAAAGGAAGGACCAGGGCCGATGCAGCGGGAGACTCAGGGGATGCAGACAGGAGTGGCGGAGAACATGCTTGTCAATCACCCACAGCCATCCCCACCATCGAGCGCAACCTTGAGCGCTGTGGCACGACTAGAAGAAGGAGCCTGCCAACAATCAGCATCGGAGATCGGCATACGGCAGCATATCAGTACCACTATGAAAAGTCTGTACAGGCTGGCGAGTAGTGCTGGAATAGAGCGAGATGAGTTTGATCGGATCATACACAGGGAGTTGGAAACAAACAGCATACTTGACACTTAGCTCTGATGAAGAGATTAGCAAGTAAATCATCAAGCAACACAAGTTCGCAGAGCCAATGCAATATCAACAGGGACTGGTAGCAGTGTTACTATCGTGGCTTACTGCAATGCTGTAAAGGCTTTGGCGCTTGACACGGATGAAATTGAAGCTTGCTGAAGCTTGGACCAGCGATCCGTGAAAGCCTCCCTTGTCCCCTTTCGTAAATAGTAATGTTTAATGTTCAATCTGCGAACGAGTTGCACCTGTCGTTAAGGCATGCCTTCTACCCATTCTCGGTCCTCTGGTCTCGCAGTAGCTCATTCTTGCTCTCATAATTACATCTCAGCGGCAAAACTATAGGACTGCCCCATCGGCCGCTCATCCTCGAGCAGAACTATTTTCGGCCACTGTCAAATTCAGCCGCTCCTTATGGCCTCCCCAAGCTCGACCCTTCGACAACGTGGTGGACAGAAGGAGAAGAAGCAGATGAACGGGAAGACTGATCATGCGGACGCATATCTGGACAATGTCATCGAATCGACCAAGAAGGTCGTCACGTCTGAGTGGGACTACAAAATTGCGCTTCTGATCATCACTATCCTCTCTTTCATTACTAGGTTCTGGGGGATCAGCCATCCAAATGAAGTTGTGTTCGATGAAGTACACTTTGGCAAGGTTCGAAAAGGAAGCGCTCTTGCCTGTGCTGCACTGACTTGCCTACAGTTCGCATCCTACTATCTTCAGCGCACCTACTTTTTTGATGTTCACCCTCCCTTTGGCAAGCTGCTATTCGCTCTTATGGGTTGGTTTGTGGGTTACGACGGCCACTTCCTGTTCGACAATATTGGCGACTCATACATAGCCAACAAGGTGCCTTATGTGGCGTTCCGAGCTATGCCTGCCTTGATGGGCGCTCTCACTGTGCCCACGGTGTTCCTGATTATGTGGGAATCGGGATATTCGCTCCCTGCTGCGGTGACAGCTGCTGGACTGGTGCTCTTCGACAACGCGCACATCGGGCAGACCAGGCTCATCCTCCTAGACGCAACGCTGGTCTTCTTCATGGCGGTAAGCGTTCTTTCTTACGTTCGCTTCTACAAGTTTCGGCATGAACCGTTTGGTCGGAAGTGGTGGAAATGGCTACTACTGACTGGAGTGTCGATGAGTTGTGTCATCTCTACCAAATACGTCGGCGCCTTTACTTTTTTTACCATTGGCTGTGCGGTCTTGATTGATCTATGGGATCTTCTGGATGTCAACCGAAAGGGTGGTGCACTGTCAATGCCGACTTTTGGTAAGCATTTCGCGGCACGAGCAGTTGGCTTCATTGTCGTCCCGTACTTCTTTTATCTATTCTGGTTCCAGGTCCATTTCTCGATCTTATATCGGTCAGGCCCAGGGGATGATTTCATGACGCCGGAGTTTCAGGAGACCTTGAGCGACAATGCCATGGCAGCTTCATCAATTGATATCCAATACTACGACACCATCACCCTGCGACATAAAGAGACCAAAGTCTACCTCCACAGTCATCCGGACAAATACCCTCTGCGCTACGACGATGGCCGGATCTCTAGCCAAGGCCAACAAGTAACAGGGTATCCTTTCGCAGACACCAACAACCACTGGCAGATTCTTCCTCCGCAACCGTTTGGCGAGGATAATCAGTTGGGACATCCTGTTAGAAATGGGGATGTTGTCCAACTTCGTCATCTCGTCACGAACACAATGCTTCTCACCCATGATGTTGCCTCACCGTTCTACCCAACAAACCAGGAATTCACTACTGTCTCGCTTGATCTAGCAGCTGGCGAACGGCACAACGATACCTTGTTCGAGATCAGACTGGAGCAGGGCAAGGCTGGGCAGCAATTCAAGTCTGTGTCCGGCCACTTCAAATTGGTTCATCACCCTACCAAGGTGGCTATGTGGACACATACAACGCCTCTTCCTGAATGGGGCTACAAGCAAGCCGAGATCAATGGCAACAAAAATGTCCAGCAGAGTAGCAATGTGTGGTTTGTCGAAGAGATCCCGTCCATTCCAGCGGAATCGCCTCGCCTGGTGAAAGAGACGAGGAAGCCCAAACATATGCCGTTCCTAAAGAAGTACTTTGAGCTGCAGCGTGCGATGTTCTTCCACAACAATGCCTTGACTTCGAGTCATCCATATGCATCGCAACCATTCCAATGGCCGTTCCTGCTCCGCGGTGTCAGCTTTTGGACGCAAAACGAGACAAGGCAGCAGATATACTTCCTAGGTAACCCTATCGGTTATTGGATCGCGTCGTCACTCCTCGCCGTTTTTGCTGGCATTGTCGGAGCAGACCAGCTCTCGAAGAGGAGGGGAATTGACGCTCTGGATGAGCGTAAGTCTGTCCCTACGTTTTGCGCTTCTCTGCTGACAGTGTCAGGCACTCGATCTCGTCTTTACAATAGTACTGGATTCTTTTTCCTTTGTTGGGCTGCCCACTATCTTCCATTCTATCTCATGGGCCGCCAACTCTTCCTTCACCATTACTTGCCCGCTCATCTAGCCTCGACCTTGGTCACTGGGGCATTGGTGGAGTTCGTATTCAACGCGGAGCCGATCATCGAGGATGAGACTGTCTTGACAAAGAAGGATGATCTGAAGAAGAAGGTTCCAGAAAAGGCAAGGAAAGCTTTCCAAAAGGCGAGCGAAAGGCTGAAGGGACAGAGTATGCTGGCTACCTGGGCTGCGTCTGGCGTGATCCTGGCTGTGACAATATGGGGTTGGTGGTTTTTCTTGCCATTGACATATGGAAAACCTGGCTTGACGATCGAACAAGTCAATGCAAGAAAATGGCTCGGGTATGATCTACATTTCGCGAAATAAGTGGTGGAAATGGTCTTGGTTGCGAAGGATGCTGAAATTAGAGGCTCAATAGCAGCCTCTGCTTTGGTACATCAGCGCTGTGGTGCCAAAGGAGGACATACTACGGTAGGAGGCATAATGATTGTCACCTGCGTACTAGTAACTGTTTGTAACGCCAAGATAGAACGCCACAAAATTGCTCGTTGAGAAGCTAGTCTATTTTTCTCAGTATCAAAGTGTGCATTTCTTTAGCATCAACAAATGTCTTGTATCTTGTTAGCATTGAGAATTTGTAGATGGCGCAGAATGAGATAGAATCAGTAGAATAATGCGTAAAATCAACAAAACGCGCGTAGAATGGCGACAGTAAGCATTCGTGCAGAGCAACAGGGTATCTGTATGAGCGCTGTTAATGACGTTACTTACTAGTGCGCAGGTGACAATCGGTATGCCCCCTACCGTAGTACACCCTGGTCTGTTAATTCCAGAATGAACTACTACGTACGTAGTATGAACAATCGGCACTAGTGGGGATGCAACACCAGAAACCAGGAGTTTGGGGTGATGCAGATCTGGCCGAGGGGCCTCTGTGGTTGGCAAGTGCGTAGCCTAATTAGAGAAAGATCATTAACTCGGATGAAGATTTTGGGATGCGTCCAGTGTCAACCTTGGGCCTCCGGGCTAGTTCTCCAACCAAGACTTTTACCCGTACGCTGGTCTCCTACCCCTTGCATAATAGCAAATCTATTTGCCGGTCATCTACGCATCGCTTTCTGTAGGTTTAGTCGCGATCTGTTGACTTGCGTCGTCCCAGACATTGCATCCAAACGATCGAAGAAACGACTCCGATACCCGAAGAAACGATAATTCCGATCATCTTTCGTTCGCACAAACATGGTTTCAACTTACGGAGACTCCGGGGTTGTGCTGGCACTGGATGCGTCTCATGAAAGGACAATCCAAGCACCATCAATACCGAGTCATAGCAATGCCTTGATCGGTAGTATGCAGACGGCCACTATTTCCAGTGTCAAGCCTTCTTCATCTGTCGTTTGACGCCTGCTTTCTTTTGTTCTTCCGAGCTAGGTCTTATATTCTGAGCATCTAGCTATATGGTGCGACATATTCCATACTTCACACCAAACTGCTTGAGACAGTCGTGCTGCAGCAGATGTACTGCTACTTGATCTTCGATTCTGTTGGGCTCTGCAACTCGACAGGTGAGAAGTATAAAGTTAATCGAATCGTCCTTTGTTTACGACTTATCTTACGAAGTATTCCCCCAAAATTCCCCGGCACACCGCAGCTTCCAACAGCTATTGTCATCAGCCCTATCATCTTTCTCCTGTTCCTTATCCTACAGATTCATTTTCCTTGCACTAAGAATGGGCTGCGGCAAGAGCACAGAACGGCATGCCACTGCAGGCCATGAACAGCAGACGACGGTCGGGGCATCATCAGGTGATATCTCTTCTTCTCAGAACTTAGGCTTGGCCAGAGTGTCTGGCTCCACTCGCAACACAGGATCAGGTCGAGGTGCCGCCTCTCACGACGCAGGAGCTCAACCTCCCCGGGGCACTGGGTCAGATCCCGTGCCTTCTTCTGCACGTCCATCTGCTCCTGGCGCAGAACCTTCTGTTCTGAGCGCCGAAATATCCCAGTTATCTCTATCTCAGGGTGCTCGAGCGGCTCGAGGCTCTCGCCCCTTACAGGGGTCGGAATCGTATTCGCAAGGTGCACCAGTAGCCGAAATCTCTGCTCCTCAGAACTTGGAAGTGGCTCATGGGCCTATCCATCCGCAAGAAACTCGCCCCTCTTCTCACGAATTGGCTCGATTATCAAGTTCTTCACAAGGAGAAGGTTCGCCCCACCGCTCCTCCCCATCGACTACACCACGAACACCACAGCCACCAAGAGCTTCCTCTGCTCTAATGCATTCACAATTAGCCCGCCGTTCACAGAGTTCTTCAACAGCATCATTGGAATCCAGAGCGGGGCGGCCACCTCGATCGTCATCGTCTCATGCCCTGGAAGCGAAAGCAGGGCCGCAGACCCGTGCATCTTCGTCCAACTCTCTTCACACTCAAGCAGGGCCGCAGACCCGTGCGTCTTCGTCCAACTCTCTTCACACTCAAGCAGCCAGGCAGCCACTGATGTCCTCATCTGCTTCTTTAAAGTCTTTGGAGGAAAGCTCCTGGCACCTGAAAAACTCTTCATCTCCGTCTCTGGAGGAACTATTTGATGCACTCGAAAGACCAAGTACATCTTCGACTTCTCGCCAGGCGCAGCAGTCATCCCCACGAGGCACACCTCGGGCTAGGCAGCGGCCAAGCTCCTCGCGAAGCTCCCCTAAGGCTGGACAACCATCGGAAACTTCTTCCCAAGCCCCACGACGAACCAGGCCTCGATTTGAGCCGACTCCATCACAAGGAGAGTTGGCACGATACTTTTCTGCCGACCCAGTCGTCACCTTGCCAGCTGAAGCTCTTACCTTTGATGAGTTTGGTGGTTCAGATCATTCCTCAACGTGATACAATAAGATAGAAGCTTGTAATTTGTCTAACAAAGTCTACTCGGAACTACAAATGAAAAAGTAGTTAGAAAAAGGATTATTACAGGGAGCTCAATATTGAAGTTTTTGCAATGATCTATCCTGGCATGCAGAGCCTGGCTGATCTGTGCATTCATACGACATCCCCCCCTTCACTAGATGAAACCAGCTTACAATAAATGCAAAATCTTGTCGTAAGAAAAGTGATGACAGCACTACATATTACGTCTACCTCTGTAAGAGCCTTTAGAGTTGGATATTATCGAACTGCAGGAGCGCTCATTGGTTGGAATTTCTATGCGAAATCCCTGCGCGTTTCGCCTGCTTTGATTTCTCAATTCCGCAGTGTCGTCCGGCGAATTTAGTACTTATATCTGCACCCTACGTCCCCCTTTTGAGAGAGAAATAGAGCCGTTTCTTCATCCTAGTTGGTTACTCGACAGATTATTATCCTGACCTTGACTTGCGTAATCCAAGTGATGGAAAAGGGTCTGCAACCGAAATTTCAAAACAACAGCGGATAAGCTGACTGATAAGTAGGCAGAGACATCCTTGCAAAACAGCTGGTTGGGTTACTCTGCGGTATTTGTCAGTCATCTAGTTACTTACGCAGCTCCCTTCCATCCATCTTGCTAAATTCTGAAAAGCAGCCGTATTTAACCGCTTCCTTTTTTGGGGGGTCTTGAGGTCGAGACATTACGATGAACAACAACTGCGGCCGTGTTTGGTTCTAACTACTGAAAAAGCTACTGTAGCTTGTCTCCTCAGAAGCCTCACACGTGACTTAGTGCGTCCGCTTCTTGCCAGAACCTGCATTTTCTCGCTTCGGGGTAAACCATCTGGACTGGACAAAGTAGCTGTTAAGCCAGGTACACACCGTGCAATCAAGCTCCCCTCGCCTGTCAGGAGTGTCTTATATCTTCGCCTGCTGGGGGGCGGGGGGTTTCTTGGACGCTGTGGAGAGAGAGATTCGTCCAGACGCCAGTGTTCAGAGACAGGTATAACCGAAAACGGTACATGGAGGTCTGGACCGTATCATTCCAACCAGTAGTAACTATCTATACCGTTAGTACGTTGTACCATGAGTACAATATCAATGATTACAGGTTAGGTACCCTTTCTTTGGTGGAGTTCGCAATTCTAAGACTAAAACAGAATTTCTACAGTAGATCAGGTGAACGTTAAGTTAGTCACATCATAATATGTTGTTGAATAAGTTATTGAGTGGCACTCTTAAAGACATATATATTCCTTATCTAGTACTAGTACAATTACAATGATACAGAGGATCAGGTCTCATATCGTTGGAATAGCGAGAACTGCTGTACTGTAGCATTGTACCAATGGTACGGTTGCTACGGTTGTGCTGTTTTCCAACGCTGTCAATCCGCTTTCGAGTCCGCTTTCTAGCAGGATCTACCATTCCACTCTATCTTCAAGCCCCTTCTGAAGAAATGTCCTTCTGGAAAGGCTTCAGAACTAGCGGAGGTGGCGTAGAAAACTTCCTACTCTTCACCCATTGAGACCCACCTTAGCTGGCTCGTGGTCATCATGCTCCGACAGATCAATTGCATCATGTCGCCAAACCTCTGTTCAAACCCCATGAGGACGGTTGGCTGAGGTCAACCTGAGCTAACTCCCATTCATGAGATTCCCGTGACCTTCACCCGAAAGAGATAGCGTATAAGTACGTGCGAAGGATCGTAGACAACATACTCATTGAAACCCAGGGTTCCTCCTGAATAGGTATCACTGTACGGAACGGTCGTATCAGGCTGTAGAATCAGGTATAAATCAGTCACAAAATTCCCCCCGGAACAAGCAAAAGAAGGGAAGAAAGAGGATTGATTTCAAACGACATGCCATTAGAACCATCTCACTGCGTATGCAAGGCTGTGCCTCCATCTCCCAACCAACCCTTTTCCACTTCATGGGCCCGACCTTGCCAAGCCCCTCAATACACCTGTGTAGCCCGCCCGACCGTTGGATGACATCGTGCCCGTTGTACATGCTGTGCTGGCTCCGGATCCGCGGCAACCCGACATCAGCCTCGCACAACAGCAGCACCGCCTCTCCGTTCCACAATCGGTGCTTGCAGAAGCCCGCCGACTTGCTCGACGCATCGGCGAGGTAGATTCCGTTGCCGAACATGGTCCCCGTCCAGCTACTTCCTCGCCTGCGGATCTGTAGGCCGAGGTCGAGGATACCCAGTAGCGAGTCGAGCGGTGTGCCGTGCCACAGCAGGAGCCTCTCCTCGTCACAGACGTCGATGCCTTGCTTGGCCTCGATCCGGGTGCGGTACGGGTTCGGAAGATTAGTCTTCACGAAGAGTCGGTAGATCTCCTTGAGTTCCATGGTCAGGTAATGTTTGTGATGGCAGGAATTTTCAAGATAGTTCTTGAGCTCCCGGAACTCGGACGTCGAAGTATCTGTCAGGCGGCGAAAACCATGTCGCAAAGAGCTGTAGGCCTGGTACAGCGGCTGGGCAAGGGCCTTATAAGCGTTGAGCTGGAGGGACCCCCGGCGGTGAATCTCGATCATCGAGTTGGCTATATCCTGCCGTGGCCAGAGTGAGTGCAGGAACTTGAGCTCGAGGAAAATAGCGTGGTAGCTTGAGATTACCGGGGGTCGGTCGTACTCTGCGCAGAAGGGGATCTGGCTGCGGTATCGCGACGATTCTCTGAGAACCAGCTTCCAGCGAATGGGGCGTCCGGGCTCGAGATGTTTCCAGATACGCTCAAGAGTCTTGAACGCCAAGAAAATGGTCCAGGGGCTGAGCTGCTCATACGGAGCGCTGAATGCGGAGAAACTCGACGTGCCTGGGTTCTCGCCACCGTTGCATTGCCGCACTGGGCCACCATAGAGCATGTCCTCCATTAGATTCCTCACTTCCTCATTGACCTTGACGTCGAGCATGGCGTAGTTTGGGAATTCCTTGGGGCGTGCAACGGTCCCACGGTACTCTAGCTCGACGAACACAAATTTCTCGTCCATCAATCTGGGTGGTTCGTATCTGTTGGTCCACACCAGGCCCGTGTTGTCGCGGAAGATCTTACGGAACCTGCTCATGACTACTCTTACATCAGTTGACACAATTTCCTGCCGGCCAATGCCCTGGAGCCCGATGCGACCTTCTCGGATCAAGAGAGTGTACGTTTTGGTCTCTGGGCTGAATACTATCTGATGAACAGCATCTCGTTAGTAATTTTGATTTTGACGATATATGAGCATAGATGGTGACATACTTGATGCCTCCGGAAATTGTTCACGTTCTTCATAATGTCGGCCCGGAGCAGGTAAGCATCATATATCGACGCCGTAGCCCGATGTATTACGACCGTAGCATCTCGAGCTGCTCCCAGATCAACGGGAACACGTATTCGTACCCCATTCTGAGTATGACTCCGAAAATGGCCACGGTGCGAAGTGTGCCTCAGCTTCACAGCAGGCGACCAATACTTCACGACTTGAATGTCCTCAAACTCCTCTTGGATATACCGATGGCTGGAGTACCCACGTACCACAATATCGTGTTCAGGTTCGCAGTCGGAGGATATCCGGGGAAGAGGAGGAGCGACAGAACGAGGTATCTTCGCCGCTAGTGCTGTTGAGGGAGAGCTTTGGGGGGCTTCAGGAGCTTTCAGCGTGTCAGAGGCTCCGAACAAGGTTCCAGACGATGTTCCGGCTCCCTCGAAGAGCTTCGCTGGGTTGATGGTCCCCGGCGGATCTGGGCGCCGCCAGTAGCTCATTACTAGACGTACAGACAACGGGCCAAGTCAGTAAATGGGAGAGCAAAGTGGAGGTGGAGCAGGTGGAGGAGAAGTCGTTGCCGAGTGACTGGGTGGCGGAGAGAAGAGCGCTTCGAATGGATCTTCCTGAATCCGCAACCATTGTTAATATTACGTAAAAAATCTTCAAACCTTCAGCATACAACGTGCGTCCTGTGTTGCACCAATTATGCTATGATATTCCCGATTCACCATGCAACTCTGGCTCCATGAGCACCGAAGACAATACTACGTAGTACGTACGTGGGCTGTCACACCGAGGTTCTGTCACACCCAAACCTACGGGTACGCTAGGCGGTGCTAATGCATGGACCCCCGCCTGAGACGTTGAGCTACTACGAGCTAGTTTAGCCCACTCAGTCACTAACTTACTACGTAGTTATGGGCCCGAAGCTTGGCGCAGAAATTTATGGGACTTCTCAGATCCCCTTCCTCTCCCCCCCTTCTTCATTCCCCTATTTCTCTACCAATACTCACTCAAATCTAGTGAACAATGGATTCTGAACGGGGAAATAGACGACGCGTCTGCCGAAAGTCTTATTCGATAGATCCTCCTTCTCCTGCACCCTTGCGAACGCCAAAAACGATGCTCGATACGCCGCGCTGTGCGCGCCTCCTTGCTGATGCACGCCACACAGCTGGCAAACTACCTCGTACAGAGCTATTTAAGATACATAATGTACCTAAATCAACTGGCTATCAAATCATTAAAGAAGCAATTGCGCGCCGCAGTAAGAGGATACACAATCGAGGCCGAAAACGAGTACTTGCTCCATATGGGTGTGAAGCAATTGAGGCCGTTGAAGATGCTAATTTTGGCTTTGCTTCGTCAAGTCATTTGAAGATGGCAAGGACAATTGATATAACTTATGGCTGCGAATGTGTAATTCAACAGAATATAAAGGATTTTAGTATAAAGACCTATATAGCCGCGTAGAAAAAAATGCTTTTATAATTATATATTAACGCCTGAATTATATAGGAATTTGAGCGTCAATATTAGTAATTAGATCAGTTTCTAAAGTATAGATAATGCGATAAGTCTTATTTTGCTACTTGCTTGCAAAGACAGGCTCAAATTCATCGTCGACCAGGGCTTGAAGCACGAAATGCCTTATCAAAGACCCAGTTTAAGCTTAAGTGTCAAAATCAGTCAGTCCATATGTACGCAGTTATTAGATGGAATTTCAAGGGTCAGCTCCACTTTTACACCGGCTCCGGAGTAAGAGGACGTCTTATTCAGAGCGATTATATAGCTATTTTGAAAGAAATCGTCGCTCCTGATTGGGATAAAGATTACGTACTAATCGAAGATAATGACGGGCCTCATGGTACCAAGGGCAAGGGTCCTAACAAGGTTAAAGCACTCAAGGACCTTCTAGGGATCAAATGGGAAATGAACCCTGCTAATTCGCCTGATCTCAACCCTATTGAGACAATCTGGAGAATAATAAAGCAGCGCTTGAAGTCCAGGGGGGTCATCTTCGAAGAAGCTGTTTTGCGCAGGGCTATCCAGGAGGAGTGGGATAAAATAACTCTGGATGAGATTAATAGGGCTATCGCAACAATGCCAGATAGAGTAGCTGCCCTAAATGAGCGAAATGGGCGTCCTATCCCCTATTAAAGGGGCGTGTAGCATAGCAGAAATCTGAGAAGTCTCATAAATTTCTGCGCCAAGCTTCGGCCCGGCCTCGGTTGTTGCTAGGGGAGTTCAAAACAAACCCCCTGATGCGGCCACGATCTAGCTCCAATGCATTGGGATCAGGTTACTAAGTAATACATACAGTAGTTATGGTTCACCCCTGAAAACGTGTGGCTTTTCTGCACGATCCAAATAGTTTCTCCTTCATCTTCTCCGGTCACTCCTTAATAGCACAGCTGCATAACCCAAACTAGTGCCTGTTGAAACGTTGATTGTGATTGTACTTTGCTTGCCGGAGTTGCGCTTGCGAAGTGCTGAAGTCAAATCGAAGGAGGGGAGGTTATACAGAAGGGAAGGAGCGATGGCAGAAGATCCTCTCTCTGACAATTATCAGATGTTGGAAGAGCTAGGAAGTACGTTCTCCCATCATCCAATTGTAGCAAATGGCTGCTGACAAGAGCTGTCCGCAGGTGGCAGTTTCGGAACAGTATACAAGGCCATCGAGAAGGCCACAGGCGAGATCGTGGCTGTCAAGCATGTCAGTGACTATTAGACAGCACCAAGCTGCGTTTGCTTGTGCTAAATTCGCTGCTGTGCCAGATTGATCTCGAATCCACCGACGAGGACCTTCAAGAAGTCCAAGCCGAAATCTCCCTTCTGAGCACCTGCGCCAGCCCATTCGTCACCCAATACAAAGCAAGCTTTCTCCGAGGGTACAAATTATGGATAGTGATGGAATATCTTGGTGGAGGGTCATGTCAAGACCTGGTACACACCTTCAACATCACACTGCCGCACAGGCTTATTCTGATTGGAACAATAGCTCAAACCAGGAGTCTTCTCCGAAGCCCACATCGCTATCGTCTGCCAACAGATCCTCCTCGGACTCCAGTACCTACATCAAGAGGGAAAGTTACATCGGGACATCAAGGCTGCCAACATTCTACTATCACAATCTGGGAAAGTGAAACTGGCAGACTTTGGTGTCGCAGCCCAGCTCGTTAACATCAGGTCCTTACGGAACACCTTTGTTGGCACGCCTTTTTGGATGGCACCTGAAGTAATACAGCAATCTGGATACGATTTCAAAGCTGATATCTGGTCTCTGGGGATCACGGCGATGGAACTGATCCATGGCGAACCACCGAATGCAGGAAAGCACCCCATGAAGGTACTGATGGAGATCCCCAAGATGCCTGCGCCGAGACTGGAGGGGAGCCAATATAGCAAAGATTTCAAAGATTTTGTGGCAAAATGCCTGGTCAAGGATCCTGATCAACGTCCCTCGGCGAAGGAGCTGTTGAAGCATAAATTCATCCGCAATGCGGGCAGGACGGAAGCTCTACAAGAACTGATTTTGCGACGCCAGGAGTGGGAGGCAGGGCTAGAAAAGAAGGAGGCGCTGAAATATTATGCTGAGACACTGAGGAATGTGAGATTGCCCATACAGGGAGGAGAAGAAGAAGATGACGAGTGGGTATTTGATACAGTCAAAGCATTACCTACATTACATCATACACAAAAGCGCCGGAAGCTGACGACAACCGAAATTGGGGATGAGGTCAAAGCAGGCAACTATAAGGAAGAAACGATGAAGGAAGTGAAGCGCACGCAGCATCCTCAACCTTCAACCATGAAAAGACTATCCTCACCTCTCCTACCACCCTCTTCCTCCTCGTCCGTCAACCGCTCTTCAACCAAGAAGCGAATATCAAGTGGGCAGCAGAAACAGCCTCTTGGCGTCAACATGTCCTTCGGCAACAGTCCATCGACTATTCGCCAGTTTCGGCGTGTCTCACCCGCGGCCATTGAGAACGACGACTACCCCAAAGACAAAGATAGTGCAGCAACTCCGTCACCCTCATCCCTTTCTCCCTCCAAAATACGCAATACGGCACAATCAACGGCGTCTTCCTTATCAATAGCAGATTCGGAAAACGTACCCCCTCTTCCACCAGCTAGGCACACAAGTCGCATGCACAGCGGAAGTAACGGGTCGACCCCTGACACGTCCATGACCCAAAACACCGTTACCACCTCCTCACCTCCCTCAATTACGGCTTCCCAGTCCATAAGTCCGGTCCCAGTCCCATTTGGGCTAGCACACTATCTCCGAATCCACGCCATCAACCCTTCCATCCAGGAAATCTTCACGAGAACGACCACGGCCACCTCTGGCGATTCAAACAAACAAGCCGTACTCTCTCATTTGATGGAAGCATTCTCTGAGCTGGAGAGTGTGGATCCGGAGGCTTTGTTACAGGTATTTGGTGGGATCATGAGGAGGGTGGGGCGGGACGAAAGATTGAGAGATTTGCTAGAAGATGACACGGGCCGAACAAGTCCCCAGCAAGTCTCCGCGAGCGGTGCAGGTGCAGGCGCGAAACTGGTCCTCGCGCAGAATAATCCGCATTTGAAATCGCACCATCGGAGGAGGCAATCTGCTATTGTACAGGGACAGAGTCACGCGGAACAGCAGAAATTTGCAGGTGTGGGGCAACGAGCAGAAATAATGTCGAAAGATCCGAGTTCGGCAAGGTCATTCGGGAAGGGAAGGGAAGGCAAGGTGACAAGGGGAGAGGATGAGGAGGAGAAAGAGGACAAGGAAAGGGGAATTGACCTGGAACAGATGAAAGAGCTCAGGCCTGGTAGGGAAGAGGAGAGTGAGAATGGAAACACGAAAGGAATGGAACATGTGACGTTGTTGGGGGATGTGCTGTTTGAAAGATGGTGCGAGGGATTGAGGGCCCGGTGGAGTGGCAATTCTGGGGTCGTGTGATCGCATCATGGGGTTGAGCGTTTCGAGCGTGGGACTCGCTCGTGTTATATTGTATGTATTTTCTGCGAGAACTGTGAAGCTACTCAGCTTCTTATCAATGACTAAGAACCAGTCAACTATCTTGTCGTAGATATGATAATCATGTCTCTCCTAGTCTATCGCTTTCTATCGCATAGCTTTGAGCTCTCAGCGGCGCTTGTAAAAGGCTTGTGGCCAGTTTTCCCCAGGACGATAGACAGCACTATAATCGGTCGCAGGAATCTAGAAGATCGAGGCATACTGAAGCATGATATGTAGGCTAGATTCCTTGCAAATTTGACAGGTAATAAATCGCTATTGCGTGACATCCTGAGAAAGTAATTCACGAGTGTGATGGATGGAGTATCTCCTCTGCTATGGCGCAGGAAATACACGGGACCAGCCACGCACTCGGATGGCAGCGCCGATGGCGTATCCACAACGGCACGCGGAACTCTTGCCGTCAAGCTACTATGCCGCCGATAGAGGCATCCGTACGGCACGTGGCTCCCCGTACGAGTACCATGGAACAGGAGATTGATACGACCCCTTTAGGGAAGTACAATCTCCTCCGGAGGGAAGCTACCGCTTCTGGCCCTGCAGATACTCCGTGGGATCCTCTGCGCAGGTTAACTAGTAGCACCCCTTGTGTTCGATGGAGGAGTATATAGAGTAGAGCGCTGGCCGCACTGTAGATAGACTCCTCAGCTTACGTTTTAGCAATCTATGGACTATTGACTTGTTCTAGTTTCGAGCCATTGCAACGAGTACTTTTTCTTTTTGTGGGCTGCGATATTATTGTTTAGCAGCGTGTTATTAAATTAAAGTACTTTTATTATCGCAATACTATAATATTAATATAAAGACTTTACTAAATTTAAAAGGAATTAAATTTATTAAGAAAAATTATTATTATATTAAAAAATAGAAAAAAAATAAAAATAAAAGTAGAAATAAAAGTAGAAATAAAAATAGAAAAAAAATAAAAATAAAAGTAGAAATAAAAGTAGAAATAAAAATAGAAAAAAAGTAGAAATAAAAGTAGAAATAAAAGTAGAAAAAGAAGTAGAGATAGAAGTAGAAATAGAAATAGAAAAAGAGTAATAAAAGAAGTAGAAATAGAAGTAGAAATAGAAATAAAAAAAGAGTAATAAAAGAAATAGAAATAGAAATAGAAATAGAAATAGAAATCAATTTTAAAACCCAGGGGAGACCCCCGAGGACCCCTCTCTTTTCTTTTTTAAATTATTAATATTTTTATCTTTAGAAGATTATATTAAATAAAATGATTTCTTTTTATTTCTTTTTTTATTTCTTTTATTCCTTCTATTTCTTCTATTTCTTCTATTTCTTCCCTCTTTCTGCGCATTCTACGTGCATTCTATGGCCTCTTTCTGCGCATTCTACGTGCTAATTCTGCGCATTTCTACGTGCCAATTCTGCGCCCTCTTTCTGCGCATTCTACGTGCCAATTCTATGCCCTCTTTCTGCGCATTCTACGTGCCAATTCTGCGCATTTCTATGTGCCAATTCTATGTGCCAATTCTATGCCCTCTTTCTGCGCATTCTACGTGCCAATTCTGCGCATTTCTATGTGCCAATTCTATGTGCCAATTCTATGCCCTCTTTCTGCGCATTCTACGTGCCAATTCTGCGCATTTCTATGTGCCAATTCTATGTGCCAATTCTATGCCCTCTTTCTGCGCATTCTACGTGCCAATTCTGCGCATTTCTATGTGCCAATTCTATGCCCTCTTTCTGCGCATTCTACATGCCAATTCCATGCTCTCTTTCTGCGCATCCTGCGTGCACATTCTGATTTTGATAGGGTATGGCTTGGCAAGATTCTGCAGCCTTGGCAAGCTACCACCACCAACGTTAAACTCAAGAAGGCAGGAAAGGGAACTTTATCTAATCAAAAAGCTGATCCTTGCAGGCCGCATTTTTAAGCTTATAACCGCAACAACCAATCCCACAAGCTTGGCGGTGTAGACATATTAGAGAGATGATACTTATCTTTATTATTATTTTAAGTTCGCTTACTTATTACTTATAGTCCTGCCTTAATAAGACTTATTTATTTATTATTAAAGACCTAGTTTTTTAGTATTCTTTTTTATTTCTATTATAATAATCTTTTTATTTTTTTTAGTTATTTAGTATTAAAGGAACTTGGCTAATGATAAGGTCTACTTGTATATAGTGTCAGCTACGAACCTTCTGCTTAGCAGAAGAGCTAAGAGGTCCTTACTGTATTAGCGTTGCAGACGTAGCGGCGGCATCAGACTTGAGTCCCCTAATATTGTTGTCGCGTTAGGCGCGGCCTAGCAGCGATACGACTTCGCCACCTGTACGCCAGCGAAGCCAGACACGTTAACACAGAATCTATAGGGATCGTCCATGAGAGGCGCCCTAATCAGGAGGCTGAGGAAGACAAGAGATCTTGCCAGCGCGTGGGGTTGCTCCCAACCTACGACTACAACAGCGTATCACAGGCAGCGCACACTGCTTTCGTACGAAGCAGCTCACCTGGTGGAAGCCCTTCAAGGCTTCGGTTGCCCTATCTATGGCCAGGGACCAGAACCGCAACACACTAGACTGTTATCACCTGCTCAGGGAGCCTAGTCTTAGCAACATTCAACAGAATCCCTGTTATGAATGACACTAATGAAGCGTAAGCGGAGAACGAACAACACACAAATATAAAAAGAGTCACTTAGGATGTATTCTACATCTTACGACCGTGCTATAGGCACTCTGGAGGGGGATGTCGATCCCCACTATATCTGAGCCGGATGACTGTTAAGATTCATAACAGGAAGGAAGATAGTAGCAGACCGCGTCAGGGATACGTAGATAACGACTTAGGAGGGACTCTGATTCTGGGCGGCGGATAGAACAGAGGCAATAATAGTGTCTCACCTACGCATAGCAGGCGGGGCGCAGGCGAAGAATAATAAAGCGGCTACAGAAAGACCTTCAGGCATCAAGGGCAGTCGCCCACACAGACTGACAACGCACTCGATAAGACAGTGGCCTTTTAGGCCGTTGCAGCCCACTATTACTAGTCGATCAAGCGTTTCAAGATGCAATGTCTAAAAAGCACAATAATCACAGTCGCTTAGAGCACTACATAGTCGAAGCGCCAGTAAAGCGAAGACAAAGAAAACAAGAGTAACTATAAGGTTTTTTCCCTTAAAAGATTTCCTTATATATATATTCTTAATAATTTAGTTAATAGTTTTCTGTATAAATCACCTTTAAGGTAGGACTACATCAGAGTAAGAATTAAATAAATAAATTAAAAGAACTTTAATTAATATTTTAATAAATATCTTTACTAATAAGTTAATT